CTCGTGCCCGCTCCCAGCAGCCCTCGATAGTGGTGTCTGGCCATAAGTGCTTTTAGCCTCGAGCTCAGCGCCCTTGTCTAGCAGCAGCTTCACCATGGCCTCGTGCCCGCTCTTAGCAGCCCACGATAGTGGTGTCTGGCCATAACTATCTTTCAAATCAGGACTATTGTTATTGAGTAAGGCTCTAACTGCGTCGTCAACTCCGAAGTATGCAGCTAAGTGCAGGCCAGTCATGTGCTTTGGAATTTCTTGGCTATATTCTATATCCCCTCGCCATCGCTTAACAGCTATAAGTGCTTGACTTGATGCCCCGACATGGCCTTGTTTCTGAAGGAAATCAATAATACCTGGGTAAAAAATCGACGCCTCCCGAGTATGATAACCCCAGTTGTGTGCAGCGTAGTCGTATAGCTTATTAGATTGAAGTCGTTGCTCAAAATCCTCGTCGTTTTGGCAGATGCCGCTCTCGAACTCGTTAAATGAGAGGTACGTAATGCAGATTGTCGTGATATCAGTCTGTGCATCGAAGAACCATTGCTTTTGCGTTCGCTCGAAGTATTCCTGCGTTGTGTAGTGGACTAGTCGAATAATACTACTCTCCTCATCGATTGTGACTAAACCGGCGCATACTGAGACCATATCTTCAAGTTGAGGCAGATTCTCTTCGTCGAGATATGTCTTGCCTACTTCGACTGCAAGCGCGTGTTGAAGTTCAGATGTAGAGAGCGGTCTCTTGGAGCACGTGATCCATGACAGAACCTGTTTAGCCAGCTCTTCAGAGTCTGCATCGTGGTCCAAGATCCTCTGCATAGCTTGTTCGTAAGCATAGTCGTAGGCTTTGGGTCCAATGGGCAGGTTTTTCAACACGCCTTTCATTTTCTTAAGCGTCTTTTTGGTGCTAATAGATTCAAAGTGAAGTTGCGCGAGTAAAAACCTATGTCGACGTTAACGGCTCCGGCTTTATAGTACGGCCAGGCAAGAACTTACATTCCATCAACTGCCTTCGTGATTTCAGTTTTAATCTCTTCACGATAAGTCTCCAGTAACTTCTGTCCAGACTGCGAGATCCGGCCGTCTAAGTAATGTCGCACATCCTCATTGTGGGCACGGATCTCAGATATTATGCTTCCTTTAAATTTCTCTGTGATATCCGGGATAAACCTCGACGTTGCAAAGAGGTTTGCTCCAGTCTTAAGCTGAAGGCTGAAGATCTCCGTTAAAAATGCTGGTCGGCAGCCATCGGATACTTGGCATTCATCAAGTGCGTCGATAACAACAATAACCCTCGAATATATACTAGCCACAAACTGGAGAGTTCTCGACATTTCTTCGAGAGATGGTCGCGTCCGCTTCTCTTTGTGCTTGCCGTAGAGAGATTTTACACTATCAGGCAGGGAGGACCGCTGTTCGCTTAGCTGTTTGAGGAGACTTGCGAGTAAGTCTTGCGCCTTTTGTTCGTCTTTCCGCCGGAAGTTGCAATACAGGTACGCAATACCAATAGTCGGATCGTTGCAAATTCGTGTAGTGAGCTCGTCTACTACGATTGATGTGAGAATCGTCTTTCCAGCCCCGGGAATTCCTGGACAAAACAACGTCTGTTTGTCGGTTTCTAGCCATGCCCGGAATTGTGCTGAGTCTAAAAGCCATTGGCCAGTTCCTTCTTGTCGTCGTCCGATAAAATCGCTCTGCTGGGCAGCATAGTCGACTGGGGTAAGCCACTGAAGAATGGTCTGCCGCTCATGCTGCTGCTCTTGATTCTCTTGTCGCCGGTTGGACTCGTCTACGCCACCTCTGATCGCCAAGGAAATATCTTGCTGTTCTTTCCTTGCCTCTCTAACCTCTTTGTACGTGGTTGCTCCGAGCGCCGCCGCGTCAATCGAGAGCATGTTGTTTAGAGTTTGACACTGCCGACAGAGGTTCTCCACAGAATCTCGAGTATCCTTCGCTAGGAAAGCTCCTTTCAATCTCTCCCAGCCTAGTCGATGACCTTGCCCTCTCTTCTTTAGCTCTTTCAACATCGAATCCAGCTCCCTTCGACAAATTTCTAGCATTAAATTTGTGTCCGTTGTTAAAGGCGCTTCAGGTCCTAGCTGCGAAAGTAGTAACGATGATCGGTTCTGAAAAGCAGCTGCAAAGTCGGGATTAAGGATAATGTTAGTGTTTGTCTCTGATAAGACAGTCTTTAAAGTCCCCAGCTCCGCCATAAATGTCTTCACATTCTCCGGCGCATCTTTCCAATCTATCCCAAATTGAACGACGACCTGCGTGATCTGGATAGCTAGACCGATAACGCCGACGATCCCGGCTCCAGTGCCGAATGGGTCCGCCATAATGGCTTGGATAGAACTCGTAGGGGTCTCGAAAAGTCTAAAATGCAAAAATCAACGCTTCGAGCCTCGCGAGGCTATCGCGGCTTGAGCTTGCAGGCAGAACTCGACGACGGGACTTAGAGTAGCAAACCTAGCACATCGTATTCTCTTTAAAAGCAGAAAGGTTTTAGAATCGCATAAAGTGAAGTGGAAAGGGGCTTTGTAGTTTGAAGCATGCCACGACATTGCTTGGAGAAATATGAGGTTGGACGCTGGAGCCTCGCGATGCGCCCGTGGCTTGTCCAGCCGACGTGCGGCTGATCACTGAAAGCCACGATCAGGCTGTGCATGTCCCTAAAAAAAACCTCTTACCTAATACGTAGATAGAGAGAGATTTGGCCATAGGAGTTTACTGGATGAATTGTTCGAGTTTAATAATAATAGGCGGCATGTGAACGGGCTTCTCAGGCATGAAACGCATCAAAATCGAACTGTGCCATAGCGATTGGAATGCACGGACGGCACATGACTGATATCACGTGCCAATTTTGACTTTGCCTCCCGTTGCACTTTATCCATGTCGTCTTCGTCGTCCGTGACTGGCATATGTCCTAGGCAGGATGGACAGACAATGCAGAAAGCAGCCTTAACTTTGTCGGCGCTAGCACCGATACGAAGGAATTTCCACACCCCCAAAATGTGGCTACACCACATGTTCGATTTCCATGTCGTGAGGACCCGTCGATCGCATGACAGGCAGAGGATTTCCGTGTGAATGACGGTAAGTATTGCCATGTTGATACGATGTAGTGTGGATGATCGGTAGTACACGAAGGGATGAAATGCTGGAGTGGATGGACAGTGGACGATAGTGGAGTATGATTTTCAGAAAAGAAGATTATGTTCTTTTCCGTAAACTTATATATGAAGCCGCAGGCAATTGTGATTAGTCTAAAAATGGGCAGGACTTTTTCGTGTGTGGTATGTCGTGTTTCCTACGGAGCAGTGGTGTTGGATCGAAGCCGGTGCGAATACCGTGATCTCGACAAACGGGATCCCGAAAAGCGTGATTCGGGATGGTCCAAGTTGGAAAATGCCATCTCACTTGTGGAAGGATTTGATACCACGAACTGTACCTAGGTAAGGACATGCATGTTCAATCCACTAGGGGGAAGCAGCCAGAATTGTCGTTGATGGTAAATGGTAGACTGTAGTCCACGACTGCAAGCTACGGACGAGGCTGTGATTGAGGTTCACGGATTTTCGCATGCGATCGGGAAGAGTCTAGGAATGGAATGCAAGTACGAGTCTGCTTCGCCATGTTGAATGACGTGCTGGAATATATCAAACCCCCAAAGATTCACCGCCCTTTTCATCCAAGCCGCCATCGAGCGTATTTTTAAGCTCTCCCTTTTCCTCTTGCTCTTTCGTCAACTGTTGGAACCTGCGCTGGATGCAGCGTCCATGTCCAAAACTGTTGGCCGCCCTGTCGAGGATCGAGATAGCATTCCTTGAGAGCTCCATTCCAGTAGGTGGTCCTCTTTTCCCAGTTGTGCCATTCAGTTTCGCGTTTCCTGCCGCCGTGCTTGTAACTATACAAATGCCTACCACCTGCGTCTATTCGAAGCTTAACTTCGACGTGCTGAGCGTTGCTTGGAAATTCTGGGATGGCATTGGTGAGGGCAGACGCAGCCGATGTAGGCTCGCCGCCATCGTTGGCAGGAGCACTCATAGAAGAATATTCATCATCAAGCCCTGGACTCTTGGGGGAGTTCTCGGCATAGCTAGGACCACCCATTGTATCGTCGGGCTCATGGTAGCCCTCTTCATAATGAGCACTTCCAGTGGCACCATGTTGGCCAGATAACTCTCCATAGCCAACATCTCCCAGGACATCGGCTTCATCGTAGGACATCTTCTGATCGGAAGCTCCAGGGGCATCGTAATGTGTTCCATAATCAATACGCTCCCCCTCGGAAAGTCCTGCTGGTTGGTGTGGCGGGGTCGTGTTGCTTGCAAGTATTTGAACTTGTGACTCCGGAAGACCTTGCGGATAGCGAAGGATGGTCTCAAAGCCTTTCCACAGCTCATCAGCTTCATTGCTAGCGGCCGCAATATAGCTGGATCTGTCAGCAAGCTCTGGGGTTGACGGTACCATTGGATATGCGTAATCATGCTCGTGTACCATAGCCGAGCGGTAGCTCCAATGACAGTCATGGAGTATGCTTCCTCGGCGACATTCTCTATCAGCCATGCAATGGAAGCTGTAAATGCCTGCCTCTCCAATGTCTCGATATTAACCTGTGTAGCACTGTATCTCTTGGCCTCGAAGAGCAGCAGTGCTCCAAACTTGCCCTTTTTATGTCCTCGACTAGGTCGCCACTTCTTGACGACCAGGTCAACTCTCCTCCTGTCTGAGAGGTCGTCTTCCGTGGGAGGAGATTCAGGAGCAATGCTAAAGTCAGGTCCAACAAAGATCTTCTCTTTGAAGATGTAAGACCAGAATTCAGTAGTTGCCGCCTGGAATTGTGATCCCAGGGGCATCGTTCTCAAAGTTACCTTTGGACGATAACACGGACACCATTTCCCCAGCGATAGCTGGAAGATTCTGCCTCCACAATCTGCGGAGTGAGTTCTCGCTGACACCCTCAACTATCGATGACTAGCTGCGATTCAGTGTCAGGCATGTCTTGCATGACGGTGAACAAACTTGCCTAACATGATATACAACTGCAACTCATGGCCCCTCCACCTTGGTAGCTTGTCCATTGTCCAACACCAAACGCATGCTAAGTATAGAGATCGTCGTTGCCAGTCTTCGGTGCCATTGAAGACCCCTTTCATATAATCGAGAACCTGATTAAGTCAGCTCCTTGACATCCGGAGAACAAGCTATAAATACCTGAGGTCGTGTCAAGTTGTCTGCAACTTCGCAGACGCGCATCAAAGCATAGCCGACCATGCGTTGAAGTGCAGCTACTCGCGTCCATAACTTGTTGTTCCCTTCCAGATCACTAGCACTGCGCAGCAATCCTGCCGCTGTCTTAAGGATTGCTGGTTTGTCGTCATTATCCGAAACCTGTCTCTGCCGAGGTGGCTCAAGTCCTTTGTCCCAACAGAACACCATCTCGAGAATGTCTTGTACATGTTGCGGGTCCAGGTTGTGCTGTTTCATCGTAGCTTCCCAAACTGTACTCTCTGGTACTTGCTTCCTAATCTTATTCAAGTGCTTCCGCATAGTCTCCACTTTCTCCTCATCGAGTTGTGCCTGGCTAAGAAATTTTTTCTGCAAGATGTAAGGGTCCCAACGATCTGAACGGTGCGGATCTGTCCCTAGTTGAGGCACGAACGAAGGTTGGAATTGGCCATTCTCGACAACTCTGGAATAGGACTTCTGAACATCTTCAATTGATATCTCGTGGGGGGCTTTCCAAGGGATAAACTCATAGATCTCTCTTTCTTTCTCGCGAAGGGTACTGTGAGATTTCGACAGCTTGGGGAGCTTAGGAAGCTCGGGAGGTTTCGAGAGTTTGAGACGCTTGGAAGATTTCGAAGAATGTTCACCGGAGAGAGTCCAGAACTCGATAAGCAGTTGCTGACCCTCTGAATATTTGCTGCTAGGCGCACGATCCGGTATCGTTGACGGCTCAGGCTCAGGTATTACTGAAATCTCCAGCCTGGCCAAGTCAGCCTCAGTGCCGGAAGTCTAGAGTAGTACTAACTCTTTAGCCAGCAGGGAGAATTTATATCCAGCATTGTCTCTGAAGAACTTGTCGTATATGCCTTGAGCAATCTTGATGATTGGGGATCTATGAACTGGGACTTGTGACAAGCTAAAAGGAACACGACAATGAAGGCTGTACTCATGGTACGTGATGTTGCAACGACGTCGAAAGGGGTGGAAAATGAGCCGTACTTCGCATTCTGTCTGGTGAACGATAGTGCTGAAGCGAACCACAACTTCTTCGTCGCCGAGAGTGTATTGAATCGTGGACACAGGCAAAGCAGCTTCAGTACAGAGGCCAAGATCATGATCTGGCGTCCTTTCAAAGGCCATGGTTTTTGTTCGAAGAGTAGCTAGGAGGTGGGTGTCCAAATCGGGGTCCGAACCTGGTTCGGACCCCGATTTGGACAGAGGTGAATGGGTTTCTCGACTAACCGAATTACGATAAACCACATCCAATAGGACCCCTTTCCCAAGCGAATGCTCCTTTTCGCCCTTCCTTTTTCTATCTGAAATCAACGCGCGCCACTTCAACCCCATCGCTTTGATCCAGTCCATGCCTGACTATCGATCAATGGCGCTTCTTCTCCTCATCCCATGCTGCTCCGGAAGAAACAATCCTTGAATTAAATGTCATCAATGCGCGGGGATGGCTGATCATAAAATCAAAAATCATGATCCGGTTTCGATATGATGGCTGGTAAGTAAGATTATAAGTAGGGCGAGAGGATGCAGTGGTCCTGCAGGTGCTCGCCCTGCCTTGCCCATATTCTTTCACTCACAAGGCAAACGAGCGTGGCACAAAGTACTCCAAGCCACCCGCCAACATGCATGCCAAACAAGAATTGGCATGCTCAATCGCTCTTCTTATCCTAATACCTTTGGATCTGTTCAATTACCTATTGAAGAAAGATACACCCTTGCACAAAATTTCGACTGCCATTTGTATTATATTTTTCATGTTATCTGCAGTCCTGGTGGGGATTTCAATCTCGCGACTTCAAGGTAAAAGCAATTCTGCTATATTAGGTTCGATCGCTGATTTAATAGATCATTACCGGTTCCAGCAAGAGTATTCGTTGTGGCTTCTTACTGCCTTCGGCTTCTCAGCATTACAAGAGGTATTCCCGAAACCTATTTTCTCGGCCCTCATTTCAGCTAACCACACAAAGGCCCAAGTTACATACAGTTTCATCAGAATTTGGTTCAAAGAACACAGCGGGCTGGAGGTTGCATCTAAAGTCATGGTTATCATCCTTTCTTTGGCTGAGTTATCACTGTTCATTCTGGGTTTCATCCCCTTTGCGTAAGTTCCACAATACCCGAGATCAGGAAGCATTGAGTAACCAATATCTAGGAATGGAATTGTCACGTACCTAATCAGAGGAGCACCCATTTTCTTCCTCACTACATGCATCCTCTGTTGCTATCCTGCACTTCGCTTTTCTATCAAAACTTTGAAGTACGGGCGGGATATGAAAACAAAGCTAATACTGCCTATCCTCACTTTCTTCCAAATCTTTCAACCACTTCTCACGACTGTCGCTTTAACTTGCATGTGGCGAAATGCATCTTCGACCTATTTTATTCATTGGCTGTGGGTAAGGCACAACTTCCTGACATAAATCAGTCCCTCTCAGTATTCTTTACTGATCAATATCAGATTCTTGCATTGTCGGGGAAAGCATGCATCTGTCGTATTGTATTACAATCCGCGTGGAATTGTGTCGACAAAAGATGGTTCTCAACAGCAACCACAAGCCACCTGGAAAACAGGATCATAAGAAATGCATCTGCTGGAGAGTCTATACAGAGTTTTAACTTGGAGGCAGGTCGTCGATATGGTGTAGGATCGATTTCTGAAGGATAAATTAATGTCCCTCGAGATTTGGAGGTTGCACATACCAGAGGAAATTAGCGGCTTGTAGACTCAAATATTCTTGGTATTTCATTTCAAATGGAGAGTGCCTTATGAAATGAATTCTAGTTCCGTGCAAGTCTTTGGTTCTCCACATCTTGCAGCAGTAGACAATTGAGACAGCAGCGGTAATTACATTTCTTGCAGAGGTTCCCCGAGACAATCAACACCGGTTCTTCACAATCGCAACACTGTGCCCAATCTCTTTTCCTCACACGCACTTTCCTTTCGATCTCATCTCCTGTCATTTGTCTAGTTCCCGCTTGTATCGCCTCAAGCAGTATCGGCTCCAGATTCTCATCCCCATCGCTGTGCCTACCCAACAATGCTGCAAGGCGGAGAGTGGAGATGTATCGCGAATTGTTTGGCAGTGGTGTGGCTTCTGTTATCTGTCAAAAATCCATCGAAAGAAAATAAAAAGGACATGCCTGTCATTACGGCTAGGTGAAATCAATCTGTTCTTGTCTTGTAGCCTTTTGTGACTGCTGGAAGTGGTGCAAGATATGCACCGACCTATTCACCAAATGAGCTATTGGCCAATAGAATGTCCATTTTGGCCAAATTTAGGGCCTTTTAACCAATGAAACGGCATTGACGAATAGATCAAGCGTTTCATCAATGGATTGATCTGCCCAAAATAAGCTGATGTTTTAGACTTAATGTTTGATCCCTCTCCTTTTTGCGCTAGATCTACGTGAACAACACAACTTAATAAACTCGAATACTACTATTTCCATGTTTAAGGGTCTCTTACTATATGATCTACCAATTATGGCTTAAAGATATACTTTTTGAGTACAATTCGAATATGCTAAAGCATCAGCAATAGCCTATTCATCGAATTAATTAATAATAGATCTCCTTTGAGGTGCCAAACACGGGAAACACTTATACCTAATTTTTTTCTCAAACGTCATTTTTTTTTAAGTGTTTCGGGTGTTGTATTAATACCCTTTATTTACCCCGCACTATGACTACTATTACCCACTATTCGATTAAATATCAACGCAATACTCTTATATTTTCATCTACTATTTTATTATTTCATCAAACCAAATAGATCAATCATGCTAAACATCAAAAAACTCACAGATTCGCTTGCAAGCACTCGATTCATGCTTCCAAAGCCGGCTTTTGAAGTCAATAGAAAAGAGTGCTAACTTCCATAATATCAAGCAATATATATTTGGCCAAATAGCTGACCCCTTCATGAAACGATGAAATTTGGCTAATAGAATATTTAGTGAATAGGTCGGTGCAGTACTGAAAAGAAACTATATAGAGAGCTTTTTTTCCAGCAAATGATGGACATCCAGCGCCACGAAATCAAGAAAGTCACAGCTAGCATACCATCACTCAACGTACATTATTCATCAGAATGGCATCTGTGCCACCACCCAACTACTTCAATAATGCTGAGGTCGCACCAGAGCCACTCCACCTGCCCCAACCTCAGCCACCCCAACCAAATCTTCAGCCGTTGGAGCACCTTCCACCAGTCCCGAGATGGCATCTCGAACCAATTCAACCTCAGAATCCTTGTGAGCTGCGAGATGAGCAGTTCCAAGTCATCATGGCGTCACTAGCTCAAGAAGTGGCCGAACACAATAGTACTCGGGCCAGGTTGTATCGTTATGTGACTGGTGCAATGAAGCATGAACGCGACCTCAATTCAGAGAGGCACTCAGTACGATACTTGCACGCCATCATTCATGACCTTCGTACCCAGGTCCAAGACGAAAAAATGAAACGAATTGCAGCCGAAGAGGAGAAGCAACAACTCTTGCTTGAGAATGAAATAGAATGCGAAATGCAATGCGTAAGTTTCCTACTTTGTGTCCTTATCAAATATTCATTTCGAAAACAGGAGTACGAGCCGTCAGCACCGCCGCTTAATGACGATGCTCAGACGCTGGCGAATCTTTTCGATATTGAAATGCCATCGAGTGCACCAGGTGACTCAGGTCAAGCTAGCAACCAACTTCCCGTTCATTCCAACGAAGTGAACTATCGTCACTTCAACAGCCCTGAGGTGACGACAACACGAGTAAAACTTTGCAGACAAGCCAAAAGGAGCACAGGGTGAAAAAGCGAAAGGCTACTAGTCCTCCAATCAGCGAAAGCGTCTGCTGGGACGGAAGTGCTAAGCGCTGCAAGCATTGATGATTCTGGGAATAAAGAGGGAGGAAAGTTGGAAGATGTATCTTAGTTTTGATCTTGGATTGGATGTTTTAGATTTTTAGAAAGTACACAATATCATTTCTTTGGGCTAGTGCAGAACCATGTGACTGTAAAATTCCAATACGAAAAGCATCAGAAAGCGATCATCTTTGACGATGAATGGAACCTATTATGTGATCAATACCCAGACGGCAGACGAAGTTTCTCCTCAACGCTGACAGCTGCCTCAAAGTCCATCAAATCGAGATCTGTCTTTCGTTCAATCGCCAGAGTAAAGTCAGGTAGATGGTTATACAAAAGAGCACGAGCTAACGCACTTGCAGCTTTAAGGTTCTTAAGCATGCCATCCGCTGGATCTTGTAAACGATGTCGAAGCCCAAGAAAAAACAAATCCCGTGACTTCCTACTCAACCCCTCAATTGCCGCCGTTGATTCACAAGTCCCGCACAATGCAGTACATGGAAAGTCCAAATGCCCCTGGAAGATATCAAGCAACTCTGCCCATACTGTTGATCTGGATGCATGCGATTGTGCAGCTTTCCACAACTTGGTATCTGGGGGCAGCCGCATGATCTGTTGCATGGCGGCACGGACCCAATTATCAGCACGAAACGAGGTCCCACCAATCTGTTTTAGAGACCGGTAGAACATACGTGAGTACTGCTCGCGATAATGGCGATTTCTCAGGATATCCTGAGCATGGTCATCATTCTCCACCTTGTGGTAAAGGAAATCGAGACCTTGATCAGTGATGACATCTGGTTTAGTAACACGGTGAAAGCGGACCGCAAGATTGAGGATTTCAAGCATCGACTTTTCACTGGCGAATGACTTGACACAAGTGTCTACGAACGAGCTTCCATCATGCTTTTCCTTCCGCAGCTGCGAAGATCTTGGTTGCGTGCTGTCCACGGAGATCGAATCTTCATCCAAACTTCCTTTCGGGATCAGATCTCGGGTATCATCCGCAGTTTCAGCAGACTGATCCCGCACCGTTTGAGACACAAATCTCTCGTGTTCCGTGACTGAAGGGTCCAAAGTACCGGCTAGAAGTTCAGCAAGGATCCGATATCGGAATGACGGTACGATCTCGTCAGCTTCGGCTTGTTCAAGATGAAGTGATCCGACTGAGAAGTCGAATTCCCATCAACATGAAGAGGCCACAATCTGGACTGCCGGCAACTTGCTTGGGTGATTGGCCAATTACTCTTCTGAAAGGTATGTTCGAAAAGTGTTGCTGGTACCAGCGTGCGAAGCTAGGGGTTATATAGCCTTCAGCACTATCATACAATTCAAAAACCAAACCACCACGAGTTGTTGTATCGGACAGTAGCCGTGCGAAACTCCAATGCTGGCGGCTGGAATGGTGTATCGGAATGAAGAGCTGACCACGATGACACACTTGCTGGTAGTCAATGAGTAGGTCTGTGGTCTGCTGTGGAGTGCCAAGCTCAATGGAGTCAAACAGTCTCGTAGAACATATACTGGCACCTTCCTGGCGTATAAGACCAATATAAGCTTCTACCAACTCATGATCCAGCATGTTTCCCGGTCTGAGGAGCTGAAGAGACGATTCTCGCAGATTGTCGACTTTGATATTGGTAAATGTCGCTTGAGCAAGTACATCGGCAGCGGTGTTTCGCCAAACTTCGGGCAGAGGCGGTAGAATGCTTTCTCTTTTGAACCACGAGGAGGGTTTCAGAGCAACAGCATCGTTCGAAGAGTGCTGGATACATGAGATCAAGTCTCTCCTGAGGGTGCTTAGGGCGGTAAAGCCACACGGCAGAAGCTGCTGAAAAGCTGCAGGAAGGTTGTCTGGTCGGTCTCATCCATCATCAGGTCGAACTGTGTAGATATCAGCCCTTGAACCATCTTGCATATCGAGAACTTGGGCTGTACCAGCTGGAGCGGATCCATTGTTGGCATGATGGTCAGGGCACGGGTAGCTTTCTGCAGCTGGAGGTGAGTCTCGAGCTTGAAACATACAATGGGAATAGTGTGCGAACGAGAGAAGATATGCTTCTGTGGGGGGGCGTCGCTATCTACGCGACGCTGGTGGACACCAGGGGCTGGCCACATTGCCCTGAAGTGTCTCTAGCGCCTCGAAGAATCTCAATGCTGTCGATGGCATATGCCGATCAGACCCATTCTCTGCTGGACCTTGCCATATCATCCGAAGTTGTGAGCCGGCAAGGGGTCAGGGTCAATTCACCCAAGTTCGATCTGACCTGACGGTTGCTCGTCGACGAGTGTTGTTGCCACAAGCTGACAAAACTCCACCAGAGTGCGGTATCCCTGCTGGACGGCCGCAGTCTAGCGCTACAACCGCACTAGAGCCGAAGCTAGGATCAGCGCGTAGCGCGCCTGTGAAAGCAAATCTCGACCACATCCGCCTAGGCAGGGGAAAGTGGGTTGACTGCAGACCCGGCCCAGCTCTAGAGAGTTGTCTTTGCAAGGCAAGATCCTGTTCCGGGAGACCGTTTGGCTGTAGTCCAGTCCTGCCGCATAACCCGGTCTTTGGAAACTTAATCCGCAAGTGCGAAAAGGCTTCATATTGCCCATCGTCCAATTCTTCTTTGACATGTACTGGGTCAAAGCACTTAGGCAGCAGATTGCAAGATCACAGTCATCGGAAATGACTTGCGCTGCCTAGAAGATGCATTGATCCAGGAGCATGCAACTCTTAATACATCTCAGTCACAACTCGTTGTCGTAACTGGGGAAGCTCAATCTGTGGCCCCATCCGATCCTAGAACCATAACCGCCACATCCTCCATTCTTTCGACTCCGTGGTAGCATGGCATGAAGTGCCTTCGCAGTCATCACCATTGATCGCTCTCCATCGAATAAGCTAACGATCCGAAACTACTCGAGTCTACCTCATTTCGATCGTCCATAATAAAGTCGTAGACTTGGATCAGTCTTGATTACGCATATTATCACAATATAAAGGCAGTCTATCAAGGTTCTTCCTTGGGGAGGCACATCTTTACAATAATCATCATAATATTTGGATCACTGAGTGACATGGTTATTGGGAGATGTTTCTGATGTCTACAACCCGATATACATGCGGTACATCGTCAAGCCGACTGCGCTTCGCAGATACGCCATGAGATTCTCTGTCAACAGGGAGGGTATTCGTTTTGCCATGTTCATGAAAAGAGTGTATCAGTTCTGAGAAGAGGTCATTGCACTTTGTTCACTGCTTTTATTTGCGAGGGTGATTTGGATTGATCCCCAACCAGCCATCAACTACATAATTCACCAGGTTGCAATACATTACACCGTTTCCATCAATCTGCTGTTTCTTTCTTCAATCTTGCATCGAATGTTCCGGATCTCACCTCTACAACGTGAAAAGGACTGTTGGCACGAGAAGCAGAGCTAAGAGCATGCACATTGCTACCTCTATCTTTGGGCCTTGGGAAGCCATGGTCTGGTTGGAAGGGCTTTGGGTTGAGGTGTTCAAGGCTGCCTGGGACGCCGAAGTCTGATGAGAAGTAGCATTGCTAGTGCTGGTACTTGTTGGTCTCAACTGGCCAGAGGTATGCAAGATTGACGTGCCATGGTCGGAGAAGGACGATATGCTGGAGCTTGCAATCGCTGCAGACAGGAACTCTGGGAAGAGCCCACCATCATTCAGGGCAAATACCATGCCCGCTTGGCAATGCGATCTTGATTTCGTTTGAGCACAGTAAAACCACTGCGGATCCATGCTTTGTACCCAATAATCCACCACATACTGCCCAGTGGTGTTTTTAGGATTGAACTCGTTGAATCCGGTATCTAATCCGTCACTTTTAAGACACGGGTTGCCAAGTGATGATTGTGTCAAGGTGTGATTCAGAGCTAGGAACTCAAATTTCACGACATAATCAACGCCAGCGTTGATTGTGTTCGGGGAGAATGACAAATTTCCAGCAGCTCCGACTGTCACATGATGAGTGATGAAATTCGTGGGTAGAGACGTTGCGTGTGGAGCATTGCAGCCGCTTGTCATGGGTGTAGACCAGTTGGAGGCTGAAGAAGTCGTGGATATTGCTTGGTCGTGGGCTGCCATGATTGTTTTACTGGAACGTTAGTACACGAATGCGCTCATATGACTCTGGACTCACTTCCACGTCAATACAGCATGGCACCCCATGCATGCGCACAAAGTCAATGCGAGGAGGGGTGTGGAATGCATAGCGATGGTATTGTTCTGCTTAGATATAGCTTGATTGAAACAGACGATGAATATATATGAGCAGTAGTGCGCTCTCCAGGAACAACACTGATTCAAAGTCCATGCCCTCGAGAGCAGTCCTTCATTTGTATATATGTCGCTTGTTGTTCTTCTCCAACCAGATCTTATCAAACCATCTTCCTGAAGTAAGCTTTCATGGTTCCCAGATCCGCATTGTGGATTGTCTCTTACCTTCACAAGATCTTTCCACTTGTACGCGTTCATGCTCTTCCAGAGTCGGATCATATCAGTAGCAACGCTGCAACCGAGATCCATAAGCTCGCAGAGAGAGCAGCGATCATGGCCGCAACCCCGATTTGCACAGGTGGCACTGTCTCATGTTTGGCATAAATCGCAGCGGCAGCAAGTCCAGAAAACAGACATGGCGAAAGTGGTGTAGGGGATCCGAACTAGCTGATATGGCGGGGTGTGCTTCCAATTTTCGAGGCGCAGCAAGTGCTTTTATAGTCCAGGTCTGGGTTCCAGCAACCTGATTGTCGGTTACCAAGAGTACTTATTCGTGGGTCGCTTTTCCGCATTCCCGTTTGTGGTAATGCGCAAAATTGCTTTCCTGAATCATGAAGACCACATGGAGGACTATAAATTAATTGTATTTTCCCCTATTGTCCCGAATTCTGCCATACACTTTCGATCTCAGACAAGAATACCACAAAATTTCCACCACCTTTTCTGTTCACCTCCGTGATCTGGAATCACGTGTCTTACCAATTGTCTCGGTGCTTTCTTGCATTTTGCCAGGGCTACCTCAAATTCTGGCAGCATACAAACACTGGGTACCGTTACTCGACAGATTCTGTTTATCTTTGAAGCCTTCCTGAGTAAAAGTCCGCAGGCGGATATCAACCCCATCAGCTATCATGGAGACTTCAAAAACAACGACTGTAGAGCAGACTGGGACGTCAGTCGGCTTTCTGCATCTACATCCCGCGCAAAGCCAAGTCACTCTAGCAAAGACGAAAACTGCTGGGTGTGGAGTGAGACTTGGAATGCTGGCTATAAGTGATATATCTGTCATCGCACCAACATGCAAAGATAAGAAGACGCAGGAATTCTGGAAGGCCACTTTTCTTCGAGCTGCTAAACTCCAGAGAGAACAGCGTACGGCATGGAATACTTTCAGGCAAGGCCTGAAGCTAGACGATGGAGACGAAGACCAAGGATGTCGCTATGCACAAGGAACCTTCACAGAATTCAGAGCCGCGTATCAAAGTACGCAGATACTAGACGGCAGGAACTGGAAGAAATCAATAAGCAGATTGCAGCATTCACATCTAGAAAGGACTCCATGGGCTTTGTAGAGACACTGCCTCTTCGCAAACCCGAACTTCAAGATAACAGGCAATGGGATGTGATCTTCAAAGATCGAAGGTTGCACCGAACTTATGCTCAGCAATTTTCATGGGCATACGCAATACAACTTTACCGCAACATTTGGTTGTCTATTCCCAGTGATGCAGACGAGAATCTGGACAATGTCATGCTTGACGAACTGGAGAAAATAAACAAGTCCTTCGAAGGGATTCTGAAAAGGCTTCCGGAAACGTACAGAGAAACCCATAAAGAGCTTGGATATATCAGAATCCCTACTCTCCTGAACCAAAGGGACTATCCAACTTTTGATGACGAATTCAAAAAGAAGGATGAAGACAACGAGGCTGATTGGGATGAGGAGGACTTGGAAGAAGATTTCTTCGAGAAATTCGCAACTGAACAAGTTGTCCATGATCCTGAAGCTGTCCAAGAGATACTCGAAGAGCTTGGAGGTTCTGAAGGCACTGAAGGGATTCTCGAAACACTCCTCAGAGAGAGTGCCAAAGGCAAAACCACTTCAGGCTACAAAAAGAGCTTGGAGAAATTCAACGAGGTCTTGGTTAGGGCCGACGCTGCAGCCGGAGATTTGAAGTCTGGTCTGCAGCTTGAAGAATTGGAAAACTTCATGGCACAACATGGCGATGTCTTCCAGTTAATTGAAGATATGAAACAAAACCCTCAAGACCCTAAACTCCAATCGAGGTATCAAAACGCCAGGGAAACCGCTGAGCTTTTCGTCGCGCAGAGAGAGCTACCACAGAAGCTTGTGGACTCTATCGTGCCTCCTTTGAAATGGCTCCAGGCGACAACTTCTGGACCAATGCTCAGCCAGCTTTTGGAGACGATCGGAGGACAAAAAGGAGCTTTGCACAACTATCTTTGGTCTCTCGCCGGCGGAAATCCCAATGAAAAGTCTAAAAACATCATTGAGAATGCTAATAGACATCTCGCTAAAGACGGCAACAACATGGCGCCTTATAGCCCCATTGAAGGAGAGCTTCTCGAACGGCTGGTTGCAGATGTGAAAGCTTTCATGGATCTCGAAAGTACTTGTCGCATGAATGTCAATGACAACTTCGCCCAAGACAAGATTATAAGGTTACAAGCTGATCTCTTGAAGACTTGGATGGACTATCCTGGGTATTGCGAAGCTATCACCGGAGATTCGTTCAGGTCTGGGAGGTATAAAAAGCCACTTTCGAATGCAGAGAGAGAGAGAACAAGGATGTGGAGATGGATATGGATATGGACGGCGGGTCCCAGGAGCTCACACGATTCAAGCCTACTTCTTCCGCCCTCACTACTAGGAAGCGCAATGTTGTTCCGAAACCTGCTCATATACAAGAGGTTGATGAGGATTTCGACCCATACGAAGGAGAGGTCATCGAGGAAATTGAAGACGAAGATACTGAGCCGATTCTACCTTATGGAAGGAGACTCCTCCAGGATTCGTCAAAGGACGACGGCCAGACTCCGCAAATAACGGTTCAAAAGAAAACAAACAATAGCCCCAAAGCCCCTATTCGACAAAAGAGACTGGCACCTACACCTGCAACTTCTAGGAAGCCGACTCAACAGCAGCCGCCCGAATTAATGTCCATAGATGATAACGAGGAAGACGATACTATTGAGGTAGTCCCGGCACCTCCTGCTGAATTCGACCTCTCCCTCTTCGTAGAAACATCAGCAAGACCAGGAGTTGTGTTAGGCCAAGTCGATGGTATCGATGCTGAAAAGACGATTCTAAGCTATCGGCACGTGGGGCACCGCTCGTCCGACTGCGAAGACTATCTAAGAAGCATGGTATCTCATGAAGGTGGGAAGCGCCGCAGAGGATGGGGTCTAGGCCATCAACTACTACTCAAATATCACCACCCTGGCCGTAAACACCCATCTTTCGAATTTGTTGCCGCGAGCACCTACAAAAGCGCTCTAACGGACTTTATTCGTACGGGAGGGACGGAGTTCAAAGCTTCGACTTGGGAAGACTTGAACGGTGCAACTTGGCGCGATTGCACGATTGGAGGCGTTCTCCCTGTTAAACGAGACGAAAATGATGGTTATTCAAATGCTGCAGTCACTTATATGCTGATTAGGGTCAATAAGTTGACTCCAAAATGGTTCACGATGTCGACATTGAAAAAAGAATTTGGGGATCAAGTCATTTACGAAAAGGAAAGGCACATGAGGAAGACGGGACAATTATGTTCGAAAGAACCAATACCGAGGCCTCTCAGGCAAGAGTTGATGAGAATGGAGCAGCACAAAAGAGCTATGATGGGACAGCAGATGCCTTTGAAGGGTACTTCTGAGATGGGTAAACTTCGCAAGAATGTAGTTCGAAGTGCAGATGCAATGCAGCGTCTACAGCAGGAAGGATACTTGCCAAATTCCGCTGCGGCAGGTCCGTGGGGGATGCCTGGGTTTATGGCCATGGGAGCACCTATGGGAATGGGGGGACCACCTTGGGCGACTGCAACTTGGGGCAATGGCAAGCCTCGCAAGGGCAAGAATTCCGGTGGCCATCCTGGAGGATGGGGTACTCAAGGCCCGTGGGGAATGCAAACCCCGGGTAACTGGGGTATGGGACCATCTCCCCCTTGGGGAATGCAATCTGAAGCTGCTTGGGGTGGGCCGGGTCCGAATAGTCCATGGAATATGCCACCATCTAGGCAACGGGGTAATATGAAGGGGTCCAGGCAGAAGACTGCCCCCAATCCCCAAAATTGGAACGCTATTTATTCAAGTCTCTATCCTCCAAAGCCATCGACTCGTGATAAGAAGAAACCAAACGGGTACTCTGGTCCTTGGGAAGCTTCACAGGAGAATGCTGAAGGGCCCAGTGAAGACCTTGGTGATGGCGATAGTGTACTTGAAGAGGGAGAAGAGGAAGAGGGTGAGGAAGAAGAGTGTTCGTAAGTATTTACATATTTACCCTTTCCCGTTGACATTCCAATTAATGATCTTCAGATCGGAATTTGAAGACTTCATCGACGACACAGAGTACCCTCCTCCAACATGTTTCGACCCCAAGCTTTGCAATCAATCCCAGAATGCTTATATTAGAGGTCAGCAACCTCAAGCATACTCTCCATGGCAATACAATGGGTCATACTGAGCTCCTCCGAAGGCTACTAGAATATTTGGCGGGATGTTGATGTTTTTTTATTTGGTTTGCTCTTTCCTGATTTGGCGGGATGTTAATTTTTTATATTTGCTTCGCTCTTTACTGGTTTGGGACATTCTCGTTATGGAACATACACGTTGGGGACCCAGATTGTTTGCAGGAAATAGACTAAATAGACTTAAATTTCGCTTCCAGTTTCTTGCTACATGAACCTGCACTGGTATTGAAGAAAAATGTGTGCAATCTGTATATCCTCCCTCTGTAACCCAGAGCATCCCGTGACAACATTATTATTCTCTACGGAATCCTTCGAGCCCACCCTGAGTCTGGAAATCAGTGTTAATGTCTGTCTGAGTAGATTGGGCTCGTACCATACGATGAATTCGGTGTCGACTTGGGACGCCATTTGGATATCGAAGGGCAGCGAGATTGGGAACTTGGCATGTTGAGGTTTCGAACCATATGTTTTCAATGGGAAGGCGGTCCAGAAATTGCAATGCAGAGATCGAGACGCGTTGAGAGAAGCAGAAGAACTCGAGTCGTTTGACCCCGGAGCAGTGAGCGATCCATCCGAGAATCTGTTCAGGCCTCTCTGTTGGCGGTATTGGCCACTGTACACGTAGATTTGCCGGGTTGTTGCGAGCGAAAGGGCTCAGTCCATAGATGAACCCATCGAACCACAGATCTGAATCCCAGATCTCGAAAGTATTTTGCCGATAAATGACATCTTCGGCAATATTGTGGAATCGCTTCGAGACACGAAGTAGTGCATTGGCTTCAGGAAAGGCCGGTTGAATGGGACGGTACCCAATGTTGATTGCTCATCCCGAACCAATAGCTGGCGAAACATTGACAATAGTATCTCGTCAAATACATGATACATAGGGCTCGTATGGATTGCCGTTGACGCCATGTTGACTTCTGTTTGGTGTGGTGACAGCAGTATCTCGTCGGATATTTGTTGGGTGGGAGTCGTATTGATTGGGACTAACGCCATGTCGACTTTTGTATGGTGCATTAACAACAGTTTGGAAGAAGGGAGCAGTCAATTTAGGAAACCTATTATATAATTGAAAGGCTGCGACATGGACTCCTGGGTTTCCTGTTTCCGGGAGTGGAGAGTTCAGCCAATGCCCCTTTCCAGAATACGCGAAACCCCTTTCCGAAAAACGGTTTTACGTCAACGCGACAGCTCCTAAGCGAAAGGTTACCCACACGGACCCAGAACCTCAGAAGTGAAAAAAGGTCAATACGATTTCTGCTATTTCGAATTTCGTCGAAGTCAGATTATGTCCATAGTAGACTATGTAAACCATGGAGAGTCCAAGGACTTGCGATAAAACGGAGAACAAAAAAGTTGATGCGAAGTCATCCTAACTGCAGTAGCACAAGTTCTGCGCCGAAGTTTACGCTCCAGACCTTGCCTCCATGTCTTTATTATTGCGAAAGTCGACACTAGGCAACTTCACTATGTGGGAGAAACAACAAATAAATCGAGTGAAATGGCTTTCAGATCGGCAAGTTTATAGGGAGCTACGGGACATCATGTGAGGACGAAATTACTCCTGGCAACGCATTTCAGAAAGATTACAGGAGCGACTCGACAAAGGGATGTTTATCATTGAACATTTTGAACCAGGCAACATCGCTTACGAGTGGAATGTGCTCTGCGACGAAAAGATCTCTTGGGAGCGAAACAGCCGCCCCTCTTTTATGAATTACTCTTTCAATCGGGCGTGTCTTATTAATCTGAAAACCATTCCAACACAAGCAGGTCTTGGCCCAGAGGGTATGTTCGGTGCTTTGAGAAGAGCTCTCTCCGTGCACATGGCAACTGACACTAGATAGGCCGAGTCCTTGGCACAATGAATCTCGACCACTGGAGAGGATTCCGCGCAACTCTTGCAATAGATACGGAAGATGGTTCGGCAGGGCAAGAATTCAGGGCAGAACCAGCAGAAAAAGGACGGTACTACGCGGAAGGGCCTGAGTACAGGATTGAGTACATTCATGACCGCGTGGAGGATTAAAAAATTGCTGCAGCGGAATAGTCAAATCAGGGTGTTATTTGTTATTTAACGTGCGTCCCTCCGTGCCGAGACCCACGGTGTCACGAGACGAAAAATACAAAATTCTATTTTATGTTCTCCCTTATCAGTTGGCTAATCCATATATAATGTTTCATGATTCTCCACCCCTTGGTCTATAACATATTTACACAAGGAGCGAAATCGGAAAGTTTTGGTTGCTGTCGCCGTCGATTTGTTTATTGTACAATCTAATAGCCAAGATTCAACCCCTTATTGCACGGTCGATATCGCCAGCTATTCTAATTTCGGAGGCCTGTTACTAAAATAAATATCAGATAAGAACCATACTAGGAATTTAAAGACAATAAGCCTCGTGTGGCTGGCATAAAAAAGTTTCGCCAATTAGGAAGGGGTGGCGTCTTATGTGGATCAATAGACAAACGTAGAGCAGCGTCTACACTATGCCGTTTTTGACCTAGCACAGTTTGTGCTCCGCGTTTGCGCCTAGCCACATATTATAAGCTCTCTGTTTCTTCGTGCCGTATAATAAAATTATATGGTATTGAGTTCATCTATTCCGACGATTCCTAACACGATAATATACTACGGTTTTCTCGCTTCCTTTCTAGCTTTTGTCTTAGAGTGTAGATCTATTCATTAAGAAACATCCAAAGCTATAGAAGGATGAACCATAAAGAGATAATAGCCGTTCCTATGAGACTAACTATACTAAAGTATCGACATACGTGCCACATTGTCTCCCAATGAGAGGTCTCCAGTTGGTCGGCCGCAAGTGTAACCTGCATCGAGCTCAAGATCGTAGAAACTATAGCAAATACAAAAAGTATTGGCCTGTATAGACGTCCGAAGAAATCTCTGTATTAGCCATACACTTGCTTGAAATTGAACTTGCGGAGAAGTAGCGGCGCATATAAATTGAGTCGCGTCAACCTTAGTTCGCTATAGTAGTATCTCCTCGTTATAGCTGAGTCTTCAATATTGCTGAGTGCTGAGATGAGCCGGCAGAAAGATAGCTAGTCTACGTCTTTAGGGATTAGACGAAGATGGTCTTGCTAAGCAATATGGAAGTCGGATTCGTGCCGGATTAAATAGTAGTACGTCCGCAGGAATCCAGTCGTAGCTTTACAAAGGTCACTCCGACTATAGCTTGCTTGGCCTAAGCCCGTGTCTAGATATGTTTTCCAGAATGTCTATGATAGTAGATATCGTGGTAGAGGCTTAATAAAGATTCGATTATATATCCAAACCAGATGTAGTCGTGGTTCTTCCGTGACGACGATCTCACGACCCTTGACCCGCTGGCGGTGCAACGGGCTAATATTAGCGCTAGAGAAAGTCGTTATAATCTAGAGATACGGCGCTATTGTCTCCAAATCTCTGCTCTAGAATTCTTGCTCCAGAAACTGTCTCATGCGGGGGATGTCGTTTAATATAACTAAAGGATAGCTTGGCAAAGTCGTGGTCGTTGGCGCTTCAGCTGCAGGCTCGTAGTTGTGCACGAGTTGAGCTTCTTTGGAGAATGGAGGCATTTCTAATCGTAAGAAATATATCTAAATGGGTCAAATCTACATAGGGGACTAATTGTGGAAGGCATAAGTATATTTTCAATGTAAAGAATGGATTTGCGCCTTAGGCAGCGAGGAGCTCGCTTTCCAGCTGTTCTCTCAGCCCCTCAGCCCCCTCAGCCGCAATCTTGCTGCAGGCCGACTAAGCAGGCAGAGCGCGCTTCTTTCTTAGCCTAGTATATACTCGAGAGTTGTTAGCTCGTTTCTATGCTGCCATCCTCCACTTTCTTTGTCATATCCACGTTCTACACCGGAGACAAACTATGGTACGTCGCACGCAGGGCGCCAAGGCACGACAGGCTAACCCGGGGCTAGGCTCGGTCGGTGACCAACGACGATATCGGCCTAAAGGTGCTCCGCGAGGCACCAGTAGAAGAAGCCACGCAAACTGTTGAGTACATTCGCATATACTGTCCACTTGCTCCGACTTGTGCTAAGCCGCCTAGTATTGTCGCAATTCATAGCCTTAGTGCCCATCCGGACGACAGCTAGTGTAAGAACGTCGGCAAGAAGGAGGAGCTACAATGGTTTAACTAGCTCATCGAAGACACTATGCTACCCGCAGTAGCGACCTATGCACGTATTATGCGATATGGATACTAGTCGGGGTGGTTTGGCAAGGAGACAATACAGCAAACCGTGTCCACAGTAGCAAATCGATTGCTACTAGCCTTAAAGCGGAAGAGAAAGGTGCCAGCCCTCTTCTACAAGCGTAGTGCGTCTGCTAACTTAGTTAGGATGTTGCGTTTCGTCCACTATTATTTGTAGCGCATTATTTTAGCGGTCTAGTTGTGCTAAAGATAAGAAAAGTAAATTCGGCGAGGACGTGCCAATTGCTAAGGGTTTATTAGGCACTGCTAGAAGCCGAACAGTACTAAAGCGAATAGCCTAGAGTATTCCAATCGACCACTAGTCTAATCTTCTTTAGCACGCCGTTTCGAGGTGCGGAGGGGATGGATCAGATAGAGATGCTAGACGCGGCGCGGCGCGAATACTGCGAGAATCAGGTGCAGCCTACTGCTCTTAATATACTCTAGCCGGGGAACGCGTATCTTTAAGATTTAGTCGATGGCTTCTTGAAGAAAATGCGGGGCCAGATGAACAAGACTCAGATCGCATGCTTTTTCGAGCTCACAGCAAGCAATGTAGAGAGGATTATAGGCAAGCAGGATCGTATTATAGGTTAGGCAGGCACTTATAATACAAGGCTAATCACTGCTATAGAGATTTGTAGTTAGCTAGCACGCTAGTTGTCTCGACCTTTCCGAGTCAACAAATAAATACTCACTCTCGCGGACCCATTTCGACATAAATAAGTTTGGAAAAGTTGACAAGGAAGACTTTGAAACGGTGGTAGAAGTAGTCGACGAGATAATTAAGTTATCTCCTAGACTCGTGTTAGCTCGATCTTAGTGTAATTATATATCTTAGCAAGAGGTGAATATAAATGGAAATTGACTAGTTTGGTAGTAGGAGTCGACTTCGAATAGTTTGCTGTAGGGCGCAATCTCCTATTATTTCCTAAAGCTATATACTTTGTTGCCAGAGAGAAGGAGCTGTCGAAGATGCACAAGCTGCTTTATAATCATAGTAATCGAACCTATATTATTCTATATAGCCTTAGTGGAATCGGAAAGACTCAATTGGCGATCGAATATATTAGACGATACAAGGAGAAATACACGGCGATATTCTGATTAAATGCGAATAATCAGGATTCTCTCTAACTTAGCTTTCGAGACGTTGCTCAGCAAGTATTAAGATATCATCCTTCGACTAGTCTGCTTACTAGCGTAGATTTGGATAACCTCGATCAAATAGTATACGCAGTCAAGGTATGGTTTGATCTGCAGAAGAATACACGCTAGCTAATAATCTATGACAATTACGACAACCCTAAGACACCTAGCAACCTCGACTACTCGGCAGTTGATATACGCTAATTCCTTCCCGGGTCCGACTAGAGCTCAATCATTATCACAACACGATCTTCGCGAGTTAGCCAAGGTTGTCGCATCCATGTCCAGAAGTTGCTAGATATTAAGGAGGGCCTTGAGATCCTGTCGAATACGTCAAGACGGAAAGATATTGCAAAAGGTATATTATTTGCCATTTAATTTCCTAGATAACACTAACAAGACAGACCTTAGCGCCGTAGAGCTTGCTAAGGAACTAGACGGCCTGCCTCTTGCTCTATCCACGGCAGGTGCATACCTAGAGCACGTCTCGATGACCTTATCGGATTATCTTCGCCTTTACAAGGCGTCGTGGTTGAAGCTCCAGACTACGAGCCCACAACTAGTGTCCTACGAAGATCGTTCACTATACACGATATAGCAGATCACCTTCGATCGGATCCAACAACAGAACCCGGCGTCGGCAAGCCTGCTCAAGCTATAGGCATATTTTGATCGACAGGATGTATGGTTCGAACTCCTTCGACATACAAACTTCCTAGACGATCGATGGATACAGGAGCTTACGAAAGACGAATTGAACTTTAATGAGGCCGTTACCCTGCTGTGTAGCTTCGGGCTGGTTGATCCAGATGGGGCTCTTAAGCAGTAGTTCGGGTCTGGAGGGTATAGCGTGCATAGCTGTGTGCACTCCTGGACGGTATTTGTGCTTAACAAAGAGTGGGACGAGAGTTTTGCACGGCTAGCGTTATGTTGCGTCGCTTCGGAGGTTTCCATGAATAATAAAACAGACTCGTGGATATTACAACGGCGGCTGCTTCAGCATGCTATCAGGCAAGAGCAGGCCATACTTGAAGATAAGGTGGATATGGAGGGAATGGAATGGGCTTTGCATAACTTAGGCACCCTCTACGCCGACCAAGGCAAGCTGGCTGAGGCCGAGAAGATGTACACTCGGGCGCTGCAAGGCAGTGAAGAGGCACTTGGACCGGATCACACATCGACACTCTCAACAGTCAACAACCTAGGCACCCTCTACAAAAACCAAGGCAAGCTAGCTGAGGCCGAGAAAATGTACACTCGGGCGCTGCAAGGCAAGGAGGAGGCACTTGGACCGGAGCACACATCGACACTCTCGACGGTCAACAACCTAGGCGCCCTCTACGCCGACCAAGGCAAGCTAGCTGAGGCCGAGAAGATGTACACTCGGGCGCTGCAAGGCTACCAGCAAGCTCTTGGTCCTGAACTTCTGCCCTCTTATTTACCAGCGTTGAACACTATGTTTGCTTTTGGCGACCTCTTCTCGCAAACAAGTCGGAAAGACTTGGCGAAGGAAATGTACAGTCGGGCATTAGCTAGATATACAGCCGTCCAACCTTCTTCGAAATGGTGTAAGCAACTTGAAGATCGACTTTAAGCGTTACAAGTCGTATCTACTGAGTTGGAAATAGCCAAGATTGGGTTTACGGAACCTGTAGCACAAGATTCAAGGCGACTTAAGCGAAAACATTCTGCAAACTGGGAAAGCGGCTGAATAATGGATAAGTCAGAAAAGCAAAAGTTCCTTTCTTAAGGCTCCACTATTGAGTTATACTGTATTATTGATATAACTAGATAATAGAACATACGTCTAGTTTAACTTCTGATCCAGAATCGAGTATAGTCCCATGGTCGTGAGCTTGCAGAGTATCTCGTTATTGTGCGAAGGTAGGTGCAGATATCAAGCTTGCTTAGCATAAATTGTGCTAGCTCGAATATGGTATAGCGTAGACGCCGCTATAAAGAATATGTATTTGACGCGTATTTGATGCAGTCTGTTTTACTCGGCGAAACTTTCTTATACTCAATTGATCTTGCGCTTCAATATTAAGCCTCCGAAATGCGAATAGCTGGCGATTTCCACGGTATAGCAAGGGGTTAATTCTCGAGTATCAAATTCTACGATAAGTATATCGACGATAGCGACAACCAAAATGTTCAGATTTTACTTATTGTATGAAAATCCTGTGAATAGAGTACTAGACAATTATAAGATATTACAAATAGAACGGCAAACTAATAGGACGGAGCATGAGATGTGATTGCATAAAATTTGTCTCGGGACACCGTGCGTCTCGCTACGCAGGGACAAACTTTACACAATCGATCTCATTTTCAAAAATTCTATTGACGGGCAGATGCACTTGTAGAATTCATGCATACAAAAGACAGCACCACAGTGTTGCTGATAAAAAAATAACAGGGCTGCATGTGGCTGTGCTTTACAGTGCCAAGCCAAGCGCTTCGTTTGGCTAGTGGTGATCCGCGCCGAGAAACGCAAAACCGTAAAACGTGAAACCGTTTGCACCCAAAGTGAGCTGCTCGGGTTCGTGACCATTGGAAGGTGTGGCTGTTGCTCTGTGAAATATATTCAGCGATGTGTGCTGTCATATTGAACAACCTCATATCGTCTTACTCTTCACAATGCCACAGGCAGTGCAGCATACCTGGGCCTTTAAGGAGCTCGCCAGAATCGAGGCGCTCCCTAAAGCTGACCTCATCTTCGAAGTGCACAACATAATGAACGGGTACACTTATTCTTGGCGAAGTATCCAGAGGAAATTATGCGAACTCGATATCGACCACTCTCTCCACGTGCAATGGGATGACCTCCGTAGTATCAAGCACAGCTGGGAGAGCTATCCTTCTCTGACCCGTGAGAGACGGCATGAGGACATTGTTTCTGGTCTGTTCCGTGATGCGAAAAGTCTGTCGTGGGACCCCAAATTCCTCCGAACGCTCCTCCTAAACCTAAGGTTGATCCTTATTCGAGCAGGACTCGAAGAAAACGAAGGTTGGTTTATATCGATGAATAAGAGTTCGTGTAGTTAACACGTCCAGCAATCGAACTTGTCAGCGAAAATCGAGACAGACCAACAAAAGTAGGCCTTGAAGACCTCTGGATTAACTGTAAAAGGCCAAATTTGCGCATCCTAGGCAAAGAATGGTCAGAAGAAGATACGGATGATGAGAAATCAACTCTTTTGAAGCGGGTAGAAGGACGGGAGCGGACTTCAGCACGGTGGTGGAAGAAATGGTTCTCATTTTAAAAATATGTTTGGCGAAGTATCATCGTATACATTTTGGGGCGCGTGACACTTTGGGCGCGTCATGAAAAAAAAAAATTGTAAAGGAATGACAATAACATCTTGTTGATTCAATGTGAAACGCTTGCAAGTTGACCATGCATTGGCAGTGCTGCTGTAGAATGTTCTGAGGAAATCACGTGAACATACATCTCGACTTCCTCACGACTTGAAAGAACCAGCGTCAGATGGGCTCGCATTCAAAGGTTTGACTCTGAGCTGCACCACAAAGACGAAGGAGTTCGTACCATGGATTACCCTGTCTTGCTCATCTGGGTCATCCAATGATCGGGACACTCTTGCCGCTGACCCAAGGCAGTGCATGAACTAATGCAAGCTGCGCCCGGCTTTCCAGAATCCGTTTTGGGTTTTCTGCCATCTCGCATTACTTGTCGGTCGGTAAATTGTGTGCCTGCCCGCTATTCAAGCAAAAGCACTTTTTGGTATTTCAGGCATTCAACTTTCGAACTTGACAAAGCAGCAACTGCATCCTAGTCTTAATGTGGAAAAAAATGAATCTTCATGGTCTAAATGACCGTTAGACCATCAAAGATGCTTACTCAGGATCTGAGCTTGGGATGGGCAGGAAGGAAGTGCTTATCGTAACTTGAATAGCATTTTGCTTTGTGGGAGATTCGCTTAGCCTAGCGTCACTAGTAGCCAATCAAATGCTCTGCTTTGATGGATTCGAGGCTAATCGAATTCGTCTCCAGGGCTTGCCAAATCTTTGAGACTTGAACGTCATTTGAAATACCAACCACAACTCCAATTCCTCTTCAAGCCACAAGTTAAATTCCGTAGCAACTCATAAATTTGCCTTACTGGTCCTCTTCCTGTTAACATGAATGACCTGACAAACATGCTGGCTAATAGCGACCAACTCCATCTTCTCATCGAGTACTACGATTTCAAGATCCATACGACTATCAATTATCGCCTTGACTGTTTCCCGCATGAACAGCCATTTACATCCCTCCTTAGGTAACAGTCTCTTCAGTTCGGTGGAAGTAGATACTGTGGAGATGATCCAAGGAAAGAGCAGCTCGGAATCAGCCAGTCCTCCGCCCCACAACCGGTCATCTTTTCCTTCCAAACGCGCTTGTCTTTGCAAGAGTCCTGCTTTGACAATCTTGTTGTATACCCCATACTCTCCGTCAGTATCTAGAAGGTCATTGAGTATTGGAAGGGCATTGTCAATTATGAAATGAATAGTCTCGTTGGTCCAAACGGGTCCTTTGGGCGAGCAGTCGTCTCTCCATTCCGGTGTGACCCACTGGTCGATATAGTGTTTATTTGCCCTTTCTATGGGAACATAGTATCGGACATAGGACTGAGGTTTTCGTAATGTGGAAGCATCGAAAGGAGTTAAATAGCCACTCCAGATGGAGGATGCGTCGGTTTCTAGCCCAGCGAGGGATACTGGTGGTGGGGGTGGAGTGAGCTGCCAGCCTGTCTGCACTGATATCTGTTTTGTAGGAGCCATGTTCGTCAATCTGATCTGAAATTAGCTCTGGAAAAGAAACGATTGGGTAGGTGACCTACGTGACATAACCTGCAATGCAAAGCTTATCATTTTGAATAACTTCTAAATGCAAAGCCGTGAACGCTTTGGAGAAGCTTGCTATTCGAAATTTGAGAGTTGCCTGTTTCGGAGATGGAAGAGTTGCACGGAAGAATTGCGTATATGCGCTCAGGACATCCCGGTGTACATTGTTTGGGACAGACTTGGACAGAAAGTCGGATGCTGCTTTATGAGCGATGGAGGTGACAAGTCCACCAATGGTTACTTGATAGTGTCAGCATTTGCCACATTGTATTTTGCTTCTAATTGCTCACCTGTAGCAAAGCATAGCGACGGTGGCGTCTCGATAGTATAGCTCCCTAGTTCCAGCGGGTGGAGCTCTAAAGCCTCCCGGAGAGAAGTCTGCTGAGACGAATGCGACATCCTACAGCGACTCTATTTGATGGACAGAACCGGATCGGTACTTTCTTTGAGAAGCCGTGCAACAAAAGCTCAGAATGTTTGAGACTTCGATGGGCATCCAGTCATCAATCTCAATGTAATTGTCGGCATTTAAATCATCCAACAGAACCTTTACGTGATCTGCCACTCTGCCGAGTCTCGCGCTAAAATCCAACCAACTTTCTATTCCGTCCAAACGTAAACCTTCTCCTTATATGAGTTAGCCTTGAATTCTTATTTCTTGATTATATAAATGTACACAGAACTATAGCTTTCTGATCAGCTCTTCCTTCCTTGAAGATGCTCTAGATCTTAGCTCAAGTACTGATCTCAACTCTCGCGCTTATGTCACATGACCTTAACATAGAAAATCAGAGTGCTCTAGCCTTACTAGTCAAAATCATTGTAGCTCCTCTTTCTGTGATCCTCTCTCCGGTCTATCTTTCCGATCTAGACTGAATTTCGTTTGTATATATCGAAGTCAAACTTCGAAGTTCCCTTTCGCTTCCTGAAGCGAGATGTATTTTAGGATGTAAAGGGGGACTTAGCGAGGATCCTCTGACTTTATTGTTTAGTTAATGCGTAACAGTACGAAGGCGAGCCGACATGAATGTCACCTTTCTTGAGTACGGATTATGTAACGCATAATTTTCTTGTTATTATTAAAGTAAAGAGCGATAACGGGGCAGCAGCAAGACTCGACCGGGGCGAACAATGAGTGAGTACTAAGCGAGGATAAAGATAAATAGGATGCAGTTGCTAAAGGCACGCATTCCTTTTGCTTGTGCTATCATAAACATTATACTTCTTCATCAGTTGGCCGTATGCTCAGTGGAATTACATGTGTTAGGGAGGTCCCGGACATTTGAAAACGGCGGACGTTCCACTGAAACCGACTTCCGGATCGGCAGTGTGCTACAGCATGCGGGGCACAGCAAAAATCAAGTGAACCCGAGCATCTGCTCAATCGTCGTCGCATGCCATCGAGAATATGAAAATAGGATTGATCGCTGGGTATACAAATCCATCTTATTGCTATCATGGAATTTCATCTGCTTTCCACAACATCTGTAACAACAGCACTCCTCCTTCTAGCGTCCATCTTCGTATTCATCGTGCGCCGCCCACGAACTCCGCAGCAAGCCCTCAGCACTGCGAACAAAATCTGCCCTCCATCACCAGAATTCATCAAGCTGGGCGAAAAACTTGCTGCAGCACTTCCCGATAGCGTTATATTTCCACAGGATGCAACTTCTTTCAAGCAGTCGACGGATGCCTACTGGGCGAAGCAGGAAACTGAAGCGGTGCCCGCATGCATCGTTCAGCCCACCGACGCTCGGCAATTGAGCACTGTCGTCGGGGTCCTTAAAACCGAGTACGACGAACGACAAAAGCGCAAAGATAGAAGTTATGAGGAGGGATTGTTTGCGGTTCGCAGCGGAGGTCACTCTTCTGTCTCAAATGCTGCGAGTATTAAAGGAGGCGTATTGATTGATCTAAGCCTCATTTGTGAGGTTGCGCCGTCAGATGACGGATCAAGTGTGGTGATTGGAACTGGTGCCAAGTGGGTAGATGTCTCTAAGGTATTAGATGAGAAAGGTCTTGCTGTGGTTGGCGGTAGGAATTCTCAGGTTGGGGTGGGCGGTTTGACATTGGGAGGTAGGCTTGTACTTCTTGAATCGATATTCCATGCTAATAAAGTCACGATCAGGCGGTATCTCTTTCTTCTCTCCTTTATTTGGCTTAGTATGCTCCAATGTTATCCAGTATGAAATCGTCCTTGCCTCCGGCGAAATCACTACGGCCTCTGCATCACAGAATCCTACACTCTGGAAAGCTCTCAAGGGTGGTTCCAACAATTTTGGTATCGTCACGCGCTTTACAGTTCGCAGCTTTCCTTCAACGAAGATATGGTCTGGCTTTCTCTATATGCTCCCTTCTCAAGCTACCAAAGTCCTCGCTGCTTTCCACGAATCAGTTAAAAGAAAGACTGAAAGCAACTTCATCACTTCCTACGATTACCATGCCTCTGGACCAATCGTCTCTTTCTCTTATGTTCAGCCCCTCGGCTTTCAGGTCATCGCCGCCAATCTCGTCTATACCAAGCTTCCAGAGAAAGATAACCAATGGCCTGTGTATTGGAAAACGTCTGCATTTGCACCTCTGTGGCGCCTCTGGAGTACTTGTAAAGTTCGCACTCTCACCAGCGCTACTGACGAACTGTGTGCACTGAATCCTGCTGGCAGGCGCCAGATGTTTGCTACAACGACTATCAAGAACGACCCTGCGACAATCAAAGCGGTACACCAGGCATATCTCGATCCCATCAGCTCTCTGCGTGGTTGTAAGGGCTTAGTGTGGACGCTGATCTTCCAACCTCTGCTACCAGAGTGGGCGCGCAAAGGACATGATAACCCGATAGGTCTAGCTGATGGTACCAACGATCCACTTGTCATTGTGGCCTTTACGATCAATTGGGACGAAGATCGGGATGATGATTTGGTGAAAAAGACAACACGAGAAGCGATTGAGAAGATGGATAAAGCTGCAGAGGCGAATAGGACATGGCATCGCTTTCGGTACTTGAACTATTGCGCGACGTGGCAGCGACCCTTTGAAGGGTATGGAGTAGAGAATGTGCGATATCTGCAAGAGGTCAGTAGGAAGTATGATCCTGACGGACTGTTTCAAAATGGTTGTGTGGGCGGATTTAAACTTGATCTTGAATAGATTGTCAAATAATTATTATAGCTACACATGTCCAATGATTTTGTCAATCTGAACAAGTACCAACTGCACCGTCGAAATTGAGCCCACCTCTGCGCGTGTTCGCCCCTTTCGACACCCTCGAACCTGAACGTTTTCGTGTATCCTCACCTTTCGATTGCACCTACAGTGTACGCCCTTAATTATATGTTAGCTTGCAAGAATATGGAAGCATGCTGTTTTAATTTGATGAGAGTGCATAGACACAATTTGCATGAAAATTCCGTTAGTAACTAAGTAAGTCCTTTCATGCAATATAAGAATTTTTTTAAGTTAAAGTAAAATAATAGGCAAGCAAGAAACTAACATATAAGCAAAGGGGTATCTTATACGACCCTTCGCTCAACTTCCAAGTCCTTTCGACATCCTTAAACCTGAACTTTTCCTACGGGTGGAATCTAGGCCATTTAGTACAGACCACTGAATTTTGTAAACAATGATTTTCGAGCATAAATTATTCCTTCAACAACTATGTACATTTCTGCCGTACTGTCACTTAATTGGCTATCACCACAGCTCTCAGAGCGTGTTTCTTGTTCTAAGAATACATTCGCACTGACTGCACTGCTAGACTGACTGCATTGCTATATTGACTATACTGCTAGACTAACTGGACTGCTGGACTAACTGGACTGCTGGAGACTAACTGGACTGCTGGACTAACTGGACTGTTGCACTTCTGCACTGTTGCACTGTTGCACCATTTGTATCATCTAGCAATTAGTGAGGAAAAAGAGCGAGAAGGAGTGCGAAGAAGGAAAGAAGTTGAAAATGAGCAGCACAGAGGTTTTGAATCTAGGTGGCGGAGCAGAAGGTGGAGCAGCTTGAATTCAATGAGGAAGGCATAAGAGAGAGTAGAGTGCTCTGGTGTCTTGGCTTGGGGCTCATATCTAAGGAAATGAGGGTATCCCCAGTTTTGTCATGCCCCCTAGTAGCTCCCCTTTTCAGCTCATATAAACTTAAGCAACTCTACATTCTATTTTATCGACTTAAATTCAAAATCTCTGCGCTGTCCGCTTTGTGCTCCTCTCCTCCTTCTCACTCATTCTCCTCACCAATTACTAGATGCTATGCGTACAGCAGTGGAATCAGTATAGCAGTATAGGGGTGCAGCAGTGCAAAGAGGAGAGCTATGCTAAGAGCTGGTCAAGTGATAATAGAAATTCACATTGAAAATATGAGTACCTTCATACTTGAAAGTTAATGCTTGCAATACTAGAAGGCTTATACTAGATAGATAGCGCAAGTTCCGCCCGTATTTTTCGCGTATTTCTTATTTTTCGATTAAATGTACTACGGTTGATCTTTAATACAAAAAAGTATTTATAAGGATTTGTTTAGCAATTTATGAAATAGAAAGATTTGTCAGAAGAAGTAAACAAGTAAGAAAAAAGTTGTTTTTCTAAACATTACTTTATTCTATCAGCTTAGTTATTGTTAATCGCTTTAATACCGCATACTTACTTTAGTACTAACTGCACTACTTTAATAATGCTTGTTGGAAAATTGAAAGAAATAAATGAATAAAATAAAATAAAAGTTAATAAGAAAAAAATAACTAAGAAAAGTGTTTCAGCCTCGTTTGAGTTTTTCAACGCTGGTAAAAATATATGCTTGCCTTTTCTCACTTTTCCTTCACTCTCACTTCTTTCTTACTCTTATTTCCCTCCCACTTTCACCTCCTTCTCACTTCCTTGCCACTCTCACTTCTCTCTTATTCTTATTTCTCTCTCATTCTCGCCCTCCTTTCATTTTCACTCTCTTCTCACTCTTACTCTCTTTCTACTCTCACCTCCTTTTCATTCTCATTTCTTTTTTACTCTCACTTCCTTTTTCTTTTCTTTTCTTTTCTTTTTTATTCTCATTTCCTTCTTATTCTAAGTATTAATAAAAACAAGCAATGCTATAGTCACAAGAAAGTAAGTAGCCATAAAGCGGGCAGCAATGAAGTAAGCAGCAGTGAAATAGGCAACAAACAATAAATAAGCTATACAAGCATAACTAATAAAGTGAATTAATTGTTATACGCGCTGGACAAATCATAGATTTTTACTCATTATTAGACAAATCTTTCTTTTTCACAAACTAGCAATAAAATCACAGTTCTTTTGCTTATCATTAAACAAAACCATATAAATACGTTTTTCTACAGGAAACTAGCCGTATTACATTTCTTTGCGTAACTCTCACCCTTTTCGATACTTTCAAACTTGAACTTTATCGTGTAAATATCACTTTCTCGATTATACCTACACGCTTTCGAGTAGCTCTCGCCCCTTTCACCTCATTCAAACTTGAACCTCCTCGCGTAACTTTCACCCCTTTCGACACGTTCAAAACTGAACTTTCTCGTCTATTTCTCCCCCTTTCGATCACACCTACACCTCTTCACATCACAATGCCACCAAAACACGACCCCAGAATGTCCGCGACGCCACAAAATGAACGTCCTGTGCCTTCTCTCCAACCTTCATTTGACGGACTACCGCGCGGAGACGGCTTTACTACTCCATCGCGACAATATAATGGGGCTCCTCTTATTCCAACTTCATATCCGACCCCAGTCACGTACACCTTCGCACCTCAATCTAGGAGGGTTCCACAAAGTGGGCACTACTGGCAACCTCAACACCCATATGGAGCCGCAGCTCCTCTACCAAATCCTATAGCTACAGGTCTTCCCCGATACTCTTCTGCCAATAGTCGCGCTCCGGAGTATGGTCATTTACCGAGTACGAATGTACGGGGAAATCGCAGTGAGAATAGAACTGCTCTTGCTGGACCTGAGGACGCACAACGGGAGAGGGAAGCAGCGAAGAAGAAGTCCGACCTTCGAAAAATGCAGCAAATGAAGGAGGAATCGGACCAGATCAGGGACAACCAGGCACAAGTCAATGCACAAATCTCGCACGAACATCGCAAGCGTCGAAAGTTGGATATCGCACACAGACTTGAAGCAGACAAACTTAGGGTTCAGAAGGAGAAGAATCTTGGGGAGGAGAATGTCGGGAAGGATAGGAGTATCTGGGAGAAGAAGAATGTCGGGAAGGAGAAGAATATCGGGGAGCTTGTCAGTCCTTCACCAGAGCCTGATGTCGGGGAGAAGAAGAATATCAGGGAGCTTGTTAGTCCTTCACCAGAGCCTGGTCTTTAGGCAGTTGATAGTTAATGCGATGGTTTTCACTTCCGAAAGAATGAAATGTGACTGAAGTCTGATTTTTACAAATGCTTCTCTGAACAATTCAAAGCGTTCCAGACAATAAATAACGTTAGATTATTATAAACTTGCCTGACATTTCATGCTTTGCATTGTACCTGAATTGGATGGCACTCAGTATTGAATACCCACTTCCCCAAATCCACAATGTCGGGCTCAGCAAACATCAGATACATATACTTCAAGACCTCAGCAAAGAAGAAGCTATCCAAGCTATTACTCTGACTTTCGCCCCATGGCATACCGACATTATTGACTGTTGCGAAAGCGACACTATTCCGCGCCGTCTCATTAAGACTCAAAAACATGTCCCACCCGTATTCGGCCCAGCGAGGATCGCCAGTAATGCGATAGGCGTAGAACCAGCTCTCAAGCGACTCTGGAAATGATGCATATACCTCATTTCCATTGACGATGAACTCGCCATTTGCTGCTCCATTTCGGCGGTAGCCATTGTCTATGTCAACTGTCGGGTCCGGAGGATACGTGTTATCGCTGTCGTACCATCCCCAGTCTGCTCTCAGTCAGTGGAAGACCAGTTACAATTATTCCGTTCAGAGGAAATACATGTTGATATAAGAGGTAAAATGAACTGAAAGAACTTACAAAGGGGGCCAAGACCCGTAGTAGTCGTATTGTAGGTCTGATGACATCCATCTGCAGCGGCGATACCTAGGTCACAAAGGGACTCCATGCCCAAGACCTTGCAGCCAAGAAGGAAATTGCCACCTGCAAAACAGCTGTAGTCGTCCATGGTATAAGTCAACCCGCCATTGGTGTCCATAGCGCTCAGAAAGGTCAGGTCATCAAATCCATAAGGATGCACCGCGATGTGAGCCTCCGTACTCTTGACGGCACTAAGCCAGAAATCGGCGTACTCTTCGGTAATATTATCAGCTTTGTAACTGATGAAAAGTCAGTCTATACCCTTTTGAAAGAGCTCTGGGGTCTATGGAATCCATCTCCGGGGTTTAGCCACATCTTCTTTGATGAGTGGCTCCCGAAGCGGAACCTCAAGATCACGGATCCTTGGAAGGAGAAATTAAGGGCGTTTTCGACGTACTGATATGATTTGATCAGGTACTCCAGGAACGAATCTACTTCGGAGTGCCACCCCCCAGCAAAGTTCAACATCCCACCTGCGGTGGTATCGAACTGGGTGCCTACCAGACCAGGATCTAAAAGAAGGTCAGCGAATGTCCGATGACGAGAGTTAGATTAATCTTACAGGTAGGGCTCGGATTCGGGTGTACAAGATAGTACTCTCCAGTGTCAACGAGTGAGCGGTATGTCTCGTTTCCTGTCAGAGCGGCAAGGCGGTACCATTCGAGCAAAAATGAGCCCGCTGATGCCGTGTTGGTGGAATTGTAGGTGACGCCATTTGATGCTGTGTAGGTACCCTCCACGGGAGTGTTCGTACTGAAGTCAACGTCCACGGCTGCTATGCCCGTAGGCGTTTGGAAACCGTAAGCCAGCTTGTCAGCCAATGTCTTGGCTTGCGTTAGCAAAGCCTCGATCTGGTCCGGATCATAACCGTTGTAGAACTGGCCACTTTTGAGCAAGTCGTAGCTAGATAGTAGACCGCCTAAGTAGCGAATAGTGATGTCAAACATTTCAACGTCGCCATCAGGTGTTGTGGTGAAGTCGACCGTCTGGATCCAACCAAGCATCTTTGACACTTCGTCGGTCAGATTCATGACAATGGCAGTATCGAGCCCATCCACCACAGTGACACCCCAGCCATACCAGTCGTTGGTGCCAGTCTTGGATAATGGCTGCAGCTCATCGTAACCCCAAGCATATTCGACATAGGCGTTGAAGGCATATTGATATGCCTCTTTAACGGCCGCTGCACGAGTTGCATTACCACCCGTTCCTGAGGGAAATGCGTACTGGACCGACTTGCATGCTGGTAGGGTCGCATTGCTTGTGTGGGTAGGGTGAGCGGAGGACGTCGTCGCATTGGCCGCGAAAAAATATCCCGATGCCGTGGCGGTTGCAACAGGTACCGGAGGCGTGATAGCAAGCGGGCTGTTGATGGCACCCACTGTGGCGTTTGTTTTCCCTTGGCCTATAGGAACTATACTTGGCCGTGCTGCAAGGGCCCGCACCGGAAGAAGTAACAATAACGAAAACACGCGGGGAAGAGGCTTCAAGATCATGTTGAATTTCTTGGCCCAGGAGGCTGAATTGAGAAGCGAAAAAGAAAGCTTGGCTTGCAGGAGGGAAAACAATCTGGGCCGTTATGGATTTAATACGCCCGGGTTCTGTCTTCTTATACTAATAAGAAGGAAGATCCATTCATTTCTGGACGTTGAACAGCGATCACTCCCTCGATTGCGGGGTTCGATAGTCGGAGTGGCCACGGCGAGATGCAGGATGCGCACCCAAGGTCTACCAGGTCGAGTAACCTTATAACGCTGCAAGCAGCCCCTTTGTAATACTAACCAAGGTCATTCATAATCAAAAGCCAATGACGACCTTCCTGTTTGAGACAAATCCGTCGACAATGTTACATATGAGGGCATATAGAGTCCATGCGCGTGCTGCAATCACATGCAGCAGGGTTCTCAAGCTCGATTGGAAAAGGAAGGTATCCGATAAGGCTAGGAATCGACTGCCGGTGCAGATCATAATCATCGCAGACGCGTGTCGAGAGGTTCGTTCCTTTGTATGAGATTGCTTGGATACCACCGATAAGCAGAGAAGTAGCTGCAGACATATCGAGAAGTATACCTATATTAAAGGAACTGGGAAAGGAAATAGAGAAAAGGAGTTGAGGAAATGTCGAGAACAACGGAACTAGCGCCGCGCTAAATTTCACGTGACTGGCATCCCTTTTTCAATCGCAGCCGAGATCCCGAGGTCGGTGTTTTTCTTCGATTTATGTTTGTTGGACGTGAATGTAGAGAATGTGCCAATATAACAGGTCAACGATCAAAACTATACAGTATGTCTTTTCTATGATTTCTGGACAATGTTCGAAGCCTCTCATTTGAGTCATTTCATTTCACGACATCGGGTACGTACTTCACTCGAAAGTACACCACGAAAACAACCATTGATTGCACGGGGCTCACAGATACGCAAATACTTGTCAACATCTTTCGCCATGCAGAAAAGGATTCATATTCAGTTTCTTTCATTCTTGGGGGACCCATGCAGTCCACAAAAGAAGTTATGTAGAAAGCAGCTAATGGACACTTCATCTTGAACGGTATCAACTGAGCTCGACCCACTTGTTGCTACCTTCCCGCCGTCGAGGCCATCATTTTATAATGACTGACCGTCCTCCATCATGCTTGATGTTCCTACCCTTAAGAGATAGCGCTTCATGATCTTCTCGTTCCAAGGAGCAATCTGGCACCGGCAGAAGCTCTCAATTGTTTCACTGTTCAACCCACCTTGTCCGGCTTCCTTCGCCTTGTTCGATGCCCTCGATCGAGCGTGTGCGGAGCTGGCTGACTTTGATCCTTCTCTTGACTTGACGACTCTGCCCGACTGGACTTTTCTACCCGTTTGACTCGATCTGCTGGCACGGACTTGGCTTTGGCGTTGCTTCAATCGCTCTCCCTCTCTGGTCTGTGCCGAATCTGACATGCAAGAGCAGAACTGCATTCTGTGCTTTAATAAAGCTCTGAAGAGTGCCCTTCTTTCGATGGGTCAGGACCGAGAACTCTTCACCGAACATGGTATTTGTCACATCTCCGCCGCCACCACCTAGATCCAACTTCCAGTACACAGCCGCATCAAAGCAAAGTCTCCTCAAAGGGGATTCGGGGGAGAACTTGTTGTAAATTTGACCGAAGCTATCCTTCAGATTCATGTCGAATTTTCGTCTAGGTAGCTCATCCTTCATGATTGATTGAATGACGGCATTGGCGAAGCTGGGACTTTGCAAGATCTCGGTAAGCATGTAGGCATCGATGTTAGAACCCACGATTCGACGATTGGTGTATGCTCCAGTGGCAATCCAATTGACGAAAGCTTGGAATGCTTCCCACAATGGTGCTAAGTACTCCTCTGAACCCGCACCGACCAAGATCTGAAAGTCAAACTTAGGTGTCGAGCTACCCAGTTCGAGATCGATAAAGTAGGGAATTTTGACTGCAAAGCAGTTGAAGAAGAGCTACTACTGAGAAACTTGGATTTCGGAAGTTTGACCATTGTCGGTAACATGGTAGACAGTGATGAGCAACTCGGCTTTAGATCTGAGCTGGGTCAGCATGTAGTAGTCGAGACTCTCTAGAGTTACGAACTTGGTCCCATGTGCACAATTTCTAAAGTTCTTTGGGATTGTAGAAACCTCCGGATTACGAGCTTTGGAGCTCACAAAATACTCTACCATGTTGCCTTCAGGTTGAGCAGCGTGTGGAAAGATGATCCGAGGTTGAGGAAGGAAAGATCTTTTGTGTAGTGATGATGAGATCGTCAAGGCTTTTACAAGGCCGAGGAAGGTTGAGAAAGCACGGATACTTGTCTCGAGATGTGATTTCGTGATCAGATTGCGGGGATTTTGGAAAGCTGGTCTGAAGAGGAAGGACCGATATCTTGTGCCAGGATGAAGGGACAAGATCGAAGGTGTTTGGGGAGTAGAACAAAGTTGTACAAAGAAGTGAAGGTGTTGAGAAAGGTAGAAATGTGGTAAGCGCGCTTTTGTTTTAAAATCGAAGTGAACGTAAGTCTCCAGACCCAAAGTCGAGCTACTGTAGATGGTGCATACTGGAGGCTGTTGTGTTGAGATCAAAGTATCTTAAATGCTTTGCTCCACTGCTCTAACCAGGCATTCATCACTTGACCATAGATAGGACCTGTGTTACCCAACCAGTGCCAGCCACTTGCTAATATCTAGACTATCTGAGATCTCGAGCACAGGCAGACCTTTATCCCTAGTCAAACCTTCATGAAAGTCAATCAGCTTGGTGTATGGATATAACTTGAAGTTTGAAGGTCATAGCGAGAGAGATGCCTCAACTTTTCGGTCTAATCTAGAGAGGAATCATATGCAGTCTTTGGCGGCCGCTTGCCACAGCAAAAGCTTACATGGACTCGAGTAGCCATCGCCATTGGACCAGATGTGAGTGTCTGGGATGAAAGATTTGTATATTATTATTTGCTAGCTTCACGAATGATCTATTTTCCCTGGTCTTTCTGGAGAAAGCTTGTCTAGCAGATCGCGTCCTGAAGCTCTTCGCTTCACGCTCCCCATTTTTGGCCTCGCTTAAAAAGTAAACAAAAATTTCAGTATATAAGAAAAATCGCAACCACCCAACCGAAAAAGATGAATTGAATCCTGAGGCAAAAACTCAGATCTCACCTGTCGATAAGGGGAGATCGTAGAAAACTTGCTCGGTGTCGTGTGCAGTTTTTGAAGTCGCGTTATGGCGTTTCTCGTTGTGGCGTGGCTAAGTCCATCTGGAAATCTGTCACTTGAGCTAACAAGATATTAGATAACCTTTGGTTTTCCGGACTTAGCGGAAGAAGATTTGCTTATTTAACTTTATCAAGATAGCTAAGGCAAGGCTGAGGGTAGCGAATCAGGTATGAGGAGCGAGTGACTGACGTCGGTTTAGCGCAATGCTAACGTTGTTTTCTCGCGTGCTACCTATTCACCTTCCAACTCGAACTTGGTTCAAGATATTTTTGTGTAAATATTTATCTAATCTTGTTTTCTTGACTTTCTGGATATAGACTTCGATATTCTGACTTCAGCGGCCAATTCGACCCCGAGGCCGTAGCTAGCGGCATCGTCATGACATGTGCATTCCTGCCTGCAGAGCAGCAACACCGATTGTCACCAAGGACAACATGAAGCTTGCTATCGCGCCCGCATTCTGAATGTTTTGCCCTAACACTGAGACCAATATCATCACAATAAAGCTTCCCAGGCCAAATATCACAGCAGCCACGTACATGAGCCGCCTCTTGCTCCATCCTTCAACAAACTGCAGACCCCAACCAAGTGGAGGGTAGTCTCGATCAACGACCACCAGTCTATCTCTCAGCCTTCGTGGTATCTTATTGAGGCAATGCCGATTCGATCCTGCAAGCTCAGGGTGTTGAAACATATGCTTTAGAAACTCTGGCCCAAGTGGGGGAATGATCTTAGGGGGGTTGGGAGGTCCATGCCGATACTCCAAATCTTTTGTTGGAGGGGGTACTTCATCTAGCTTCTTGATGTCAATCAAATCGTTCCCGAATAGTTCGAACTTGGCGAACCTGATGCTCTGTAGACTCCACAGGGAAAGCCAACGGCACCAGCGTGTTCTGAGCATGCTATACTCGGCATGAAGGCACTGGAAGAGTGCTTGATCATTGTCGATATCAGACACATCTAACTGCCTGAGCCTGACAGCCTCTGCGCCAACTCGATCATTATAGCACGTCAGTAGATAATAGACCTCAGCTAAGGTATGGGGAGGGGTTCGCGTTGCTCGACTTTCCGAGTAGTATCTGAGCTCGGTCTCAACAAGAACAGGTGATCTTCTGCCTCTCAACTTGTTAACAACGAACTGAACGATCTCATAAATGTGCTGGAGAAGTTTCGTTGGAGCGCGTCGGATGGTTGTGTCGCTTGGAGGAGGTGTTCGATAATTGACCGTTTGCAGATATTGTTCCATTTCGCGGGCCGCTCCAAGTTCCAGCTCAAGATAGTCGTCATATAACGCTTCTCCACATGCCTATAAAACACGTGTTAGCTTCCTCGTAATAGTCATGAGAGATGCAGTGATAAGCTTACACATTGCCATTTTACTCTGGTCATGCCTCGTGGAATAGGAGGCTCTGGTACGAGAAGAGTCCAGATATACTTTCCAATGCTATTCAAATTCCAGCCACGTGGTGGTACGCTGCTTTCTCCGTCTTTGGAAGAAGTGAGCGCAACAAGCACAGTCTCTTTGTTGTTAAGAGACACATCTGACGAATGATCATCAAAATTGGCAGCAGACTTCTCCAAGTAAGTGTGTCCTAAGAGCAACTGGATGTCTAGCCGTAGCTGTTGGAAGGCATCAGATGTCATAATAAAAGCTTCCAAATCAAGGAAATCGTCTGGATCTTCTTGTACATTTTCGGCTTGGGACTCATCAGACTCGTCTAGTTCTGGATCGCGCAAGATACGAGGTGTCTCTTGACTTGATGATTCTACAAGGCCCTGTGCGAGCTTCCTGGCATGGCTCCGAACAAACTTTGCTGTATGTTTCTCGTCGCCAGTTGTTGCAACTTTCTCAAGATCTCTTGCAAACTTTTTGAATAACGTCCCTAAGTTGCGACTGACCTTTTCCGGTGAGGCTTTCGTCAAGAGCTCGTCGTACTGCTCCGAGAAGAATCTCAAGAGACTGAAAACTCTTTGAAACGCAGTCTTTGCCTCGGGCACACTCGAAGCAAGAGAACTTGTAGGCGACACAGAAGCAAGGGAGGTTATACTATCGGCGAGAGACTGCAAAGAAGAAGAAGAAGTTGATGACGGCAAATAACGATCTCCCGCACCAACTAACTCTCGGTTGAGGGATATGTCTGTTGTCGTCGTAGAAGGAGTTGTAACAGGTATGGCTGAAGAGTGTTTCTTATTGTCTTTTATTCCCTCATTCTTCGGTCCTTTGCGAATTTTGAGCTTTGAGCGTCGTGACTTCGAAGAAGATGAAGTTTGAGGGCCATCTGGTGGTGCGGAACTGCCTCCAGTTCCAATGTTGGCGTGTTCCCCTTTCAGATGTCGACAATTGGGGCAAACTACGTCATACACAATAGAATTTGGACCAAATTCACACCAAGAACAGTACCACGCCATTACAGTAGGTCCCGGCATTGTGAAAACTTTCCTTGGATCTTCTGGAACATGAAAAAGTGAGAATATATAAAAACGCAATACAGGTGGAAAGGCGTTGTGGCTTAGCTAAATTAGTAGCCTTCCTGTGCAAGGCTTTAACATTAGGTACATTTGGGCTGCGGCTGCGTTAGCCTAGTGGTACATGGAACCTTTAATGGAAGACTCGCAAGAGAGTGGCTGAGTCGCGACATGGTTGTCAGGTAAAATAACGCAAGCCGGAAATCGACATGCAGCCTCGAATTCAGCAGGGCTCCAGTGGAATGGATGTTACTCTTGCCTTTGACTCTGATAAGGTTACCATGTCATAAAGTCAATTTTTTTTATTTCATTTTTCTGGAAACGGCCGAGAGAAGGGAGATATGACTTACTATCGTCTGGACAGCAAATAATGAGCAAGGCGGCCATTCAAATTCTACATAACTTCAGGTATCTCCACGATCAGTACTGACTCCAGCCTGCGCAAACACGAGTACTTCGGCAAAGAGTATAGGTTGCAGGCGTGAGGCACAACTAGGTCAAGGACTAATTCCACTTGCAGCTCAACTTCTCAATATAACTGTTATAACAGTTGCAATCAAAACCCTCACTAAAGGACAAGACAAAGACTCAGCAGCAGGCAAAGAGAATCTAGCATCTCTAACAAAGTGATGGTACGCCGAAGCTCATTGCAACGACGGAACCAGTTTCGGTGGGCTATTGCAGTAGTAGGAGAGACAGATATCATCGATGCAAGAAGTAAGGCTCTGGGTTCGCAGCATGGCGAGGCGAAGCACCGCCCTCATGTAGCCACATAGCCACGTCAAACTTGCATACATGAGAACACCCTCACTAGAGAATCTCAGCCTCAGGCTGCTTTTCCGTCTACTCGGCGTTGTTGCTCGCATGGTGATAGCAATCAAGACCCAAAAATTGCTCATACCACTTAGGCGCTATGTATACTTAGAACCAGCAGTGGTGAAAGGAATAGAAGAAAGAAGAAGCGACTCCTTAGTACGCCGTGACCAAAACATCCAAAATTTCCAATAAGTGGGGGTATCGTTACAGCATTATACAATTAATCAATCAATCAATCTCTCCTCGCCTCCTCCGGCCTTCTTCCCACTCAATGTCATATCTATCCTTATGTCTTCGCTTCTCTGGCGGCCTCTCACTACGACTCCTTCCTGTCTCATGTCCTCCAAGCCCACCAAGCACCAAACCGCCTATTGTTCCCAGACCAGGGAAAATAGCATCCCCAATTACACTCCCGCCCACCGCTCCTAAAAAGGTATTTCGACTCCTGTGATCTGGTTGTTTCGCATGACCTCTCGACCTCTCCACCGACCGCTCTCTAGATCTCTCTCGCGGCGAGTCGTCTCGATCACGATGATGATGGTGGTGGTGATGATGTCGTGGAGGCTCCGACACTGATCTCCTCCTGCCAAATGACTCCTCCTCCGACTCATCGTCTTCCTCGTCATCGAAGCGGACTTGCTGTGGAGGCCGTACTTGAGGTGGTTGCAAAAATTGAGGATTTTGAGGAGGATAGTATGGCTGAGGCGGTGGACGAGCAACTGGTGGATTGTAGGGCTGCATGTGTTGAGGATAATTCGGTTTGTGGTCTGCGGGGTTGAATTGTGGTGGTAGAGGCTGATGGACCTGTGGCGGGGCAGCATAAGGCTGATAATGTGGAGGAGGGTAGTTTGGTGCTTGGTCAGGCTGGTTGAAGCTGTCGTAATACTCCTGTGCTGCCATATTTGTGGATTATTAGTTGTTTGAAGACGAAGAACAGCTGCCTTCGAGAAGAGGTATATAGATATGTTCACCTGAGTGGCGTAGCTGAAAATAAATCGGACTCGAGTAGGCTGGGCGGGTCATCCCCGCGATTTGACTATTGTAACGTCACCTTGCATTGGCTGATTCCAGCTCTGTGCTCACGTCATCCGCTTGGTTTTTGAGCCTTGTGAGCAGGTGCCGAGCGACGACAAGATTTCTTGGTAGAATCCCAGGAGAGCACATGCCCAAACGGCGAGACCCGTCGATCCGGCATCTGCGAGTGGTGTGTGTCTTCTGACACTTTATTTACAGTAGAATGATGTCTAAAGCTGGAGGTCGAGGGGTTGAATCGGCATACGCTAACCTTAAACTTAGCGACTTGGCAGAACCCTTGGAGAAGTCTTGGCAGACCTGCTTTATGAACATATGCATCCATGACTTTTGAGATCAATGACAATGACATATTGCGATCCTACTTTATTGTATTCAGGTAGCTATGCTTGAGAGAGCTCAAGTATCTCTTGTCCTACTTGTTCATAAAAACTCATAAAACATTCCATATGACTTTTCGAGGTCAATATTCTTGGAATAGCCAGCATTTGAGAGTTTTGCGATATTTGCGGCATTTGCGCTGTTTGCGATATCCGCGCAATATGCGCAGATTGCGCTGGTGTCGCATATTGTGCACCAACGATAATCAACAGGCAAGAGGGCAAAATTAGAGCTTAGTGTTTGTCTACTGGCATCGTGAATTTTACTAATTACTATCACACCACTTTCAAGCTAGCCTTCGTCAATCGATCTCTCGTGCCTAGCAATGATAACCTCGTTTGAGTTGTTGACAAATATTAGGGATTTGCTCCACTCAGTGAGCCGAGTCACAAGGGTAAAGGTTTAGTAAGCCAGCGTGAAGAGCCCTGAAACTAGTAATCGAAGAGGCATTCCGAGGTATGTAGGTGCATGCTACTTGGCGACATAGTTCTTGATCAAATATCAACGACTAAGCAGAATGATCGCCTCACCTTTTCTTATTCGTTTTGCAAATGAAAGGTCTCACTCCGAGAGAATTGATGTGAAGAAATGTCCAAATTTGGAAGACAACTTTTGTTGTCTTCCGGTAAATGCAGCACCTTCGCTTAGCCTGTCAGGGGCTGGTGATGATCTTCGATTCCATGAGCAGGATTTGATGTCGAAATATTTTTAATTGTTTCGCTTTCTTTGCAATTCAGGTTGATCAATAAGAACAGAGTCGTTGCAAAAGTTATTCTATAAGCTCACGAGATACCAGTAGTAGATGAGGACAGCCTTTTGTGATCTCAGTGAACATTAGCGGAAACCTCAACCTTAAATTTAGCGCCTTGGCAGGAAAGCTTGAAATACTTCGGACGGCGGCTCCTTTCTTCTTCACGAAACAATTTCTGCAAGGAACAATGTGACCTTTCGTCTGTCTTACCCTTTGTGCTTCCATCCAACTCACGCAGCGGTTCTAATTGGCGATGTCACTAGCCGCGGCGCGTTTGAGATGGACTTCAGACAATGATGAAACACCCCTTGGCGGGAGGAACGACAACCGCTGCTCCGTATCAACATCTCCCAGAAGCCTGTGGTCTAAGCTTAATTTTCATCTGATTATAAAGAAGCGAACGCTCCAGTAAATTATCCACAAGGTGGAAGACTGATTACAACGAAGCGAGCTCTCCAGTTATATATCCACAAAGTGGGAAGCAAGATGCTTTTGTCCAGTCTGCTCACCTCATCCTTTCTATTTGACCTCATCAATGCTGGCCAACCTCTGGATGTCAACTTCCAAGCGAATTTCACTGAGATTGCGGAGAAGGTGAAGGTCAATTCCACAGAAAAAGTCTTGGCAGCGGCTCTCGATGTATTGGAAGGTTTTGACGACGAGGATTTTCTTCAGGACGATTCACGATCAGGCTATTGGACGCATGAGCCGGAATGCATACACAACGATGATCATTCGGAGGAATACTGCGTCTACACTGACAAGACGTTTGCTCGTGGTCGAGGCATATCATTTTTCACTTCACCCACAATAGCCGCGCGAGTGGTTGAACTCTCCGCATTCACAGATTCTGCAGTCCACGAGGATGTGAACAACTTTGAAGACCCTCCATGGGAAATTCGAAATGTTCCTGGACGCGGCAATGGATTATTTGCCACACGAACCCTTCATCGGGGAGACCTCATCCTGGCAGATACCCCCGTGGGCGTCTTCCAAAGCGATGCATTCTTTCTCGATTATGCAATTGGATACAGATATCTTCATACAGCTTTTGACCGCTTGTCGGATGCTACCAAAGATATCGTCATGCGAACCGCAGCCCATTCTCCTGGTGACCCGTATATGGAGAGAATCAACACCAATGCTTTTGCTGGAGACTTTGAAGGAGCGCCTCATTTCTTGTTCTATCCGGAGACAGCTGTGGGTATTCTATCTGTCTTCAGGTGACATCTACTGATCCTTCTTTCCAGCTCATGAACCACGATTGTCGTCCGAAGTATTTTCATCCACCTTGATTACGGAGACTATGTTAACTTTATAGTACTTTATATCACCATGATACGAACACGCTCGTTCACTCCACCTACGCGTCCCGTACCATCCTGCTGGGAGAGGAAATCACCATCACGTGTAAGCCCTCGTCAGTGTCCGTATTTCCAAAATTAACGTGTTCCAGATATCAACATCCTCGAACCTCGCTCGGAGCGTCGCCAAGTTCTGAATCGCTGGGGCTTCGAGTGTCAATGTTCACTCTGTTCCCGCAGCAATGCCGAGATCAACCACTCCGATTCTCGCATTCGGAAAATTAATACCCTCCAGACTCAACTCTCAGACTGGACAGAAAACTCCATCGCAACTCCAGCAATGGCCGAAGACCTCCTTTTACTCTACGAGGAAGAGCATATCCACGCAGCAAAGGGAATCGGACACATGCTCGCAGCTTTAGCGTACAATGCTGAGGGCGACATTTCACTCGCGAAGAAGCATGCGAAGTTGGCACTAGAAAGTGGCGTCGTGACTGATGGGTCGAAAGAAGCGGATGAGAATGACTTAGAAGCGATGAGAAAAAGCCCAAAGAGTCACTGGAGTTATCTGGTGAGGAAAAAGCAGAGACAGGAGCGAGAGAGGAGTGTGAAAAGTGGAAGATAATGCTAATAGTAATGTTCAATTTTATTCTCATGATCCAGTACGCTACTGATTTTGACTATTGTGAAGTCGAGAAAGCTATCTGTTTATTATTTCCTCTCTGGTTCGAAATCTTCGTTATCGTCTGCGGACGTGAACACCGGTCGCTCATATGTCCAGAAGATTCAATTGAGAGCTGATGGAATCTGGGAAGCTCCCGATCTCATGATACACAGATAGTTCTGGTTGGCTGCGGTATTCTGCGGTTCGTGCCGTCCCTTCCCAAACTGGTCGTTTCGACTTTATCCGATTCGCTCCCTGTTCTGCCCCGCAGATATTGAGTCTGTTATACTCGAGGTGGCTTGGTCTTGCATCTTCCCAGAATTGTAATTCGTCAGATCGTCTCGGGTCCTGCAGTCTGCCGATTGCGATCCTGTTCTTGTATGATTTGACCCCACCTTCTCTTTGTTTGCTCTTATCGTGGGTCTGTTTGATTTCTCCAAATGCTTTCTAGCCATGCCACAGTCGCAGCTTGCTCGTAGAAACCTGACAATTACCGATATGGGAGTCGACAAAGAGAATATGCAAGTCGCTGAAAAGTCGTTTGAGAAAGTTGAATTCGGGGAAGAAGAATCTGATGATGGCGGAATCCCATCCGAGTACAGAGGTACTGCGTCGGACAGGAAAGACATGACTACCTTGGGAAAGAAACAGGTTCTACGCGTAAGAAGAACTGCTGGCTCGTTTCCGAGTACATTCTATTGTCCCTAATTAACTGGGTAAAGCGCAACTTCAGATTCATTACAATGCTGGGCTTTGCTAGCACTGCAATGGCGACATGGGAAATCCTGCTGCCGTATAGCTCTTACATTCGTCGCTGAGAACGGAATTATGCTAAAAGTCTCATAGGCTGTTCACTTTCGTACTGACAGACGGAGGAACTGGTGACCTATTCTGGGGCTTTATTGCTGCGGGTATTGGAATGTCCCTGGTTTACGCGAGCATCGCTGAAATGGCATCCATGTGAGTACTAGAACCTTTGAGCCTTCGAACGGAGCCGATTTTCTCTTTGAGGTGCCCAACTTCTGGAGGACAATATCACTGGGTCTCTGAGTTTGCCCCTCCCAAAATCCAGAAATTTTTAAGCTACATAGTTGGTGAGCAGCATATTGCCTCAGGGATAGTTTCGCTTATGACCCGTCCTAGGTTGGTTGTGCGCGATTGCATGGCAAGTCTACCTCGGTGGCGCATGCTTCATGGTTGGGACAATCATTCAAGGCTTGATAGTCTTGAACTTAGAGGACTACGTGTGGAAGAATTATCATGGAACTCTACTGACAATTGCTGTCATTTCCTTCGCCGTCTTGTTCAACACGGCATTAGCTTCGCGGCTTCCTCTCATTGAGAGCATTTGTCTGGTCCTCCATACGGTTGGCTTCTTCGCAATCGTCATACCTCTATGGGTGATGGGATCCCATTCCGACGCGCATGTCTTGCTGGACTTTACTAATTATGGCGGCTGGCCGAGCACGGGTCTGTCGGCAATGATTGGTTTGACGTCCCCAATAAGCGTACTGACCGGATTTGACTGCTCGGTCCACATGTGTAAGTCAACTTCTTAGGGTGTGATAGTACATACTTACATAATGCTGTCAGCGGAAGAGATCCAAGATGCTTCCATCACCCTTCCCAGGGCGATAATGTGGTCCGTAGTCCCGAACACAGCTCTCGGTTTCATCATGGCGATCACATTGATCTTCACCTTGGGAGACATTGACAATATCCTGGCGACAGCAACTGGTCAACCCTTTATTCAAGTCTTTTTCAATGCTACTCAAAGCCTTGCTGCGACAAATGCCATGACTGCAATAGTGGTTGTACTCTTGATCTGTTGTGGGATCAGTGAGCTCGCCACATCTTCTAGGCAAATATGGTCATTCGCCCGAGATCGTGGGCTTCCCGCTTCAGATTGGCTGTCCAAGGTGAGATGACTTACATTCAAAATCAGCTGTACTGACTTTGCAGGTCACTCCTGGTTGGAACATTCCGCTTCGAGCAGTATGTGTCTCACTTGTTGTGACCACTCTCCTCGCGTGCATCAACCTTGGTTCTTCGACTGCTCTCAACGCCATTAACTCTCTCGGCGGGGTCTCGATTCTAGGCTCTTACTTTATTACGATCAGTTGCCTCATCTGGAGGCGAGCTTTCGGTCGTCCCTTACCACCACGGCGATGGTCGCTGGGAAAATTCGGCATGGGCATTAATATCTGTGCTATTTTGTTCCTGGCACCTGTCTGGTTCTTTGCCTTCTGGCCACTTGCTATACCAGTCAACCCCACCAACATGAATTGGTCTTCCACAATGTTCGGTTCGATAATATCTATCGCGCTTGTTGACTATTTTGTGCAAGCGAGACACCAGTATGTAGGGCCGGTGGTGCAGGTGATACGAGACGAGTAGATTATATAGGCAAAATATACAGCATTCTCTTTGCGCCAACTCTTACTATAGATTTAGACTTCACCATAACTATGAGCCACGAGATATTATAGACCGGTTTTAGACAACGATTTTTTCATGTTCCTCGTCAGCTATGAATGCACAACTTCCCCAATGGGGTGTGTGCAGGCTAGCAGAGGGTGGAACGCCACATGCCATTTTTAGCCAGGATCCGCATCTTCAGCCTCACGACCTTCTAGCTATCATTCTGTCTCCATCAGGAACAAGCCTTGTTTGTATATATCCGTATGATCGCATTCCAGACGTAGCATGAAATTCCCTCGCACCAGTTACTGTTCTGGTTTTAGCATCATTTCCCCTCACTGACGTCGGATGACAGGAGCAGCCAGGGGAGCTGAGCTTGATCGTACGAGGTTTGTCCACGAGGTGAACACTAACCAAGGTTGCTCGCAGCAAACATGGTCAAGGTCAAGTAAGTCTTCTCGACACAATGTCAGTGTTGAAGGTTTCACTGCTAATCTTAGGCTGTAGATCTCTTTTCAAGCTGCGAGGCTTTCGGAAACCAAGCAAGTCTGAGTTTCCCAAACTCTGCAAGACGTGTCGGAATATCGACTTCAAGAAATATCTCATCTACGACGATGAGACATCCGTTGAAGCAACAAAAGCAGCCATCAAGCTCGGCTATCTCGACGACCTGATTCAGCGGTCCTCATCATGCCCACTTTGTGCTCTCATCGTCGATTGCGCCAAGCGCCGCAATGACGGCGAACAACCACCTGTCGTGTATAAAAAGAAGCGAGTGAAAGTATCGACGTGTAGAAAGTTCATATGCAGAGTTTATGGCGAGGGCGATCAGTCCGCCATTGTTCAACGAATGGTGCTGGAATTCGAGCCTGCTATCTTCGGATACTTTTCACACATCAGATTTCAATTATCTACTCCGAACGAGGAAGTTTCTGGATTCGGACGTCAGATGAAACCGATCATTGACATGGCTCGGCTCAAAGGATGGCTGAGTGATTGCGAGGTAAGGCACGGTAATCAATGCCATGCTCCCAGCTGGCTTGGAGAGCAGAAACAACCTCGATTCCTCAGAGTCATCGACACTGAGAAAAAGTGTGTTGTTCATGCACCATCAGAATGTCGCTATGTAGCTTTGAGCTACGTCTGGGGAAATCGCAAAAAGATGCAATCACGTCTTTGGCTAAGTACGAAAGCCACTAAAGATAAGCTTGAGAGGGAAGGTGGTTTGGATGTGAAATCACTACCGAAGACTATATTCGATGCTCTTCATCTACTCTCGGAGATGGGAGAGCGCTATTTATGGGCGGATGCGCTCTGCATTGTTCAGGATGACGACACGGAATTGGCTGAGCAGACTTCCCAGATGGATTTGGTCTATGCTAGGGCAGTGTTTACAATTATTGTTGCATCGGGGACGAATGCTAATGCAGGGCTACCGGGACTACATGTAAGTTCAGGGTCATCCTAGTTTACTCTCCAACTACATCGAAGCAGCATACTGATTAAAGACTTCTGACCGACAGGCGAACACAAGATCTGCTCTTCAGGGTTCTATAAGAATAGATGACAAATACTCGTTGACACAAACAGTGGCTCAAGGCAATGCCACCCATCTAGCACAGTCAACATGGAACTCGCGAGGCTGGACATTCCAAGAAAGGCTACTCTCACGGCGAGTGCTCATCTTCACTCCCGAACAAGTCTTCTGGAATTGTGAATCAGCAGTGTGCTGCGAAGAAACCACATTAGAGCGATTTGAGGATATTTCTGTCCTCCCTCAAGCCTTAGACTGTCACGATGAATGGGAGGATAAACCCGACAAGTTTAGTAGGGATTCTCTTAGTAAGTGACTTCTTCCGAGCCAAATCTCCCTTGCTCGATAGTCCTTTCACTTTTGCTCGCTGCAGGATCAAATGTAGAAACAACTCCTAATGTATTCCCTTATTGTCTGAAAGAGAAGTATACTGACTTGAAGGTGCCGATATTTAGGGACCTATATAATTCAATATTCTGGTCGAGACTTCACCTATCAGAGTGACGCTCTCGCTGCATTCTCAGGAATATTGAGGAGAATGGAATACGAGAATAAGGAATCCTATCACTGGGGACTTCCTCACACAAGATTCGACCAAGCATTGTCCTGGGATGGCGGCGCTAAACTCAGAGACGCGCTTTGTCGTCTTACTGCTGAAGATGGCTCTGTTCATCAAGTCCCCTTCCCCACCTGGTCTTGGCTAGGATGGACAGGCTTCATCAGCGGTCCTATGTACAATGAGACCGTTCATGCACACACCTTGAACGGAACCTCGAAGTCCGAACTTCAGTTCTACAAGGTTGGTCTACACAACGATATCCAGCTAATACAAGGCCCTGATCCTGACTCAACCCCACCAACGCGTCGCTATCCCAAGAACGACGAGCAAAAATATTTTCCTCTTCGATCGAGATGGAAAGGCGAAACCTCAATTGAGAACATTTCACCAGGTCTATTGGCCCAACCATTTATAGACACAGGCCGACTAACTTTTTGGACAAGTCATGCCCGTATCATGACACGATATGATGAGACGTCACACGAGATTTCCATCGTTATCAAAGGCAAAAAAATAAACGTGCCTACTTCTGGAAGTCTATTTCAACGACACTTTGAGACCCGGCGCCGGGCAAAGATTATATCGATAATGCAAACTAGTCAGAAACGCCCATTAGACTTCATTGTTGTTGGGAGGTTCGCTGAGATAGAGAGGTTGGAGATGGAGAAGTTGAATGTGTTAATTGTGGAATGGGATGAGGATGAGAAGGAGAGAAATGTTGCACGAATGACCGGGACTGCTGTTATCGAAGAGAAAGATTGGGTGGAGGCTGAGAGGGAATGGAAGCTGGTGATACTCAAATAATGGCACTCTTGAGTATTTTCACCTTTCCGACGTGCCGGAGGCCTCATGAATGAAGAAGCAGTATCTCAAACGAGTATTGATGATGTACTCAGAACACGAGAACTGAAACGATCTTCAATTTCATACCCAAGATTCAAGGGCGATCTATCAACATAATGTGGGATGTTGAACCCCTCCCCAATTTTCGAATTTCCAGCCAAAGCAGCCGAGAATGTTGAATCCTCCCTCTTCCCAAAAAGTCGCAACGCAAAATGCAAGGAAACAACAAAAGAGATCCTCCCAAACTCAAATCTACTGCTTGGTATCACCACCCATCTCGCCGCTCAATTCCCTAGAAGTGACACCACGACGCTTCCCACCATTGATCCCTCCGTCAACTTGATATCCTGCTCCAACTTCCTGTGCAGCGGATCCGTTCTGACCAGTAGCTTCCTCGCGTCCATAGAGAGACTTATAGACGTCGAGGGCTCGCTGGGCGGCATCAACGACCTTTTTAGCTTGTGTCAATGCGATTTGGAGAGCTTGCTCAGTTGCATCTTTCATTTCCTCGAATCCTCCATTTGCGTTGCCATTTTGTGCCAAATTCTCAACGTTGCTGCTGACAACAACGCCATCTCTCTCGTCCAAAAGAGCTCTGATGTGGGCATTCAACCAGTTGCCTTGCAGTTGCTCTTGAGCCATGTTCTTGGCTCCACTGATGAACCCACGGCAAGTTTGTGCTCCACAGACTGTGATGAATTAGCAATTGAATTTCCGAAGGAAGCTTGTACTGAAAGATGCAGAACGGAGATCCAAGTTTGAGACTTGAATGGCCGGGAAATTCAATGCCTACTTACAGCAATCAAAACCTTGAGCCATATCCCATTCCGTACTTGGGTAGAAGAAGGTGAGCTCATCGCCTTTTTTGAGTCCGTTAGGACCAGAAATAACGCTGAGCGAGGCCATGTCAAAGATCTAAGAATAAGAAGAATGTCAGTAACTTGCTTGTTGTTGCGGGTGCACATTGCAGCAATATTGTATGCGGTACTCTCGTCCACGCGAAATTGGATATGTATCAATCTCAAGGACTTTCACTGAAACGCCCATCAGACTACTCGACATATTTCTTCTGCATCAATCGAACATGGAAATAGATCCAAAGTACGGCAACATTCTAGTTTTTTCTGAAAGGGGTAGTGACAGAAAAAAGGAATTGCAAACTCACAACGCTAGGCTCGCAACTATGGTTGATGTACACCAGATCACTATTCAAGTTTAAATGCTTGTCCTTTCCCATCTGGACAGTAGCATAGGTCGGCTTTTCGGCTGCAGTGCATGGCGGAAAGGCGAATTTTGCATAGAGTGCATAGGGCGGGAGGTCAACGAGGGAAATTGACTTGGTGGTGTACTCTTGTTCTTTGTTGACGAGTACTTTTTGAATGTCAGGGTGAGAGGGTTGAGCCCAAAAAGGAACGAGAGGTGCCATTTCTTCTTAGTTTCTTCGTGGGATCTAATTTGTGATTGTAATTGTGGGATGTGCAAACCAATATTTAGGTCAAATCGAGGCTGGAAAGGTAACCAGGCCGGGGATTCTGGTAGAACGATGTCGGTCGAGGTCGATATTGTGGACCGATTTGTGAAGTCCCTCGATCTGGTAGATACTTGACGTTGAGATGAAGTTTGCACTAGAATGGTGCTTGAAATCGGTTTTATTCTCACGGTAGTGGGGTCTTTGGCGGGGTAATTCTTATTGCTTCCCTAAACTACCTTGTATTTCTTTATTTCCCGAAGGGATCTCAGCTGCAAACAAAGTCTGCGTCGAAAAGGTGGATTTCGTAGTTTGAGAACAAAGAAAGAATGGAAAATCCCACGTTCACTTTCAATTTCTGATCGGATGGAAGGAGCACTACTAGATTGTCATGTGTCAAGAATTTCATGCAGGTACCGGACGCCATTTTCCCAGGGTGCTTTGGCGGGGCGGAGGAGGAACCGAGGTTGTGAGGTCTTGCCGAGCGAATGTCTTGGCGGAGCGGAGTGGGATATAAAGGGGGTGGAAGCGAGGAGGAAAAAGGGGTAGACTCCTCCATGGCTATCTTCAATTCTGCACTCCTCTAGCTTCTTGTAGATGATATGCACCATGCTGCAGGCTGTCTCGAAGTCCCTGCAGATCTACCCGAGCAAGGCCAATGAACATAGGAATTGCTATCGCATTGATACGGTCGTGGTCTAGATTTCTTTCACTCCTTCGAAAATACCTGTATATCGGTTCCAGTGCTACACAATATGCAGCCACCATTGTGCAAAGCTTGTTTCTCGCTTTATCAAGGGGTTCGTCTAGAATAGGGGAGAGCATTGTGGTTGGTGCAACCCCTGTAGCTCACCCGAGCTACGTCACTTTGATAACTGACGTACCTCACCAAAATAATTCACCGCCGCGAAGCTCGAGGCTGAAGGTAAATCATGGATTCACAGCTATTGAATACGCTTAAGTAGATTCATTTCTTTGCTCCTCCTCTGCTTTCCCTTTCTCTTGCAACTTTCTCCCAACACAATACCTCTTACTTCCGTAACACAGGACAAGCAACCGTCAAGATGGAGATAAAGAAGGTAATATATAACGTAACACCTCAGATTGAGCACAAAGCTGATAAGATCTCTAGGTAGCAATGATTGGAGCTGGATCTATGGGAGGTGGTATGACACTCCTGCTCGGCGAGAAAGGCATCGAAGTCTCCATCCAAGATCCTTCCGAAAAGACAGTCGACGCCCTTATCGAATCCGCCTCTAAGCAAAACATCAAAGGACTCTCGAAATACACAAACTACAAAGACCTCTGTGCTTCCTTACCCTCACCCAAGGTTTTCTTCTTCTCACTCCCGCATGGCATGGTTGGAGATACCGTCGTTGACGGGCTGCAACAGTATCTGGACAAGGGAGATGTGATTATTGATTGCAGTAATGAGGAATGGGAGAATACGCAAAGAAGACAGGGCAAGTTGGTCGCTCAAGGAGTTTACTATGTGGGCTGTGGTGTCAGCGGAGGCTACCAAGCTGCGAGAAGAGGACCGAGTATGTGTCCAGGAGGTGAAGATCAGGCCTTGGATATTGTGATGCCGCTGCTACAGAAGATGGCTGCCAAAGCTACTGATGGAACTCCTTGTGTGGAGAGAATTGGGATGGGTGGTGCCGGACATTATGTGAAGATGATTCACAACGGTATTGAGCAGTAAGTATTGCACCTAGAGGAGTCAAAAGTGAAGCTAATAAGAATAGCGCTATGATGAGCGCCATCTGTGAATCGTGGACGATCATGACCAAGCATATGGGCATGAAGTATGATGATGTAGGAAAGGTGTTTGAGAAGTGGTCTTCGGAAGGAGAACTGGTTCGTTTGCCATCTATCTAGAATTGGCAAGACTAACACTATTAGAAAAACACGTTCCTAGTCAAGATCGGAGCAGATATCTGTGAGGCAAAAGACAAGGAAGGCCACCACGTCCTTGGTGACGTCCAAGATAAAGTCGTCCAAGACATCGACGGATCAGAAGGGACTGGGATTTGGTCCAACACCCAAGCAACCTCCCTCCACGTCCCCGCACCTACTTTGGCAACAGCACACTCCCTCCGAATCGCATCTGCTTACCGTGGAAACCGAGAACACGTCAAGGAAACATTCCACGGCTCGTTCCTTCCCTCAAAATTCGACTTCAAGGACGAGGAAGAGAAAGCTGCATTCATCGAGGACTTACGACAAGCAGTCTACGCCACATGTCTTGCAGGCTATGTTCAAGGCATTAGCATCATCGACGTTGCGGACAAGCAGAACAAGTGGGCCGTTAACTTCAACAACATCGTCCAGATCTGGAGATCAGGATGCATTATCCAAGCTGACCACATCTCTTCGCTTCTGTACAAGATCTTCCACCCAGAATCGACCTCCAAGCACAAGAACCACAACCTTCTCTACGAACCCCTAATCGTGGACGAACTGAAAGCCGGATTTGAATCATTGAAGAGAATCGTGGTCAAGGGACTCGAGAAGAATGCCATCGTGCCAAGTATGAGTGCTACTCTGGAGTACTTGAAATACATGGGCAACCTCGATCTTCCAACTCAGTTCTACGAGGCTGAGTTGGATTACTTTGGGAAGCATATGTATGATAGTAAGTCGATGGACAAGGGTCCGGGAGAGGCAAAGACTGGAACTCATCATTATGAGTGGAAGCCCGCGTAAGGAATGTCATAGACTTCTTTGGATTTTGGATTGAGCGACTTTGGATTTTACGAAGACTTTAGAATAATGAAGCGATGAGATCTTCTTTTGCGTTTCTGAATAGCACTTCCCACACTTCTTGCAACTTTGACTGAGACTTTGAGATGAGGCATATCTCTGTTCAAGTTCTCTTCCAGCTCCATGAAGCCTTAGACTTGATTGAAGTTGATTCCCATTTTTGCATCGATTCCTGCAGAATCCTTGACCTAGATGTTGATAGAACAGCACTTAGTGTATGCTAAGATCAACGGGTAGGATCGCACGTCTTTGAATACCAAGAGGATTGGGTTGATGTGTGCTGATTTTCGCGCTTTAGGAACAGAAAGAAGTGTTGATGAGCTGCTAGCCCTGCGAATTGAACTCCTCTGAATGGTTGAAGATGACGTTATGCTAGATCCAAACTGAAATCGACCAAAATATGAAGATGGTGAAAGAAAATGAGAGTGTGTTCCATACTGAGAAATTGGGTGCGTGCTAATGTGAGCCAACCCACAAGACTTTGGTATCATCGAGTTGGGCAGACAGGTAAGTTGTTTCCATAACCAGACCGAATAAAGCTTTATCTCTATGTTACAATGCTCGTTACTTTTACAAAGCACCAGATCAGTTGAAATCCATCGATCTAGTATGTTCAATCCTTGAAGCCAGAACTCCTTGCCAGATCTACCAAACCCGAAATTCGCAAATTCGCTAATTCGCTTACAGACTATCGATCATCAAACCATCTTCCCCATCCTTCTGCTTTGCCCCTTTCGGCACCCGCTCCGCCTGCATATTTCTTCTCTTCCTCTTCCCACTTCAATCGCTCAACCCTACTTCGTGCCAAAAATGCTCTGGCAAACCTCCAGGCCTCGGTGTCTGCGAGATTCCACGCTTCAATTGCACCTCTCAATTTTTCTTCATCTGGTGTTCTAGCAGTCCCGAACTCGATAGCTCGCTTCATTAGTGACACCTCCTTTTTCTCGTCATCTGGGTTCGGTACAGGTCCGTCTTTCGGATCTGGCTTTTGGACAGGTCTTCTCTCAGGTCCAGGTACAGGAGTCTCTGACTTTCCTGTATCTGTAGCATTTCGAGGAATTGCAAATCCAAAATGCCAGTCGAGATCAGCGGGTGTCTCCTTCTCTGGTGTGATCCATAGAGAATGAGCGGTGCCGTACTTGCTTGCCACTGCTTGTTTGAACTTGATTACTCGTGGTGCTCCTGATACACCAGTACCCAGGAGTTCTTTTGTGAGAGTTGTAAGCCATGGGTCTCTTTCTGATTCACGTCGAATCCATCTCACATCAATGTCTTCGCGGAAGGAGGTCAACAATGCGTTGGTGTAAGGATGTGGTACCGTGCCAATGGTATAGAGTTCGGTCGTGTTACGATATGCAGGAGGAGTTGTGATCTTGAGCGGCGTAGATGCTACACATGGCTTGCATCTGGGACGGTTTGGAGGACACGATGCTGGCATCGGTGACTCGGGACACTGAGCAAGGAATTCGGCCAGTCTGTAAGCAGGCGAAATCATAGCTGACATGTGCTCCGCCTCTGGTTTGAGGACAGCGATTCCTTTCGTGAACAGATTCTGCCACGTACTGTGCAGGTGAGCCACCGTAAGCTGGTTGAGCATGAGCATCCCCGTTGTCCCGCCTTCATTGATGTCATCTGCTATCTTGCCGTACTTGTCCTTGATTGTGACGGGGTCATAGTATGCCAATGCTTCGTGTTTGGGCTCGATCTCAAAGGTCTCGGGCACGACCGCACTGATGAAGTCTTTAGCAGCCTTCAACTCCTTGTTCCCTAATGCTTGCTTCACCGCAGCTGTGATGTCGACTTTTGATCCTGCAAATAGGCCACTACCCAGTTTGTCGAATCTCGTCAGGACGGGGTACTCTCCTCGTCGGAGAAAGGTGAGTAATGGATCTTCGTAAGAGCCCATCGGAAGTAGCAAATAATTGCAGAGCATTCCAGTCCCCATATTTTCCCATGCTAACCACCTGGACAACTCGGTCTTGATGAATGGTTCGATGTCGTGCAATTGAAGCTCTGTATATAAGGGATTATTCATAGCTTCCGCTGGACTCAGAATGATCGGCTTAAAGCCTTGTGCCCACCACGCTCGTCTCCACGTCAACAAGATCTTGTTCTCCGCATCTTTGCGGTCGCTGTCTTTGCTAATTGTGTGGTCGTAATAGGTATAGATTGGAGGACGCTCTTCCAGAGGTGGCAGTAAGGAGCGGTTCTCGTCCAAGGTAACGGATGAAGAGAATGGACTCAGCCAATTCCAATTTGTGTACCATGAGACCTCTCCAGTTGTGCTATTCTTCTGAACTGGTGGAGCATGCGCTGCTTGTCGAAATGGGTTGAGGATGCTTGGTGATAATTGCTTAGGTATCTTTGGTAACGCAATCTTGTGGTCGGTGAATCTGCCTAATGAAGGGCCGACTGGTATCGAGTTTGGAAGCGTAAATACAAGTGTAAAGACCGCGAAGACTGCTATTGTGCCGAGCAAAACGGCCATCCGCCGTGGAGGAATTGCTGGCACAGGGCGGCCGAAAATGCTGCGTTGAACAGGCATGGCGGAGGAGATAGGCAGAAGATGGTATCGACCACAGGATGGGTATCAGTTAAGATCGCATCGAGATGTCGAGTGTGCAAGAGCTCGAGGTTGGCTCTCTGTTGGATCTCCTTTTTCGTGAATGACGCGTAGTCTTGGGCTAAACGTGTCGTTCTAATGCTTTAAACAGGCGATCCGAGAGATAGAAAGGAGAAGAAAAAGTCCAAAGTAAAGAGTCGCGATGAGATTGAAAAGGTGAATACTTTGGCAGGAAAGGGAATGTCTCAAGGAATAAATGGTAAATATCTTTCTTGACACTTTCCCAAGGCCAAGCCTCGAGATCTATTTCCGTCTAAGCGGCATCAGTTCAGTTGAGCCATTCCACAATCGGACAGGGGCTTGCGTAGCGGCCGCACGTGATCCACTTTGTCCGATGACGGCACGACAGAGCTCAAGCCACCAAAAGATTTTTAGCAGAACTCGCCAAATTTTTATATGCAAGACACACTGAGTGCGACTGTGACTCCAACATCCCATATGTTTGATCTTTCTTTGCTCTTGCAACAACATACAAAATCTCTTCGCTTGCTCTCACTTTGGTTCCCATGAGCAATTTCCCTTGTCATTCTTCTCTCATTATTACTCAATTACTCATGCCAGATTGACGATTTCCAGAGCATCATTTAGACTTGTCACTAGACTTCGTTCTTTGGACTATCAACTCGATCAATTCACTTGGATATTTTGTCGCAGTTCTTCCACATCCTTGTTTCGAGACCAAATTGAAGGGAAACTATATATCCCACGATCTCAAGCACACCTTTGCTCCCATTTATAAAATGGCTGCTACAAATCCAGACCTCCCAGATCCCACGGCTGACCTTCACTGGTCTGCGTTTCGAGGAGCCATCCATGACATATTCAGTGCCAATGCTGAAGCACACCCAGACAGACTTTGTGTGGTCGAGACGGCATCTGGTTCATCACCGCGACGAGAGTTCACATACCGCCAAATCAATGAAGCCTCAAATATTCTGGCCCACCACTTGGTGCAGTCAGGAATTCAGAGGGGCGAAGTTGTCATGTCCTACAGCTACCGTGGTGTAGACTTGGTGGTCACGGTTATGGGTATTCTGAAGGCAGGAGCAATATTCTCTGTCATTGACCCTTCATATCCACCTGACAGGCAGAACATCTACTTGGATGTAGCAAGACCGAGAGCTTTGGTTGTCATCGACAAGGCTACCAAGGAAGCTGGAGAGTTGACAGAGAAGGTCCGAACTTTCATCAAAGAGAATTTGCATTTACGAACTGAGGTACCAGGATTAGAACTCAAAGACGATGGTTCTCTTGTTGGTGGAAACATCAATGGCAAAGATGTCCTAGCAGATCAAGTCCCGTTGAAGAGTAAGGGGCCAGGAATTGTTGTTGGACCAGATTCGACACCTACTCTGTCCTTCACATCAGGTTCAGAAGGAAGACCCAAGGGTGTCAGAGGGAGACATTATTCCCTTGCCTACTATTTCGATTGGATGGCTGAACGGTTCCGTCTCACGAAGAATGATAAATTCACCATGTTATCAGGTATCGCCCATGATCCGATCCAACGAGACATCTTCACTCCTCTCTTCTTGGGAGCTCAACTTCTTGTACCCTCCAAGGATGATATTCAGCATGAAAGACTAGCCGAATGGATGCGGGAACATGGTCCCACAGTCACTCATCTCACTCCTGCAATGGGACAGATCTTGGTTGGTGGAGCTAGTGCAGAGTTTCCAGCATTGCATCATGCATTCTTCGTTGGGGACATTCTCATCAAAAGAGACTGCGTGTCAATGCAAAGACTTGCCGAGAACTGCTTCATCGTGAACATGTACGGCACGACAGAAACTCAGCGAGCAGTCAGTTATTTCGAGATTCCCAGTCGAGGATCAGAACCAGAATACTTGGGAAATATGGGCAATGTCATTCCTGCTGGCAAAGGGATGAAGGATGTGCAGATGCTCATCGTTGATCGAGAAAATCGAAATCGTATTTGTAGCTTGGGCGAGATTGGGGAGATCTACGTTCGCGCTGCTGGCTTGGCGGAAGGATACTTAGGAAGCGACGAGCTCACGAAAACAAAGTTCGTGGACAGTTGGTTTGTGGATAATGCCAAGTGGGTGGAAGAGGACAAGAAAGTCGCGAAGTCAATGGCCGAAGAACCTTGGAGAGAATTCTACTTTGGTCCCAGAGATCGCATGTATCGCTCAGGTGATCTTGGACGGTATATGCCTAGCGGTGATGTCGAGTGTGTTGGCCGTGCCGATGATCAAGTCAAGATTCGTGGCTTCAGAATCGAGCTTGGCGAGATTGACAAGTATCTATCAGACCACGTTATGGTCCTTGACAACGTTACTCTGGTCAGGAGGAATAAGGATGAAGAGCAAACACTTGTGAGCTACATCGTACCGGATATGCAAAAGTGGCAAAAGTGGCTTGAGCAAAAGGGGCTCCAAGACGACACCTCGGGTGAAGGCATTCAGGGCAGACTGCGCAGATTTTGGCCACTTGGGGACGATGTTAAGCAATATCTGAAGGAGAAGCTTCCATCGTATGCTATACCTGATGTCATCATTCCATTGGAGAAGTTCCCACTGAATCCAAATGGCAAAAAGGACAAGCCAGCACTCCCATTCCCAGATGCCGCCCAACTCGCAGCAGCAAGACCTCAGGGAGCATATGTTGAGTTCTCACCAGCCGAGAAAGAAGTTGCAAGCATATGGGGTTCGCTCATCCCAACGATTGATGAGAGAACAATCAGTCCAAATGATTCGTTCTTCGACATTGGTGGTCACAGTATCCTCGCACAACAAATGCTGTTCAAGGTCAACAAGAAATGGACGACTCTCAAGATCAACATGAGCGTCATCTTCCAAAATCCCACGTTGAAAGGTTTCGCAGGTCAAATTGAGCGCCGTTTGTCTTCAACCAATGGCGACGTTAACGGTCATGCTGACACCGTCGAAGATTATGCTGCAGATGCCAAAGCGTTGCTCAAGACTTTACCATCATCTTTCCCGTCAGCCGACGAGAAAATTGTTCCTTCGACATCACTCACCGTTTTCCTCACTGGTGCAACTGGTTTCTTGGGTGCTTACCTACTTCGTGATCTTCTTACACGTTCCTCACCGCCTATCAGCAAGGTTATCGCACACGTTCGAGCTCTTGATTCCACTACGGCTTTGGACAGAGTAACGCAAACCTGCCAGGCGTATGGCGTATGGGACCCTTCATGGACGCCGCGCTTGAGCTGTGTTGTTGGCAACCTTGGCGAACCACGCCTTGGTATGGCACAAGAGACATGGGATAGGTTGGCGCATGAGGTAAATGTCATTGTTCACAATGGTGCTCAAGTTCATTGGGTCTATCCATATAGCAACTTGAAGCCAGCGAACGTGCAGGGAACACTTGACATCCTGTCTCTCTGTGCGACGGGCAGACCTAAACAGCTCTCGTTCGTGTCTTCCACGTCTGTACTTGATACTGAGCACTTCGTCAAACAATCACAGGCTGGTATCTTACTTTCAGAGGAAGACGATTTATCAGGTAGTGTGACAGGCTTAGGTACTGGGTATGGACAAAGCAAGTGGGTAGCTGAGTATCTCGTCCGTGCAGCTGGTGCTCGTGGTTTGAGAGGTACAATCATCAGACCTGGCTACATCACAGGAGACAAAGCCTCAGGTGTAACAAATACTGACGACTTCCTCATCCGAATGGCCAAGGGCTGTGTCCAACTCGGCTGCCGACCAAAGATCTCAAACACAGTCAACATGGTACCAGTTAACCATGTCGCGAGAATTGTGATTGCTGCTGCGTTGTCACCACCCAAAACACCACTTGGTGTGGCACAAGTCACATCCCATCCGAGACTGACCTTCAGCCGATACCTTGCCACCTTGGAAACGTATGGTTACGATGTCCCTGAGGTCGAGTATTCTGCATGGAGCAAGAAGCTACAGGACTATGCCGTTGAGGAGGGTAAGGAGCAACATGCTTTGTAAGTTTCCCCATGGTGTATTGGCACTGAAGCAATGCTGACCCGCACAGGATGCCTCTCTACCACTTCGCTACCACAGATCTTCCAGCTGATACCGTCGCGCCTGAACTGTCTGACGAAAACGCTGCCACAGCATTGAAGTCCGACAAGGAGTTCACAGGCGAAGATTTATCGGCGGGCGGGTATGTTGACGAGGAAATCATGGGTGGATATCTTTCGTATCTTGCAGGTATTGGGTTCCTGAGCTTGCCGAGTGGGAAGGCGAAGAAGCCATTGCCGCAGTCGAAGATCAGTGCTGAGCAGAAGGTTGCGTTGCTTAGAGTTGGTGGTAGAGGAGCTCTGATCTGATAGGGAGCCAGCATTTAGATATAAAGAAGCGACTGAGGCGTTGTGGTTTTCTTCGGGAAAAGGCAGCGATAAAATAGCTATATTCCATGTCTGCTTGAAAAGAACCCTGCGAAAAGGATATAGGGGTAGAAAACAAAAGAAACATTTTCCAACTCGAACCAGGTTGGGTTTTCATTCTTTCCCGAGTTTGCATCTTATTTTCCTATAAACTGCGGCATCAGGTTGGGACTTTCAAAGTGCAGTCGTGTGGACCAAGGAAGAGGGTGGAGGTGAGATGCCCATGGTGTTCAGAAGATATCCGGCTAGTCACCAAGCAGGCTGATTGCCCCAGACAAAGCAAGGCGGACGGACATCTTTCGAAGAGATTCGTTCCTTGTGTTGATTTTCCAAGAGCTGCTGAGTCTACATGACTGAGGGACGATCAGTAGCTTGAAGAAGATCCATAACTTCAAGCCGACTTCCGGTCGCTATGCAGCTCATAAAGATGACTATGGCGGTCAAAAGTTGCTGGCTCGTTTCAGCTTACATACCTCTGCATGCGACCTGCTGAAACTCTTGACTTTATGTACGGATGCATCTTCCCGAGTTATATTATCCCATACATACAATCGGAGACGAACTTTGCGAGATGAAGTCATATTCCCTCACAAAACTTCGGTCGGATTTCCTAGTTCTCAGCGAGGTTTATGACCAATGAAACTTCGTAGAAAGAGAATGTTCATCCAAAACACTCGTCACTTGGCTTTCCGTACCGACTGCATTGACCTGACTGTAGATCTTCTCATGTCGACAAGAAAGTTCGAATCAGGAACACCGAGACTTGCAGTGCCAATCTTTTCAAGATCCCAGTCTCGAAAGTAAATGGAAGTGAGATCACTAAACGAGTGCATGCGAGTACGAAGTGAACGATCCTCAACAAAACGTAGGTATGAAATAAGCGTCCTAATTCGTCCATCTCGAAAATATACATCCAGATCATTACGCCATCAGGCCGTACTCGAACCCCGTTCTGGAAACCCCGGATGAATGTCAGCACCTCTATCCCGTGTCTAAATGCTCGATGAGGTGGGCCACGGGTGGCGCTGGCAAATCAACCAGATCCGATGCCACTACGACCCCCACTTCGGTACTCGAGCGAAAGAGAGTTTAAAGGGTTCGATTGCTCAGTTGGAGCGGGACGGTATCTGCATCTCAGAGCCGCATCAACCAAGCGAAAAAGAGTCCGCTGGCTGCAAGAGCAGATCGATGCGGCTCGGGGAATATTTCCAGCAAGTCTTCACGGTGCGATCAACCGCTAACTAAACCATCGTCGATCATTGTTGCCCACTTGGGGTCTCTGTGAGTTGTCCAGAGAGCAATGATCGTCCACGTCAAAGTGGTGGTGATCAACGGGCAATGACAGCATGCCACGGCCTAAGTCGCAGAATTGGATTGTTTTGAAAGGACGCTGATGCCGAGTCCGGTGCAGTGAGGTTGATTTAGTCTCTGTTGGATCTCGCTTGCTCATTACGTCTTTCATAGGGGCTATATCACCTGATCGGCAGCTTCGGAATAGGGATCCTTGAAGTTGCCTATTCCGGAGGTTATTTCATGCATGAGCTCAGATCACGGTGAGTGGAGAGGCTGGGAACTCTTCCACTGTTAGGTGGAACGGGTTAAGCGTACTCAACAAGGCTGATCTTCCTCCCCAAAGGAGGTTCTCCGTGCGCAGGAACAGTCGGAGAGTTAAGATAGTAACGTAGCTATAGATTAGAACCTGTTTGGGTATGGTACTCAGACTCTGGTGGACCCTATAACTGTATTTTGCACAGGAGACTACAGTTATCGTCAGTCTTTGGAGAACATCTGCCAGAATTGTGTTCAAAAAGTATTTGAGCGTTGATGTATACATCGTCTCAGATTACCAATGATTATCCTGTGATCTTTCATTTTGACTTGAAGTCTGCATGCTGTGTTGTATCTTACAGATTTTTTGATAATGCTCTTGACCGAATGAGGTAGCAGTACCCTTCCCGCTCGCTTTGCACAACAGAAGGCAAGATCTTCTGTATAATTGGGTCGCATAACCCCGAACAGCATCATCATTCTGCAGTCTACAGTTGTACGCAATATGTCAGCCGCTTCTCAAGCTTGATTCCCCACCACTGGTCAGACGTCGGCCGCTCTAAGATCTGAGCTCCAAAACTTTGAAGATAGAAAGTTACCTAGATACTTGGCAATCTGAAGGGTCCATAAGTTGTTGTTGATCACTACCGGACCATCGTCCGCTCAGATGCGTTTCTTTAGAGTTCAACATGTACTTGAGCTGATTAGGGTCTAAAGGTGATCTACAGCATGGATCAGCCTTCTGAGGAAAGTTCAGGTACTGCAAAGCTGCCCACTTCTCCACGTCATATCGAGTTGATAAGAGGAAGGTTTGAGCGATGAATGGGATGTTGGGAAGCATCTCAAGAAAGATATAAACACCCGACCTGTACCCCGACATCTCACCACCATCATCAACCAGACCAACAACAAGCTTAAAGACTTCTTTCTCGAAACACTTTCGTCTACCATTTCAACAAAATGCAATTCTCTATCCTGATCAGCACAATCATCGCTCTCGCGGCCACTACCTCCGCCGCCCCAGCTCCTCAAACAGCCGTCATTGATTGTTGGTCAACATGGTATGTCTTATCTCTTCTGTTGTGCGGACTTTGTCGAAAGTTCGAATATTATCCCCACCTCCACTTGTGATAGTGCTAACGCTTTGCAGTTCTACAAACTGGTTTGTCTTCCCTTCACACATATTTTTGATCCTTCTCTCTTCAAGAGCATTTCGGACTACGAGTCACCTCTGGAGCTAAACCGAATGGTGAACGAGGACTCCTTGCTTCCACGGCTCCTGATGAACTCTGATCATTACTCCAATATACCTTGCTATAGTGCTAACTTATCACAGCGTACAGTCCGGTCTTCTCAGAGGAGGACTCTGTGATGCTTCGGGAACTTGCACTTGCTTGACCGGCACCAAGCGCGAGGCTGAGCCAATGCCAGCACCACAACTCGAATGCTACGAGACATGCAGTACGAACTGGTGAGTTCTCCCCTTTGATACCATCGCAGTTGTGTTTCTTGACGTCTCTCACGACGATAAGAGCTCTGACGACCCCTTCCTATCTTGTTTGAGAATATATATGCTAACTTGTCACAGTATCGCTGCTGGTGATATTGAGGGTGGTATGTGCGATGCTGCTGGCACCTGTACCTGTTTGTAAAACATACATGCTTAGTGGGAGCAACAGGGAGGACCAAAAAATGATATAAAGTGCCGTTATCAAGATGTCTTGATAGATAGATCAATGCAGTATAGAATATAAATGAGAAAAAATATCACTCAAAACACGCATGCTTGCGCAACAATTTGCTCTCGTCATGACCATGAATGTCACGGTAAAAAGAAGGTCTTGCACAGGGTATACGTGCGATTCGAAGAGAAGAGTTTCCATTTTCTTTGCTTCGTTTACAGGTAGCCACTGGGCGAGGGTATGACTCGGGACAACCGAAGCATCGTCATTGCGAAGAAGTAAAAGGTTGAAACGCAGCTAGGTCACGTATCATATGTACAGCGGAGGAGAATGCTATGGATAATGTGTATTGATTTGTAATGCTACTGGCCATCTATGCTACGAACATGTAGGAAATATACCAAGCCCGAGTCCTGTCGTCGCGTATTGTTTCGCGTCCTCGAAGTGGTGCGTACCTGAACGTGAAAATCTGCTTCAATACCACAAATGTTAGCACAAGTACAATGCTAAATTGGTCACGCAGAAATATTTCATTGTGCTTTCTCAGTCATCCAAGGAAGTGTATGCCCTCATCTGTCCAGTTATAGGTTCTAAGTAGGACTCGAGTGAAAACTGCGAATGTGGTATGTGTTTCATCATCGAAGCAGGAAGGGGGAATGAAAATTGTGTGCTGACTAACCTTTGGCAACATACAACAGGAGACCCTCTTCCTGGTGGTTAGCTGACTGTGGGATGCGTGTGTAGCAAAGGGCCTGCGACGACCAGGATCGTGTCTGCGACCACCTAGATCTAGGCTCATTCGAGGCTGCGCATTACGCCGATAGGTACCTATAGAATCTTTGCAAGTCAGCGAAGGCTCGACAGGAATTTGATAACGTAAAGGTGATCATGTTCTGTTCTCAGACAAGGTGTACTGGCAAGTAACAAGCTTCCCACGTATGGAAAGCCCGAACAGCGTAGACTTCATCATGGGCGATTTAGTTGGGAAAAGAAGTATTTAATGAATTGTCATCAGAGAAGAGAGGAAGGGAGGCGATGGTGAAGGAACATACCGAGAAGAGATCATGAAAGCATAGTAGATGAGCGCAGCGATGGTTGTTGTTGGTGCTGTTGTTTAGAAGAGACAAAGTTGAAGCTTTCGAAAGCTCTCGATCAATTTGAAGTCGCAAAAAATTCTTCGTTTATTTTTAGTGGCGGGCACTAGCGGACTACCACGTGATTACTGCTGCTTACGTATCCCGGCTGCTCACTGCAGAATATGCCTCAGTCTCTCAAGCCTCCTGTATATCAGCTTCTCATGTATTTGTATTTGTATTTGTATTGCATTTGCATTTGTATTTGAATTTATTTGTGCCTGTGTCTGAGTCTAGGTCTTGATGACTGCGACCTGGACACATTGGATGTTGTTCTAGCATGCTCTCGGCCTTCAAGAAGTGCGACAGAACATCGGACTTAACGTTACCCACCAATCACCCAGGTTCGGGACCAGCTTCCGAGTCCGTTCATCGGCAATGTTTGTCCAGTGCAGAGAAAGAAGAAGAGGAGGCGGAAGAGGAAAAGGAGGATACAATACCCAATGGAATCTTGATTACAAGAAATTAATGTCGTTACATTGAATACATGAATATCATTGCAGTGATACAAAAGTCCAAACCATCGATATTAGCTTTCCTGCAGAGAGGGAGATGGGAGTACGAGCAGAATTCAGATTTGAGATTTGATGACTGAGGCACCTATGAAAATTGTAAGGCCGCCACACCCTTCCCGCAACTGGCTGCGCTGCGAAGAAGTTCCCCGTCTGTTCCACAGGAAAACTCCAAGAGAGATGCGACTCACCAGCACCATCTAATACACTCCGCTCTTCCCTCTCGTTGCTCACAAAATCCTCTTCTCAATTGCCTCACCTCGTCCCAGCGCCGTCCGTACAATTCGCTCCCTTTTGGGCTCGTGCTGTTCTGCTATTGTTGCTTGCTTGGGGTGGTCGGCTTTTGGTTCCAGCAACTCGTTCCCCTTCATGTTGTTGCAGCATCAGCACCCGTTTCTTGCATCGTGACAAGGGCTCACCTCGACCCTCTCCCTCTCCGTCGCCAGGGTTCACTTATATCCTCCCGCAGAACGACCACGACGACCATCGCCATCCCCGAGTCGCCTCTGTTGCGTGCGCGTAGCCACCAACCCGCCTGCTAATCACGACCTGCGTGGTTACTGTCGTTTCTTGCCCGACCGTACCTTTGCGACACGGCTTTTCGCTGCATAGGGGGATTTTCCAGACGACATTACTGTCGCACCTCGTCGTGGCACGCACAGGCGACGGCTCGAGACAACGTCTGCCAAAACAACACGCTCTTTTGCGAGTCGACTTGGAGCTCTCTCGGCGATCTCTTTCAAGGAAGAAGCTTTCGCTATCTGCGCGATTTAGGCTGTATCCGATCGCGAGCAAACTACATCGCCAACAACCACAGACTTTAGGACGAGCAGCAAAGTCGGAATTGACACGAGCTCATATCGTGCGATACCCAGCAGGAGCTTCGGCGACGCGCGAGGCAGGCTTCGTCGGCCCGGAAGTCGGTGGAGGTGGAATTAGTGTGCAGCGGCATATGCGTCGAAGAGGCTTGACTTGGAACTCCACGTCGTGGACATTCAATCACCTACAACATGATGACGAGTCTGGCACAAAGTTACTCACCACACCCGGGTGGAATGCAGCCGCATCCAGGCATGGCCCAAGGTCATCCAGGGATGGCTGTACCTCATAATCCGGGACAGCCAGGACAACCAGGTCCGGGAATGCCTCAGCAGCTGCATATGGGAGTCTCTGGTCCAGGACCTCAAGTCAGTCAAGCTGGAGTTATGATGGGCGGCATGCCACCAGGAGCTGGCGGACCGAGTCAACACGCGCTACAACATTTGAACCCAAACCAGGCGGCGCAGCAGCAGCAACTGTTCCAGCAACAGCAAATTGCTTGTAAGTGACGTCTTTTTCTAAGTCGAGGAAATTTGTGCAATCTGGTGGTAGCCTTGTGTCTTGATGATACCTTAACGGGCCGAGAGCTGACATGGATCCTAATTATAGTCGCGAATGCCAACCCCTCAATGCAACAAATTCAGCAACAACAGATGATTCAACATCAAAGGCAACAACAAGCTGCCCGACAAGCGATGCTGGCTCAGCAATATAGCGGAATGCCAATGCAGATGGCGAACGGGATGAACCAGATGACACAGGCACAATTTCAAGCTATGCGAGGTGGTCCAGTTGCTCGACCGGTAAACCTTCCACAACATCTTCAGCAGCAACAGCAGCAAGTTGCTGAACACAATCTCCAACAACAGCAGCAAGCCCAAGCTCAAGCCCAAGCACAGCACCAGGTATGGTTTTCCGAGTCTAGAATCTTCAGTCGTGTTGCGCTTGAGCTTTACTAACACTTACAGCATCAACAGCAGCTCATAATGGCCCAGCAACTAGCAATGCAGCAACAAGCAAGTCAACAAGCCCAAGCAGGAAACAATCCTCAGGGTCAAGGGAACCAGATGAATCCGCAACAACCTCAAAACATGCAAGCCCAGACAGCCATGATGCAACAGGCCCACCAGCAACAACAGCAGGCGGCGCACGCGGCTGCAGCCTCGCAGCAAAGTCAAGGACAACCCCAACCTCAGCCCCAAAGCCAGCAAGCCCAACCTAATGCTCAAGCTCAGGCACAACAACCACAACCTGCGCAACAGCAGCAACAAGGCATTCAACAACAACAGGCGGTCGCAGCAGCCATGTTGCAACAACAGCAAAGGCAGGGAGAAAAATTCAAGGGGCAATGTTTGATGAAACTCATGCAATTTGGCGATCATTTAAGCAATTTCGGTGCGACCTCGAAATCACTTGCATCATACACCGCCACTGGTGCACAACGCCTGGCTGCACAGAGCTCTAAACAGCGAGACGACTTGAATTACTGGTTAACATTTGTGGATCGTTTCTTCTCGCCGAAAGGAGTCTTTCGTCATTCTCTTTGGATTTTGGACGAAACATCGAACAAGCAATACGAAATAACATACCCAGCTCTTCCCAGATATTTTTATACACATTTTGAAAGTGGGGTCAAGAATATGCAGATGATCATGGAAAAGGGTACAGAAAAGGAGTTGCCAAATAACGGGCATTACATCGAAAGCCAAAAGTCCAGCTTCGTTTATTGGTTCGACAATGGATCCCAAGTAAGTTGGCACATGCTTCCCGAGTCACACGTATCTCTAACAAGCGACAGTTGGTTGCAAGCGGAACATTAAAAGCACATTTTGATGCAGATCAGAAAATAGAGCTGCTCGAATTTGTCACCAGCAGCCATGAAGAATACATTCCACGTGCTCAGGTCCTTGATGCTGCACGACCACTGCACGAGTGGTCAAAAGAATGGCGCAAAGTCAATGCTCCACCAGATGGCAAACAATCCCCGGAAATCAATAAAAAGAAAGCCAAACCGATGAAGTCACCGCCTCAGCCTCCTCCAGAAATTGATCTTCCTGAGTCCTTGGTCTCAAAAATGGGAATAACTCCTTTGGTGTTTCGATTTCTTGAGGTATGCATTATCTTTCTCCCTACTAAGAGTATAGCTCGTTGACTTTTCGCAGATCGCAGAGGTGATGGGCCAAATGAATCCGCTCTTCGGCTATTCTCATCAAAATTCCTCTCTTGATCCTTACGCAGCCTTAAATCAATATGTAGCTACAGTTGCTGTAAACGGAGCAGACAACTCTGGTGGACAGCAACCAAATCCGACAGGACCCCGAACACCAGGAATGGGCAATTTCGGTATGGGCGTCTCGCCCGCACAGGCCCACCTTCAGCTCCCTGATGGTTCACCACATGTTAGCGGTAGTCCAGCTCCTGGTATGGCCCCTCAACATAGCCAACATGGGACAAGCTCCAGCGGACCGAGTGCAAACACCAGTCCCAATACAACCAACAAGCGAAGAAGACCTAGTGTGAAGGATGAATCTGAAGTCCAAGTCAATGGCAATCCGTCAAAAACGGCTGTGAAGCCAAGTCCAAGAATAGGAGGCAAGAGACAGAAGGGGAATCCAGCTTGAGAGGAAATGTGAAGTTTGTCTCGTCGCACCCCCACAATGTCGACGCCGCTTGCGTCGATCAGAAGGAAGTCGCGCCACAATCGAGCCGATTCGCTGGTGCCTTGCTTTTTTTTGTCGACTGTTGCAATTCTACCAAGCTGAAGGTAGTCGACCGAGGTGCTATTTTGTTGTTCGTGTACAGCGTAGCGCCGACGATATGCCATTATTATTTTTACATTATCTGGTATAGTATAAGGTGGGAGGCTTTCAGTCTGTCAGCATATCAGAAGGGAGGGCGTAATCTTGTAAATTATCATTGTTTGGGTTGCTGTCATGAGAGGCGTCGGCGTTTCCTCGCTCACTCGTCATATGGGGCGTCTGTCGCGTTATTGGAATCTTTCTGTGTGACTTATACCCGTGTTGGGAAGCAAAGATACGAAAAATGCCGGTTTGCATGAAACGGCAGGATTTAGGACATGGCGCTTGGGGAGATACAGGAGTAGCGCTGCATCAATGTTAAAAGTTGTCACAAAGTCCAAGACGAGGAGAGTGTTGGGTGGAGTTCTATTGCATATTGATTTGTGAATGTCTGTCCTGTTAATGTGACTTACGATGCCCATAATGTTCGGTCCTGTTATAAATTCGGTGATAAGAGGAGTGCTAACGAGTCTTTTAAACATGAGTCCGAGTCCGGATGCATTGATAATCATTGATCAAGATGCCAATATGATCCAAGTGCAAAGAGCAGAGTAACAATAGACAGAGAAACGGTTGGAGAAAGCAAATTACTCAATGTTGATATTCAATACATAGTCCGACAATGCCATGACTCGAAGACAAAATCTCAATCCGAACAATAAGAACGAAATATAACTTCTCATCCTTTCATAGTAAAAGAGCGAGGTAAGATTATATCAATGAGGTCTGTTCATTACATACCCTTGCACATGCATTGTTCAGTAGAGCCTGAAAGATTGAGAGAGACTTTTCGGGCGGGGTGAAAACAAGAAGCTGAAGTCACGGCAATTCAATGTCCCAACCCATGACAGCAATTTTCGATATCATAGTAATGCATTGTTCATATCCTGTTGTCAGTCCCAATGCAATTGTGTCTGGAGATTTCCAACTATACACCCTGTTCATCCCCATCCTATTTTGGCCCATACTCATACAAAACATACATATCCAAGAGGCTTTCCTACTCTTAGGCCCGCTCCTGGCCCGAAACGCCCCGAAATTCCGTGTTATACAATTCATAGTATCCATCAATGCAGTAATCCTGCTATGCCAGAGGAGATAAAATCAAGCCACTGTCCCTTCAACCCTCGAGTTCCCTCCAACAAAGGGAACCCGTGCACCCACTAGACCTCGTCTATCTCTTCCCATTCGTCCTCTGCCTAGCCAGTTCAGTTTTAGTCCTCTGGTGAGCTCCTCCATCTTCTTCTGGTTGCTCTCATCCCCACCTCCATCAACACCGACGGAAGCAAGGACACTCATACACTGGAGCATTCTACCTACTGTCTCAGTGAGTTGCTTTCCGCTGTCTTCGACTGTCTGTGCTCTTTGTCCTCTGTTCAACGGATGTTGTGGATGTGTAGAGGATGGCGTGAATGGTCTTTGCGGAGGTGGTGGAAGACCTGCAATACCCAAACCTGAGGAGGCAGACGGCTCAGAGCCATAAGATACATTGCTTATTGCTCGGCTTCTGTTACCACTTCCATCACCTGAGCTGCCAGATCCAAGAAGAGTTGTAGTGTGGGAACCATATGATGCATGTGCTGGGTCTAGAGACATCGCGGTGGAGGGACGACCACCAGAGAAGGAATCTGGCGAGGTTGAAAGAATATCAGCTGCTGGCAGCGACAACGATATCGAGTCCAGGGATAGCCGTGAGAAGATTGTTTTCAGCGTATCAAATCGAGGAAGGATAACAGTATCTCGATATGCCGTCAAGACTATGCGGCGAACCTCGAGGGCTTGACTTGCGGGAATGTTGCCATTCAAATCTTTCGAAGAAGATGGTAAAGCACCCCAGAAGTCACGGGCCTGCTCGGATGTCATGAGTGGTCCATGACCCGAGAATTCCAAGTCCAGGGGAAGAAAGACGGCCTGCATATATGGTAGAATAGAGGTAAATGTAAAGAGCCACATCTCTACTAAGTGTGGAATAAGACGATCATCGGGTGTGCGATGTAGCATTTGGTCGAGAGAACTGAAACCTGTGGCAAGGAGATCTCGAAGATCCTCGACAATGATACTGGGGGCGCGCTTTTGTATGCAACGTTGGATATGAGTTCTATTTACGTCAGTCCACAGCACAGGGAACATAGGCAAAGGACCTACGTGACAAGCCGATTGAGCTCCTCGACCGGCAATCTGAGATCCTCTCCCTCAAAGATCACCAGTAACTTTGCCTTCAAAAACGGCCAAGCATCATCAACACCCATATTATTCAATCCATACTTGCTCAAATCTGCTCCTTCAGCACCATATATACTAGAAGGGTATCCATAACTCCCAGCACCTGATCCAAGATAGGAAGCTCCGCCTGCAGAGCCTAGACTGGATGGACCTGGCCAGTCATTACTGTTCTGGTACGAAAGCTCACTCTCCCTCAAAGCATCTGACTTCTCTTCTTTTTTCTTCTCCCTCAATGCCCTGCCTCCATGCCTCAAATCCAATCCACTCATACTCTTCGCAAAACTTGTACTTGTGGGACCTGGACTCGGTGGCAGACTGAAATTGTATAGACTGCTTGGTGCACTTGGATCGACTGGTTTCGAGTTGCTCGCAGCTGAGGATAGTGGGAGATGGTGATCTTCTTTACTGCTCAATTTATGCTTCTGTCTCGATAAGAAGTGGTGCTTCTTCTCTTTGTCCTTTTCCGGTGGAGTATCAACTGCCCGAATCGTGGCCGAGGAGGAGTTCGCCATGCTGTACATACTTGCTGCGCTCGACATGCTATCTGCTAAACTGTTGGTACTAAAATTGTTTCGCTGGAGGGACGCTAGTGTGTATGAGGCCATCTTACTAGGACTGGGCAGCGCGCCGGCTTTTGCCTCTTTATCTTTACTTATTCCTATTTTGCCAGGCCGGGAGAACAGCTTAACTTTGGATTTCTCTGTCTTAATTGGTTTGTCCGGTTGCATGCGAAGTTGTGAATCGTGGTCTGATGGCGGAAGTCCTGGTGAGGTATTCGGAGACTTGGGAAATACTAAATTGGCAGCCGTTTGAGCAGCGTTTCCATGAGATCCTCCCAGCAATCCATTCTGATATATTTGACCTCCAAAGCTATTCTCTCTTGGACCCGACGCTTCAGTGAGACTCAGCAGAGGAGGACTCGTCGGCCCTCTTGATGGTCTTCGACTTCCAGAATTGTTCGATGCAGCATCCGCTTGGGGAGTGGGGACTGTTTGAGAGCGTTGTCTAGTGTGTGTTTGATGCTGCATCGCGGCTTGGGCAGCGATTTGGCTCGCGCTCAGTCCAGTATTAAGGTTTGCCATACTACCCAAGTTCGATGCGGCAGCTGTAGGTAGATACGGTTCGAAAGACCCTTGGGTCTGGGAATGTTTCCTCCCGTGCCCGCCGCGGTAGTGGTCGCTGATGGAAGTCTTGGGCGCAGTACTCAACGGGGATGCATTTCTCAGCGGTAGGTCGGATCTGGCCTGTACGGTATTGATTGTAGGACGAGAGAAGTTCTGCAGGCTGCTCGTACTGGAGTTTGCGTTGGAGGCGTACAATGGGCGTGGAGGGGTCGGCGCATTCTGCAGTCGTACAGGAGCTGCCGTTCTAGGTTTATTGATGGTGAGAGGTGTTGAGTCTTCAGAAGATGAGGATTCCACTCGTCGCAGAGGAGGTCGCGAGGAGGCTGATTGCGCAACCATGGGTGAAAAGCTCCCTGGTACTCGAGTTGGTTGAGGTGTCCCTGCGGGCTGGAAGTGCTGCGACATGGTTGCTGGGCTGTGAAATGCACTGTGTTTCACATAACTTGGGTTGATCGGCGGTGTGGTGGGGGTTGATAGCAGCCTTGCTGGGCTGTCAACTCAGCCTGAAGGGTTGGAGGTGGGCATTCGAGGTTGAGGTGTTGCGAGGATTGTTCAAAGCTGCTGAAAGAGCTCTCGAGGGCATGATTCTCCTCGCAGAAGCAGCATCCACGGAGATGGAGTTGTACTGACGGAGTAGGTTGTAGAATGGAAGAAGAAGAGGAGGAGGAGACGAAGAAGTTGGCGTCAAGATGTTAACATCGATGTCCCGTCGTTCCACTAAAACTGCACTCACTAAGATATGACATATCTACTAGTACTTCGTCTCCTAGTCCCTCCCTGTTACTCACTCCCTTTCTTTATTTCCCCCTTACCTAGCATTCTGTATTATCTACGTAGCCTTGTAATTATGTATTCTTCACTTCCTTTTCATACTAATTCCTCGAATTCATTCTTCGTCGGTCAGGGTCATTTTCAGACCTTGCTCTCCCTTGTCCAAAAGATCATACGGTGTATCTGCATCAGACTACCCGGGGCAACGACGGAAATATCTGCCAAGGTCCCTAGACAATGCTGCTGTCCCATTTCTTACCACTGATTCAATTTTGAGTCTCAGAATACTCCTTTTTCAGTGGAATATTTACTATGGAAACTCTTCCATTTCTCGAAGTGTGACTGACGTATATAAAAAGCTAAGAAAGCTGTCATCATGGATTATACACCTAAATATATGAACTGTAGAGCAAGGAAGTCGGGTTAGAGTCAACCTTCAATCTTTCACTATCTTTGTACAGCAGCAACACATTAGGATAGTACCAAGCATTTGAAGGTCAGAATGGAAAGGGTGGTACTTGAACCCGTGAGATATGTCGAGTCTAATTAAGACAACCCTATCTAACTAATGTCCCAAGCTGCTTTCATGATCTTGGGCTCTCATGGGTAATACAATTTTCTAGGCTCATAAAACTCTATAAGACCATATATTGCAAAGTATTTGATTATCCCAAGTATCGAAAGACTTTGAATGATCTTCACCAAGCAGAAACCTGCTTTAAGCGGTTGAGGTTTAAGCAGGCTGCCGTACGCGGGGCATCATAACTCAAAACATTCTTTCCATCAACCCCACCAACGACATCCACTATCAAGGTAAACTGCTCCTCCTCAGCGACATAATTCCAAACTTCAACTACAATGGCAGACTCCAAACCCTCCAGTAACTCATCACGAACCCATCAGATTCTCTCCGCGACCTACAACTCACCCACAAACGCACCCTTCACGCATACGACCAAGCTCCCAACTCCAGCAACGACAGCTCCCAAAGACCGAACTGCCTACCTCTCCTCCCTCAAAGCCGCAGTTGCCGACCTCCAAGATGATATCAACACCGACCTCACCTCGCGAATGGAAGAAGATAAAGCACGCGAAGCCTCAGCGAATGGGACCTCAAGATCAAAGGCCAAAGGAGTGGACGAGTCTAAAGAAGAAGACAACTACGGAGAAGAGGTCGTCGAAGAAGATTGAATCCTCGTTAGATGCATTGAATCTCTGATTACACGGCTTCGCTGCCATATATACACGAAAGAGAACACCAGCAGCAGAACTCCGCGCTATGTATGAACGGAACGGTCTCCTCATGTTCCTCCTTCTACTTTCTTACAACGAGCCGGCTATCTGGTTTACGCACGGCTCCAAGACCCCGCTCTTATATGCCCAGTCCTGCTTCCCGGTTGGCCAGTCGCTCTATTCAAGCATCCGTAATGCACAACCTCGTTGTCTGGCAATACGGCAATTACGCTTCCACCAAGTCGTTTGTGACACACGCCGCAGACACGCTCGTCCGACACTACGACTCTTCTATTTCTGCCGGCTTGACCGCCAGGCGCTCCATCACCAAGTAAGAGGGCCGCTTGGGAGGACACTACTTCACTTTTGCGGAGGCCGGCCACGACTCGGGTTTCGTTGACGATCGAGTTTGCTGCTCGAATTCGGCCCCGGAAGTAGGATTCTAGTGATGCAACGGGAAGGGACGTCGGTATGAGGTTGAGCGTCGAGAAGGCTGGGAGACGGGATCCATGTTTCGAGAGCAGGTCGAGAGCAGGTGCCCAGTTCGGCTCGTGGGGTGGTGGGGGTGTAAGATACAGCGATAGGAGAGTGTGATATATCGAGGGGTTGGAATCTTCTTGGTCGGACATGTGCTGCGATCCACGTCTCAACTGAATGGGTGATGCCACAGCAGAGTCTTGTGTCAGGTGGATACGGTTGCAGTACCTAATCTCTATTAGTCTATGCAAAGCGACACCGAATGGAGACGTACTCTTCCGCCTTAGCAAAATCCTGAATCTTGAAGACGTAAATTTCTAGCGCTTGCTTGTGTTGGCCCATGTTACTCAAAACAACGGCCTGTGCCTCATAGAAATCGGCATCTGCAAATAGTGTCAATGGTATATTTTCAACGCAGGGTACGGAACCTACCATCCCTAGGTATCAATCCAAAGGCTCTCGAGAGTGAGTATTGTGTGCTCGATCTCAAGAACGAAGTCAGTCCACCCATTAATGACCTCCAAGTATCCGTGTCCCTGTCTTCTCTGGTCCTTAGTCGCTGTATATACGCTTCTACGAGCCGATTGTGAAATTCTGGCGTCAAGTCGTTGAGCTCGTTGATCACATGTTCTAGATACTTGACCTCCAGACCCAGGTCTATATCTTGTAGGAAACCAACCACCTTGTCTCGCGGAAGAGTCTCAGCATTCTCAGTATCTGCCAAAAAGACTTCCATGCCAAGAGTTGGGTCTGCTCTCAGTGGCCATTCGGCAAATTCAAGTATCAGGTCAATCATTTCTGGCGGCAAATTTTGAAGATAGCCTACTGTCCGCTGAGGGCCATGAAGAGCTGCTGGACCATCATCCTCACCCTCCGAGGTGCCAAATCGTTTCAATAGCTCAAGTGCAGGACGATGCAGCTTCTTGCCATGGAAGAAGTCAACAAGGTCGTTGTATCGACCATTTTCTAACAATTTGTCGTTGACAACATCTGGATCACAGAAGTTGGGAATGCGGAACAGCGATGCTGCCAATGTTGGTCGTGCAAGCATATAAGCTCGGAATAGGGTTGTATCGATGAGTTTAGCAGTATCTCGCAACTTTGCTTCTCTGTCTTTCTCAGCGTCGGTCGCCGGGGCGGTGAGAAGTGATTCGAAAGCATGCTGTGATGACCCATTTTGGCTGTCCTGCTCGACTGGCTTCAGTTTGCCTGTCTCTGCATCTATGAAGGCTTTCATTCTGTTTCGGGCTTGTACCAAGAATCCAGAAAGCGCCAAGACGGCAGTAATGAGATCCTTCCCTTCCAATGGGCCGTCTTCAACAGGCCTTGAACTGCTACCGGCTTCGGACTCGCCTCCATCCAGTCTCATAAAAGAACGAATAGAGGAAGTGTCGGAAGCCGTTTTGTTGTGGGTCTTAAGCAATTTGGCTACTCCAGCTGGCTTTGGCGACCCAATGTCTTTACCAGTCTCGCCATTCTCTGACTTATCTCCATATTGAGCCTCTTTAGCATCTTTGGCATCGTCGCTTTCAGAATCAAGATCTGGAGCGCTTTCGTTGATAATAGATAAGTCACCGGCAATGATTCTGGGGAAGAGTTTGATTACTCGCTCTGGAGGTGCTTGGACATCCTTGGCCATGAAAATGTCGACGGCATCTTGGTATTTGCGTTCATCAAAAAGTGCTTGAGCTTTGAGGATCTTGATTTCTCGAAGCCTTTCCTCCTTGTTTTTCAACAAAGCATCCTCAAGCATGTTCAATATGCTGATCGCCTCGTCATACTTCTCCTTCTCCACAAGCTCGTCAACCTGAGAATCGTAGTCTGTGGCTCCCATCCGCCATATGCAACGTTCACTTGCGACATGGAAGCCTTTACCAGCATGGGCCAAGCTGACTGTTGGTGGAGGGAAATGCAATTGCTTTGCATTCGGTAACGGTATTGACTGTAACAAGGACAAAGTATCTGGATTTCTGACCTCCAGCGAACCCTGGGACGGAGACTGTAGGGCCAGAATGTAGGGATAAGAGTACCCGATGGCATCTGGCGCTTGTTGCCATGGGATTTGTCTCTTCTCCAGTGGCTTTCCAGCTGAGGTCACAAAAAGAGTGTTGATGTCCTTAGCTAGCAAGAGCTCCCCGTCTGCAAGTCTGCTGGCTAACGGTTTCGGTATATAGCTTCCCAGACCCATGTATCCCATGCTGGCAGATCCAACTCCTCCAAAGCGTCCTCCTTGGGCACCAGCTGCCCCGCCAATGGCTCCTGGTCCAACAATATCTTCAATCTCCTGGCTGATGACGTCCACAATCACATATCCCGAATTCATACCACATATGATCTTTGTCGCAGACGCCCAGGTCAAAGTTCTGATAGCTTCCGTCAATGTGATCTCGTTCATATCCGGCTCCAACTCGGATTCGTGCCATGACCATAATAATAGTCTCCTCTTGACAGCTACTGCTAGCCGTGATATGATCTCAGGTATACCCGTGGCAGAATCCTTCACAATGTTGGAGGTAACAGCAAACGTGGTTGCATTTTTGGTCTTCGACAATTGCTCTTGCAGGCTGTAGGATTGCAAGTCGTGAATGGAGATGTAATAATTCGAGAGAGAGATCAGGACATTGGCTTCTTTTATGATCGCGAGCTGTTCAATACCTCGAGTCGAAAATTTCTCTACTTCCCGCAGAAGATCAACGGGTTTCGTTCCGGCAGAAGAGTTTGGTCGAGAGGGGGGTTTGTCATCGGTCTTCGCAGACCCATTTTGCTTCTTGTCCTCTGGTATCTCGTTCACTCGGTATACCCGCAGACTTCCTGTACTCAAACCAACAAGTAGTCGATCGCCTGTATCATATCAGTATGCATCAAAGGTCGGGCAAGACGTGCAGACCATATGCTAGGATAGATTCAATCTTGAACTTGTCCCGTTGCCTGAGCTCAACAATAGGTCGAGCTGTGAAGGCGGAGAGCATGGCTACGATACGCCAGCTTCAATAGATTTCGTTCCAGAGCTGGACCGCAGTATCATCGGAGCTGTCGAGCCATGAAATAGTGGAATAGTATTCGTGTCACGGGTGTTTCGTTCGGCGGCGCATGTTTCTGTGGTGCTGGAGCTCTCCGGTTTTGGGGTACAACAGTGACGATGTCTTGGCGCGCAGCCGATCCGACTCAACATCTCAAGTCGACGTGGGACTTCAACAACTACAATATACTACAATATATTTATGGCTTGTTACAACCAGACCTCGATATACCAACATTTATTTCATATGTCTACTACGATCAAAACAATATAAGCAGGATAAGCAATATCGCGTGTGCTCCTCCAGGCTGCTCTCCGGGAGCAGTCGTGTGATACATTATTACGTTTTATAGTATCACAATCCGTACCTGATCGATGAATGAAGCTAGGTTGAGTATACTTTCAGGATCTCTATGTCTTCGATCGCGATTACTGTTTGACAGTCGGGACTTTCTCTAATTCTCGGATAATTTGTCGGGACGTCCACCTGATTGTCCCAAAACGTCTCCAACATAGTTGTCCGGTACTATGCCCGCCTCAAATGTCTCTTGCCAGCCCAACAATATGCCTTCCACAATCTCTATACCAGAACTGTACAAGTTCTCTATCGCGATCTCAAAGCCACCATGGCTAGAATGCAGAGGCATTTCGGAAAACTCTGCTGGGGGAGGACGGTCGAAGTTACAACCTGTCCGAAGTATGATAATGCGTGAGAAGTCAAGCTTCTTCGATACAGCACCTCTATGTAAGGCAGCTAAAGTTCCATTGTCTTCTTGGGCTGTCACATAGTAGCTCCCTTTGCCATTTGTGAAAGAGCGACATGTTTCTTCAAATGCTTCACAAAGCAGATGGCCATGGAAAAATGTATTGGCTGATAGCACATCTCCCTCCGATATACTTGGAGATTTGGTCGCGGCTTCAAAAACATTGCTGGATGGGCCGGAATACCGACTTCGAAAAGCCTGGGCAGCTTCAGAGTCGGATAATGTTGCTCTTTCAGCAAAGCCTTTGGCCAGTTTCCTCAGTTTGCTATTGAGTTCATAGACTTCAGTCCCATAAATGAATTTTGGAGCTTCAGTAGGATTATTTGCTCCTTGGGGAACATATCCTGTCTTCCAACCTGTTGGAATCTCCCTAGAGTCAAATTCGTATTGAAGATCGACCTGAACGGCATATCTCGACAGAACAACACTGCCCACGGTGCCCATTTTAGGATTGATGCCTGCTACTCCAGCGATCAGGAAGTATGTTTTACTGAGGTCGAGCAGTGGAGAGGCAACGAGAGCTGATATGGTCAAAGCAGCATTTATTACTGGTCGCTTGTCAGTAGGTATATGGGTACAGAAAGGAGAGGCTCGCATCCTTCGCCTGTGACGACTTGGCAGACATCCGCATCCTTTGAACAATAAATTTTAGGATACTCTTTCCACAAGCCTGGGATATGGATCAAGTTGACTTTGACATCGAGTCTGTCGGGTGCTGATTGCCATATTTCAGCCTCATTCTTGAACTAAGCTTATTCAGCTCAGTCTTCTAAGGGAATGGGTTGATTAATCGGTCTAAGACGCCACTTACCATGCTGATGATGAAGACTTTTGGGGTCAATGTCTCCATCTTGAGAAAAGGTGTTTCCTCAGGACTTCCTGGCACCATACTCCTGTTTCCCCGAAACTACACTTGTGCAGAAGGTAATATCGGCCCAGGTATGTGTATCGGTCAATGAGTGAGCTTGGAAATCCCTCCTTGAATTCCCAAAGTAATGGTGACTCCGACAATAAATCACGGCTCCATGGTTATAAGTAATGATGCAGTACAAGAAAAGTTCCAACCAAGTCTTTTCGTCCCATCCTTGGCGAGAGAGCTTTGCAGCTGGCTCTGACATAATAGTTGAATTGCTTGTCGTAACTCGGCTAGTCCTGAGGCAGGTGAAGCGGTTCTCGGCGGAAAATATTTCCGTACCCGCCAGTGAAGGACAGTCATAAGGAAAACGAAGCATTACTGTAAGAGATGAGAAAATCGGTTCTCTCGGCTCCTCCTGCGCCTTGCCCCGGATTGCTCGGGACGGGAGCAAAAAGCATCTGGCGAGTTCTTGGCACCGGATCTTCAGACAAGGGAAGGACGGACATGGGCATGGACATGGACAAGGATGCGTATCTTGCTTGCTGAGAAATTTCCGAGTCGACACCGCCCGTCGCCAATGTGAGAAATCCACACATCCCACATATACATATACGTGAAGATACTGTAACCCCACGGCGTCCTCCTTTTCTGTCTATATCTTCCTTTTCTTCTCCTCACCGGTCTTTTCCCCCCAGACTTGATGGCTATGAGACATGTCTCAAGCTTCGTCTGCAGTCCATCTGGACCCGGCAGATTCTCCAATCGCGCCTGCCGTCTTGTCGTGTGCCACTAAAGCCATCGCGCCGAACTCCATCTCCCTTTTGGAATCAGAGCAGGATGCACTACGACCTCGCTCGCCCGACGCCCAGCATCCCTCCTCTCCCTCTCCTCTGCTCAATCGTCAATATACTTCGCATGATTCGGCTGCGAATGGAGTTCCTGTGGCTGCTGTAACGACGTCCTCGTCGGCACATGACCCTTCGCCTTCGACTGACCCCACCGAGGCACTGCAGGTGAATGTGGGAGACGATCACAATCACGATCCAGGTATACCGCCCAATGACTCTGCAGGGAAGATACAGAATGACGGTGGCTTCATTTTCGAGACCGCAAATTGACCTTGCCATAGTCGCACCACCACTTTCTATCGTACCACCAAGCCCTCGTGACGCTACCCCTCCTCCTTCTCGAGTCAATTCACATACAAATTCCACGACGGCGACCACTCACGTCGACCCTCAATCTGCCATTGAATCCGAAAATCACAATACATCCTCAAACGCCATCTCTACGTCGCACAAGTCTGGGGACCGAACAACAGACGCCCATGAAGACAGGATGATATTTGGTCACCAGAATCCAGCGAACGTATTGCATAGACGGCGCAATTATGCAAACACAAATGCACTAACGGACTACGAGGCCGACCTGACAAGCAAAGATCGCGCAAAGCAGAAGGAAGCGGTGAAGAAATTCCTCATGGACAGGGTCAGGCAGGACTGGATGTGGGAATGGCCACGACCAGAGCCCAAATCCGACGAGTCGTCCCCCGAGCGAGAGCCGGAGCAACTCGATGAAGCTATACTGCAAGGGAATTGGAAAGACAGGGACGAATGGCTGAGCAATGCGAGTGAGAGCGACGGAGAGCCGAGCATACCAGCTGCTACATCAAGTCCAGATACGCCTTCTCCCACGAGCAAAAGTAGCCCTTTTCGATTCGAGAGTCCAGATGGCGTTGGAATGACCATAAAGAAGACTCAGATGGAGCGCAAACGTCGACGAAAGAAGCGTTTAGCGGAGGAGATATCATGGAACGACGGTCTTCGCTGCTTCGTTGCACGAAGAGATGCATGGACTGGTGCACGGCGAGTTTCCCGGTCTAAGTCGGGCTTTTCGGGTGTGAAGCCTGCTCAAAGAGCTTCAATGTCAAGTGAAGACGGCGGCAGTTCCACGGCAATCGAGCACGACGAAGATGATGAGTGGGAGGACGAGATTGAAGTTCCAGTAGCACCATCAATCATTCCGCCTGAAAATGCCATGCGAGCTTCTATCTTACCTGCAGCTTACAACACGATTTACGATAAAGTTGTGGTTCAAGCCCTAACACCAAGCTGTCCCATGAATCTCAAGGACGTCACGAGAAGCTGTGTACAAGGGTGGAAACGTGATGGAGAGTGGCCACCGAAACCGACCGTCCCGGAACAGAAGAAAAAGGGGAGGAAGATGAGCATTGCAAGCTTGTTCGGAGTCGAGAAGCACGAGAAAGAGGTCAAGGAAACGGTTAAAGCAAATGAGAAAGAAAAGGACGCCGAGAAGAGGGGAGGCCCTGCTACCGGAATCAGAAAAGGGTTGCAGAAGATTCTGAGTTTGGGTCATAGTACAAAGGAACATACACATACGAATGGTCATGATGGTGCAAAGGGGAAGGAAGCGGAGGTTGCACATGTGAGTTAATATGGGGGATTGGGCATGAGCCATGAGTGATGAAGCAAGACGGCGTTTCGGCATGTTGCATTTGGATCATGAGACGGGATGTTGAGTACGCTCAACATCGGTGTTCTGGATTCGCTGCTTATTGCAGCTTATTGTCGAGATATTAATATTAGGCCTTAAGTGGCTTTCATTCCAGTCTATGGAGTTCGGAATTCTCCAGACCAAATCATTGTACTGTTGGCTGCGCAATATGTTCTCCAAGTAGGAGCTTGCCACTTTATGAATTCAAACTTCATTGCTTCTGCTTCCACATCAATTGGGTTTCATTGGCACTCCTCCTTGGTGTCCCATTCTAGTTACTCCTCCGAAGATCCTGCAGTGTAACAAGAATCTATTGCTCCATGAACTTCTTCGTGAGGTCATCTATCAAGCAAGGTCCTAAGGTCCTATATAGCGTCATCCGCGAGTACACGCCTGAGGCTCTCTGAGCTTTGATCACAATCCTTCTAGCTTTCGGACGCGTTCCTCGAGCTTGTGCAATGTCTCAGCTCTACAGATAAGCAAAGATTTTAGTTATCAAAGCCGTGTCAAATAAAGCTAAATCCACATCTTTGGATCATATGCTAGCTTCCCTCCGATTATTGAGGTCCATAGAAACAGCGGATCCCACAGGACCTTGGGCATTTCGCAGTATCACAAGCATGGTCGACTTCTGCTCAAGAGGAATCACAGACGTTTGTCTCTTATTTGCTATGCTGTCTCTCCGAATATGTATTATTTTTAGGTCATATTTTCTTCAGATCGTTGTAAATATCCAACGTACTTCCTTATTGATTGTACACACACAAAGATGTGACAACCAGATGTTGCCATCTTCCAAACCAGTAAACGCTGTAAAACAAGAATAGGGGTGCATCGTCATGTTATATTGATAGAAATAAGTTTGTGGTAACAAGTGGTGACAAGGAGATGTCGAGGTTATTGAAGCATTTCCTGGTAGGTATTCCAGTCTCAAAGCCTCCCATCGGCTAGAAGGGCGCAAGTGCGACCATCTGTCGCCCTTTTTCTACCTCAAGCTTGCATTTTCTCAAAGTACAGCAGCCAACCGTATTGCCTTGATTCTTGACCGCTTCATGTCCGACAGCCTCACTTCTTTTGCCCGGCAAAACAGGGCGAGCTCTCGGACCAGATGATGCAAGCCACCTCACAAGCCAGTGTTCAAGCGGCCTTGGATTTCTCTCGTGCGATGATAAGGTCTCCAGTGCACCCAGCTACTTACTGGCCGTCAACTTTTGCGTTTCTCTCACCAGAATCTGCCAGCTGCCGCACTTTACCTCACGCCGCTTTCTCCTCCACCATGTCTGAACCACCACACCAAGTCCGCAGCGAGGACTATGACTGGTCACAAGTTGACCTGCTCGATGCCTGTTACGATCCGATGCTGCCTAGCATGGATCTTGACAGGTAAGTTTTTTTTTTTAGTGATTGCTAACAAAAAGGGTGCAGCAGACTCGACACCACAGAAGACATGCCAGCCTTGTCTCCTTCTCCTTCCGAGAATGCCCAAGTATCTCCGCATCACATGGAAGGTCCATCCGCGAAACAGAACAAGTAAGCACATGCCTTGAAACCCTCCCATATGTGTGGTCTACTAAACTCATACGTGCAGCATCTACAAATGTCATATCTGTGAAAAAGTCTTTGGGATCGCGTACAGTTGGAGCGTGTACGGTTGGGGAGCCTATGTCCTCAACAACCATGCGAAACAAACTGGACACCTAGCCTGGGCATGCAGCGCTTCTGGTTGCGATCAAAGTTTCTTGACCCATCGAGAACGAGATGCTCATCAGCGACGACCCCACCTGAATGGCCACGGCCGTATCAATCCCGACAGCCCAAATGACTGTGCTGAATGCGGGATGTCCTCGCGCTCCAATGCTGCCTTGATCCGCCACGCTGAAGAACACCTCCATCAGCCGTACGGCTGTCAGTGTGGGGTCTTCTTCTCCAGACGCGATGTACTACATCGGCATCTTGATTCTCTATCTAGGAGCAAACCCGAGTATCCGTGTACTTACTGCAAGCGCCATCGCGGAGCAGATGGTTTCAGACGTAAAGACCATCTCCTACAGCATATGAGGAACTATCACCATCTTGAGACTGAGCCTGATTCCTTCAGGGTGACGTTTCCAGTCTGTTCCCATGCAGATTGTGCCTTCTACCGCAACGAAGCATTCGCCAAATCCGAGAATGCAGAGGACAACAAGCCTTTCGCATCTCAGTCGGCATACACGAGGCACATGCGTGAGGAGCACAACGAGAGTCCATTCCCTTGCACCATCTCAGGCTGCAATCGAATTGGAAAGAAAGGTTACTTCAGGGAAAAGGATCTCCGACTTCATCATCTCAAGGAGCACCCCAACGCACCGGCCTACAGAGCTACCAAGGGCTAATCGACCATATTTTGCGTCCGGAAGCTCGCCAGTATCGGTGTGACGAGGACACTCGAGACCACATTGGAGATTCTTCAGGCCAGTACACGCTGCAAAAGGAGGAACTTTTTCGATGACGGCACAATTTTCTGATTTATTTCCTCTGATATATCTCCTGAGTGCCAAGTGTGCTAGTTCGCAACCTTTTGAAACACCAAAATACCAAAAACATTTTCCTTTGTTCGGCTTTGTGGTTGCGTTGTGTCTTATTGACGGCCTCTTTCCTTATGATATCTTCTCTGTCCGTGTTGTACTGGTTGTTCCCTCTGGGTTCAAAAGGTGGATCGGATTTTCTTACTTTGATCTAAATCTAGTCTCAATGCAATTTACAATATCATGCTCAAAATTCGGTGTCCTTCTGGATGAAATCAACGTCAAGTGTGGGATTCGACCCAGATACACGACTATGAATCTTGACTACAAGCCTCACCTCAAAAGACTTAACGATTGTATAAAATAAAAGACATGGCATTGGAACAGAAGACCGAATCCATAGTAGCGATGCCGTAATCTCAAAGCGAAGTTTATTATCTAATTAGAGGACTTTAGCAAGGTCAGACTCCTCATCCTTGCGAGTGACTATCAGCCCATCGGTTCCACGTAGGTATGCTCCTTCAGTCCCCAGTCCCTCCTATCCAGCTAATATTCAGACCGTACCACCACGCCTTCAATGTTTTCCACAACACAACCTCCAGACGCGGCAGTGATAGCTGCTTTGACATCCAGATTCTCGGTCCGTGACATCATCCAAGCCATCCAAATACCATGACGAACGAAGCGTGGTTCTCGAAGACGGAGTCTGATATAGTCGTCGAGCGGCATCACACCACCCCAATGACCTCTTCCATACGGGAAGAGAGTTGGGAAGGCCAGCGGTTCGAGGTTTGGAGGGTATTCTGTAGAGGGTGGAGTGTTAGAAGAGGAGGTATTTGCGTTTGTGCTGGCAGCACTTGGGCTCGCAGATATTTGATGCGTTTGGTTCGATGCTTGCGAGGGTTCGGTATCAGAAGCCTTAATACACACAGTCTTGTGCTCCTTCCAGTCCTTCTTCTGACACTCTCTGGAGCAGTATGAAACTACTACCATGCATTTTGAACATCGTCGTAATGGGGTTGATAATGACTGGGAGTCCTTTTGGCATCCACTGCAGACCCGAGCTGAGGTTTCTGTGTCTTCCATGATGATGAATGCTTCACAGATTGTTCGGCATCAGTGGGAGGATTGTGAACAGTGTTTTGTATTTAGAATCAAACAGACCTTTGGTGTGGGTAGTGCTGTTTGCGTTACACCAGAAATTAGACAGGGATCAGGTACAAACTTGACTTTCCAATGCAAACTACCGAAGCAGCATGCCTTTCAGAATCAAGTTTCCAGTCTGTTTCTATGCGTAGGAGGTTTCTCTGATTCCACTTCCTGCTATTCGGTTCCCAGGTGCTAAGTGTACCGTTTCGCAAACGCTTCAACACTGAAGTCTAAAAACCCTTTCCATGACTCAGCTTTATATTCGCGTTAGGTCTTGTCTACTCTGCCAATGTTTGCTATGAACGATCCATGTGGGGCAGAGATTGGTCATGTTTTGGTATTTTCTTGTTTATGTTATATGTAGGCAATGAATTTTACAATATCATGCTCTATGTTTGGGGTGAGGTTGAGTTCCAGGTGCAACTGCGATTAGAACGATTAGAATTGACACAAATATATTATTTCACAGGTTGACTAAGAGCATCACGAGTTCTTTTAGAGAGATAACGGCCGAGTAACATTGAGCACATATGGCAATCATAACAAATCACTCAACACTCAGTAGATTTGTCCCGTAGGTTTCACGTCGAGTTCCATCTCTAGTTTTTAGCTCCTATTACAAGCCCTAATATGAGCTTCATAGCTTTAGGAAATCACATATATTATGGACTTCGAAATGCTCTGGACGTTTGAATTATTGTCGCTACCTGACCCCTACACCAGCCTTCACCCCAGGAAAACTCCTCGCACTGAGCAAAACACCCTTCACACCTCTAATACTAGCTTTCACCCTACTGATCTCATCATCCTGCTCCTTAGACTGACTATTACCATACCCTCCATACCCATAAGTTGGCGCCACATAAGCCATCCCATCCAAATACTCTCGTAGAACACCAATCGTGCCCTCCAACTCCGTAACATCATGCCCCTCACTCGAATTATCGTCCACTAGTCCCTGCAGCGACTCCCTCAACTTACTTAATCGACCCGTTTGATTCCCCAATATCGATTCTGCCGATTCTGGAGAGGGAGACGAGGGTCGAGATGCAGGTGGAGAAGTCTGGACACCTATATCTCGATGAAACATCTCAGTAGGATCCTCATCGCTTTCTTCTCCATCCTCTTGTGCGGAGATATGTTTTGGTATAGCCTCAGAGGGAACTTCCGATACGATAGACTCGAGTTTCGTGATGAATTGGGAGAGTTTGGTCTTGGAAGTTTGGGCGAGTTCCAGGCGTGATTCAGTTAAGGAGGCTACCATGGGGGTTATTAGATAGTTGTGTGTTCCGTAGAGGAGGGCGGACAGGCCAGAGAATAGGTAGAGGGTTGTGAGGAGGCGGTTCTTGGTTATCAGAGGTGAGGGGGATGTGGGGGTTGTGAGGAATTCGGGATAGGTAATTATTGGAGGCGCGGATGAGATAGACGGCTGTTGTGTTGTATATTGTGGGATTGATTGTGTGGGTGATGATTCTGACATCTTGGAGTCTTGAATCTGGACAAAGTTAGTTGTGTATGAGGGACAGTGAGGTTGCTTTTACCTGAACATCTTTTGATGTCGCTTCCTCATTTCGAGTGACGCCTAATAACGACTGAATCTCATCTGGCTGTAGCCCTTTGCTTTCGAGGAAAACAATCTTTTTGTCTGTTGTGGCATTCCGAACATCATCTTCCTCGAGGAACTTGCGCGCCTGCTCGATAATCGTTTCTCGATTTGGGGACTCTGGAGTTGCTTCAGCAGTCTTTTGCGCATCTTCTGTCTTTGTCTCGAGCTGCCATTGTGGCAATCCAGGTTTCTTATTTTCGTCCGAGTCACTCATGGTGCAGTGCTGACAGCTTTCTGGTGCATGGGAATGTTGTCGTGCATCAAGAAATGTACAATAAATTCACGGACCTCGGCTTCTCGCCCCAGATTTCTTCAAGCTTACATACATAGCAGTTGAGGCCTTAGGCCACAGCCGTTGCTGACAACTGATTGGCCTAGCGTCTCGTCACAGATTGCTGACCGCGCGCGCTGGAACTCACGAAATCACAAGTATTTCCAATATCAGATTCGCTTTCGGAGAACACCACACTTGGAGAATCTCACTCAATCTCATTCATAGTATCTAGATATTGGATATCCTTTCAGGCTACAAGACAGCTACTAGTATATTTCACCATTTCACCCGGAATCATTTGCACACAGCCAACGTCACCTCCTGGTCATCGACATTCATCATTCAACTCCGCACCCAACATGTCAGGCCGAGGCGAGCGACCGAGTAAGAAGCTGAGACGGCTGAGCACCGACTCAGAAGGCACTGAAGATACGGACACCTACGATTGGTTTGGCTTGAAAGGGGCATCATCTCAATCCCGGAAGGGAGGCCGGGCTGAGAAAGCCACTGCGACCAAGAGCGAGTGAGTTGCCAGTGTTTTTGTTCGTTCTCTCTCTTCTATGGTCAGAATTCGTGGGTGCAAAGTCGCATTAAATCACATCGAATGGTTGAGGACGACAGCGACGACGACGACGACGATTGCAAGCGCCGCTTATCTTACCCTCTCTCTCGGGGCGCACTAAGTTTTGTCGCACTCGAGAATCGAACTCACTTGCATTGAATCGAGTCGAGTTGCGCTGAGTTGAGCGGTACCGTATGCGCAAATTAAGCAATTGGCCTACCATGCATGTATGTATATATATATATATGTACTGTCCGTCTGCAAGTCATGGTGGCGACGGCCTTTCATGTGAAGGATGAATCGCAGCCTGGAGACGGGAAGGGGAGGAAAAGGCAAGAAACGGCGGCTATGCGACGCGCCTATCCGCCCGTCGCTCTTGCTGTTTGTCTCCCGCACCGCACCGCACCGCGTCTGGCTGGCTGGCTGGCTAGCTGGTTGGTTCTGCTTGTCTTATCGAGGCAGTGGCCCTTGCAGTTACGGACCTCTTCCCCCATCATTTTTTCTTTCCATCTCCAAATATTTCCATCATCTTTCCCGCATCTCCTCGTCCAACCAATATCTATCTCCCACTCAACCCGACCAGCCCATCATCTTACTGCTTCATCCTTCTCCATCCTTTCATTCACGCGATGCCCGCTCGACGGAGTCAACGTTCTTCGGCGATCAAGGCAAAAGAAGCAATTACTGACCAAGCTTACGACAGGCCATCGCGACCACGTCGCACAGCCTCGGAGAATGTGGCCACTGCAACTGTCTCACGTGGCCCACCATCTTCTACTTCATCCAAGAGCCCGCAGTCAATCCGTCTCACGGTAAAGACCTCGTCAAGCAAGCTACGAGAAGCCACTCGCGCTAGCTCGTCTGGCAAGTCTGCTGCATCAAGTAGTCGGGATGGCTTCGTGGGAGGCGAAATTCTGGAAGGCAAGCGACCCAGAAACGTAAGAAAGAGCTATGTTCTGGAGTCGGATAGTGATGAGGAGGACGAGGATGAGGATGAAGAAATGGAAGATGCCGCCGATGAGGATGCCGAGGGAGAGACAGTTGAGGAGGACGACGAGGATCTGGACGCTGAAGACGATGGGCTTGGGGACGAGGACGCTGATGGAGACGTTGACATGGACTTGGCCCCTCCTCCTCCTGTGATCAAGATCTCAAAGGCTCAATCCGGAAAGCAAACCATCATAGCAAAGCCGGCTTCAAGAAATGATCACATGAGTGTCGAGCAAAAGGAGATGCAAGACGCCAGCGATGATGAGGAATTAAGTGAATTGGATAGTGACCTCGGAGAAGAAGTCGAAGAAGAAGAAGCTATGCAAACCGGTAACGAGGAAGATGCTGAGGGTGAAGAAGAAGAAATTGAGGTCGAAGAAGATGTCGAGGACGATGAGGATGATGAAGACAGCGATGACGAGACGCCAGGTGGTGGTAGTCGAGCATCCACTCCCGATCTCAACAAATTGACCAAGAGACAACGTGCTCGCTTGGAGGAGGGTGGAAGTGGTCATCTCTTGGCGCTCCCTGATGGTCAGTCCCAATGCTGTTATGAGAGATGTCCTTGCTAACGATATTAAAGAGGTCCAAGTCAAGAAACATTTGACCGCCGAGGAGCACGCCATGCGACGTGCTGAGATGGCAAGACGTAGAAAGAACCTCAGCGAGAAGCGAAATGAGGAAGAGAAGGTATATGTCTACTTTGCTATTTGAATAAGAACATGGGTACTAATGAGCCGTAGATGGAAACTATCAACAAGCTTCTCAAAAAGCAAGCACCAAAAACCAATGCTCGTCGTCGCGATTTGAACGGGGTACCAGGTGAAACGAATTCTGATTCCGATATTCAGAAAGCAAGCCCATTGTTTGTTCGTTGGATCAGCAACAAAGATGGCAATCGGATTGGTGTTCCTGAGGAATGGTTGGAAGGTCCAGCTGGTAATATGTTTGTAAACAGTGTGAAGCCATCCGGTGGAATGGGCGGCAAATTGATCGAGGAGGTGTCATGAAGATAAGCTTGCAGGTCTCAAAAATTCAGTCAGACGCAAGATTTTAGTCTGCCAGGTCTTATGACAGGTTCTTGTGTCTAACCCAGGAATATTGACTGTGAGCACCGTCTCCCAACTCAATTCGTTCCATAATTGGAGGCACAGACAGCAGCCGGACACTGAGCCTGATGTGAATTGGTCGCATCAAAGCCATGCTTGATCATACATACGTGCCATGTCGACCATGTTCAGACGCATTTGCAAGGTATTGCTATCTCACTTGAAACTGTCTGTTTCTTCGCGGCCCATGCTTCTTCGAATTCTTTCTTACAACCGATATATCCATGTCTGGTTGGCTATTCATGTATGTGCTCGTTGCTGCTGGGTAGTCCCCCTGAAGTCTGTGTATAATTACCAGTGTCGTATGTGCTATCGTCATGATATTACTTGGAATGTGTATTCTTTGTTTGACTTGTGGTGGGCGATCAAACATCCCCTCGATATCAATACAACCATGCAACGCATTACATTTGAGACTCTTCTTGCCGCACGCACCTGCTTGTCTATGTTTCATATTAGTGGGTGTTGAATTCTTCACGTGGTATCTCTTCTGCACACGTCGGTTGCCTTGGAGTGCGTGTGAAATGAACTACCAGTATGGGTTCGGGTTGCAAGGCAAATTGTTGATGGTTCTCCAGCTCAAGTAAGTAAGAAATAATCCCTCACGTCAGGTCCATCAAAAGCAACATGTCATCTTCCAGAACGGAGGGTATCTGGGAAGTCGACGATAGACTATCGAATTGAAGGTTCACGATGTGAAATGTTTCAACTCTGATGTATGCCTTGCTGACTAGGGGCCTCAGATTCCCAGAGTGGTGATTGAAATATACTAGTGGACATTGAACAAGAGTCACGTATAAACCGCGTATGGTTTCCATGACGGGGTACTTGCTGTATCCAGCAATTCAGATCACCATTCTGATAATTCAATATTGTCGCAAAACAAGTGTATATGATTCAGCTGTGCACGCTCATCATATCGAACTACGGGAATCCATTATGAAGCACCACACAAAATCCAGGCAAGTGAAGCTTGAAGCTGATCGATGGTCTTCTCTGGACCTTTCCATCAATAAGGTGTGTATGTTCGTCTTGAGGCTTCATCCCAGAGCCACAAGCTCTCTACATGAGACCTTTACTTCTTTACCAAACCCAACTTTACCAATGACTCAGCCGTTGCCGTGATTGCATCTTCCCTGCTTCTCGGCTCCCATCCTAAGACCCTCTTAGCCTTCTCGTTTGTTGGGTACTTCTTCTTGCCGAGGTGCGCTGCAATAGACGCAACTTCCGGGTCAAAGAGAGCGACAAGTCGAACCAGGAAGTCCGGTAGGGTTCTTGTACGGGTCTTCTTTGACAACTCTGGTAGTCTCTGCTTCAATGTGATCGCAACCTCTTGCACTGTCATAGCAGAAGGTGCGATGGCCAGAAAACGTTCACCTGCCGCGGCAGGGCTAGTCATGGCTAGCAGGTGCAGTGAAGCGACATCTCGCACGTCAACAATACCGAACATTATATCTGGGCAGCCAGGAAGGTCGCCCTTGAGAAGACGTTGAACGAGGAGAATACTAGGCGAGAAGTCATTGCTGAGGACGGGACCCAGAACAGCTACCGGGTTGACGACACTTAGTTGGAGCCCTTGACCCTCTGGAGAGCTGACAAAGTCCCAGGCAGCCCGCTCCGCGATGGTCTTGGACTTTTCGTATGGCGTGACATTAGACTTAGTAATGTCTGTCCACGACTCTTCAGTGAAAGGTGTAGTCCGGGATGGATGTCCGTAGCCAATTGCTGCGAAGGAGGACGTCAATACGACACGTTTAACGCCAGCAGATTTTGCGGCCTTCAGAACTCGGAGGGTTCCGTCTCGAGCGGGGATAATGAGGTCGTCTTCGTGTTTAGGCAGCTGGGGCGGGAAAGGTGAAGCAACATGCAGAACGTAGCTACAACCTACGACTGCTTGGTCCCAGCCTTCGTCGCTACTGAGGTCGGCGCTAACGAAGGAGAGGCTCTCTAGAGATGAATCTGTGAGACTGCCATGCTTGAGGGACTCTTTCACCGCGGAGGACTTGGAAAGAGAGCGGATAGTCGCACGCACTCGGTATCCTGCGTTGAGAAGGGCGATGATGCAGTATGAGCCGATGAACCCCGAGCCGCCCTATCATTGAATAAGTATTGTACAATGTTGAGAGGGGATCAAAAGATTCGGGAAAGTGGGAGAACATGGTAAAGTAGAATTGGATTAAGCTTATCTGCCTTCATATCCTGGTTCTCGAGATAGCTCCGAGCATTGGAGTTCTTTTGAAACAACAGAAGAAATCAGGTTGGGAGGGAACACCTACGGTGACAAGCACCAAAAGCGCCTGCGACTCTGATGCCATGCCGGAATAGAGAGAAAGTGAATCTGTGACGTCGTGTGGGAATAGATCAAGTATCTACCGACAACCAACTCGTTGGGGCAAAGAAATTCTTTTAATAATAAATTGTGTCGCTGTTTAGAAGGGCTCAAGATATGTCTACCGAATCACTGCTCTAGTTAGCATCAGCATCAGAGCGTGTATATATAGTAGTTTTCTCGTAGAGCGGGCAAGCATCGTTTCCGAATCTCCGCCTCGGTTAGACCTTTGAGCCGATGTTGTAATAAGGACCGCAGCCACAGTTACAGTATTTAAGCGAGCGCGCGAGTGGGGGTTTCAGGGGACATTACTACAGATGACAACAGACAAGAAGACAGGGGGTCATAGTCCTAGGGTGACAGGAATCTTGCTGTTGATTCATTGCCTCCACGCATACTGCATCTTATCATTTTGAGATTGCATGTTCAGGTGGATGTTGCGACCAATATCCAACTCAATGACCTAGACCCAACAGCTGTTCGGATTCACCAGGGTATATATAGCTTCCAGCAATTCCCATGATAATTTGGGAAAACTTCAACCTCGAAAAATCTGAAAGTACTTCTAATTCTTCCAACCTAAACCAACAAACACCCCTTCGCAATGAACTGTTCTCTCATATCTTGCCGTCACCATTTATTGCGACTGAATTTTCTCCATATTTCCTGGTTCGCCTCATCGCATACATGCTCAAGCTCTTACTTCAACACAGCTCCCCTTTGGCATTCACAACTTGAACTGCGAACGAGGAACCGGTTTGTGCATCACAGCTCTGACATTACTGCAGACAATTCAGACACATTACTAACTTACAGTCGCCTCTCACTCTGATCCACAGTCGTAGTCATAACAATCGTATTACCGGTCTTCATCCGTCGTTCTCCCATCCCACCGGCCTCGACTTCAACCAAAGCCCGATGCCCGAACGCATCCCTCCGATCTGGGTTTAGCTTATCCTGAACCGGCGTCTCACAGACTCTCACTCCTTTCTTCCTCCCCTCCTCTAATGTGTCTTGGCTTTCCGTTCGATCGTCCAATTCTATAAAGCTTCTGGTGTTTGTCAGGGGACGGCCTTTGCTCCCGTATCGAGCATGGTTGGCCGATTTGGCGGGGTATGCAGATGTGGTATGGCTTGGTCCTGAGGAGCCAAGGGACATTTTAAGGTTGGGGAACACATATCCAACCAGGGATCTGCAGGCTGGAAGACAAGCGCAAATTATTCCCACACTGATTTCCAGATCGGTCCAAACAGCTATAGGTGCTTGGTCATCTGGAGAGGAAGTTAGGCCCGGTGCTTGGTTAGATGCTCCAAAAACTTACATGATGGATCGGTGGAAGAACCCAGCTTCATGAGCGAAGGCAAACGCAGCGCGCTGCACACAATGACGAAGGATCCGACCGAGAACATGAAGATCAAATGAGCTTTTTTCTGCCAGTGGAGATTGAGACCCCAAAGTGTTGAAAGTGGCATTGTCAAGATCACCAAGTCATGGAAAATGCTCATTCCTGCTGCGACGTAAACGCAAGCGAAGACGTTGATGCATTTAACCGGAGCAACTTTATATATCCAATTTGTCCAGATTCCATAAAATGGTATCTATAAGAGGTATAGTTAGCAACATGCAAGCAGTCAAATCAAATTGGATACTCTTACGCATTGGAAGCAGAGCGCCATTGCGAGCGAGAAATTAGACACAACCACAAATACTCCCATGGCCAATATCATCATGCGGAAGTTCGAACTGGGAAATATTCGGCGGAAGAAGAGTAGGAGAGATAGTTTCGTAAGTGTGATCGCCAGGAGGTAAAAGAGTTCGCTAATGTAGAAAAACTATGTAAAGTGAGCATGTATCCTCCCATGGACGGGGCGCCAATCTCGCAAAATTCTTACTTTTAGTGCCTTCGAAACCTCAGCAATGGTCAACCAGAAAGTATGTTCTCCGAATCCTTGAACAGCAATTGTCAAGCCGGTACCCACGTCTGTCAGATATGCAGCTTGTGCCGCCACGATCATCCAATCATCAGGCCCGAGTCCGATGTCAATTCGGCATCTGGCGAAGATACGGGCTGCTACAAGGATGGTGGTCAATGGTGCAACGACAGCATAGAGACGAATTTGCTGGTAATAACGAGTCTTGTCATTGGCAATACCACAACTTTCCGCGGAGTATCGCTCAAGCTGGAGAGATTCGGTGACATTGCATGCCGCGATAGCGCAAGGTGTGAGTGCTGCTGCGATTTCCGTTGATGTGCAAATGCAAGTGGAATTTGTAAGAGAACCACAATACTCCGGGACAAGAGCAGCGAGGCAAGTCAACTATTTGCACTGTCAGGGTATGTTGAAATTATAACACAACGTAGGACGACAAAAAAGTCACCGAGTTGGAATTGGTGACTTCGCTCGAACTATAGAACATTTACTAGAGGTACGTACCGAACAATCAGGGGCTGCTGTGGTTGTCGACCGCCCTTGGAATTGACCATAAGTGCGAGCCTGAATCTGAACGACGAAATATAGCGCGGACAACAACATGCAATGAAGACGCATATCTGAAAGCAATCCAGGGGAAATTCAAAAGCACCTAAGAGAAAACGTCCCTCCCTTCAGGGAAGACCGTTCGAGCGGGCGTCTTCACTTCAAAAGCAACTCATGTCAAGTTGTGGGGCATAGATGTGGAAGAGTCTGGATACCTCGACGAGTCGCCAGATCTTGCAGACTTGTGAACTTACGGCAATAAATCGACAGAATAAAAGCACTCAGGAGGGCCAAGCAAGGTACCAAAACACGATGTGGAGTTTGCACATGGTTCCCATCCAACATCCAACATCCCCCTGGGACAGACGGACTACTTAGCAGTCACCACTCTACCGGCAAGGTTCCGGCATCTAGGAGTGTGGGGACCGGCTTTCTGGGATGTTGTATCCGCTATGATAGACGTCGCTCCTCGTGTGGAAGTGGAACTCGGCTGCGTTACCGTGATTGCAGAATAGCTTTTCATTCCCAGCACAATGGATCCCATCCCCTTTCAGACAACGGCCCGAGTTGTCATACGAGTCATGGGCACATTGTTACTTAGGTATCCATAACGGTCTCAGACGAGTCGGACACACGAACGACACGACGAGTCTGAGGAAGATCACTCACTGCTTTTGGCGCAGCGGCAAACAAGGGTTGGAGTACACAATTTAGATGGACTGACGGACGAGAAGGGAAAAGAAGAGAAGAGCAAGAGCCGCCTTTTTTCGACCCCTTTAAGTGGCCCGCTTACCGCTTATAAACCCCTTTTCAATCATGCCTACCAGGCCCCTGGCACAATGTAACCCACAATCGACATTCCTCCGTAGCCATGGCGGCTCTCCAAATTTACTTCAAAGATTGTTCTAAAACATACTGTTGTCCCAGTCGTTGGGAATTTCAGTTCTGTATATCGTGCAGACAAACTATCCCAATTGTCGTTCAAGCTTTGCTTCCCTATTTGTTTCATCTTGCAGGGTTTGTACACAGTCACTCGTCAAGATGACCAGCGGGTGTGAAAAGAGCAGTGCTCCAGCAAACCCTATTCGAGTGATAATCGTGGGCGGCTCTATTGCAGGACTAGCCCTCGCGCACTGCCTTCATACCAATCCGAACATCGACTATGTTGTCCTCGAAGCCGGTACAAGGTCACTTGATTGTTTTATGATGGCTGGGACGATGGCTGACTAGAAGCTTAAGGAGAAGAAATGGCCCCTCAAGTCGGTGCATCGATTGTAGTGCTTCCAAATGGAGCCCGTATTCTGGACCAGCTAGGCATATGGGACGACATTACAGCATCGATAGAGCCCTTGTCTCAAGCATTGACTTGGACCGGAGACGGGAAGATTGTCGTGGACAGCAATGCACCACTTCTGGGTTCTGCGAGGTGAGGGTGATATCTCATTTCCCTGAAAATACTAACGTGGAAACAGAACGGGATACTCGTACGCATTCTTGCAGCGTCGAGACCTGTTAAAGGTTATGTATGAGCATATCAAAGACAAGTCGAAAGTGCTCACTAACAAACGAGTAATCGGAATTGATCATACAGCCTCTGGTGTTTCTGTTACATGCAAAGATAGATCGTCTTACAAGGGTGATATCGTCGTAGGAGCAGATGGCATCCACAGCACCGTTCGAGGCTTCATGCAAGATCGACTTGAGAGTTTGGTGCCTGGTTCAAGCGAGAAAGATAAGAACAGCATTTCAGCCGAATACAGTACGTCCCATTATGTCCTTCACCCGAAGAGCTAGTTCTTTGGCATCCTCGAGAGCAATTCGTTCAAAAAAAATGTGTTTCAACTCATCAAATATGCTTATCGGCTCCCAGATCTTCATCAAAAGTGTATACTGATTGTCTATAAGGTTGCATCTTTGGTATCGGGAAGCCAGTAGACGGACCCGTTCGCCCAGGAGACTCTCATAGGTCGTATGCCGAAAAGCACAGTACGCTATCATTTGTTGGCCAGGGTGGCATCCTCTATTGGTTCCTTTTCTCAAAGTTGAATAAAAGATATTACGGGAAAGAGATCCCCAGGTACACGAATGAGCAAATGGAAGAGGCTGCGAAAGCTTTTGACGGAATCCCCATGACCGACAAGATCACATATGATCAAGTGTTTAAGGAGCGTGTCTTCGCCAATATGCTCGCTCTTGAGGAGTCCCAGAATGAGCATTGGACTGTGGACCGCATTGTCTGCATAGGAGACTCAATACATAAGGTAGGCAGATATTACCAGATCATCCATAAAAGACGTGCTTATACTCGTTAGATGACACCCAATCTGGGTGCAGGTGGAAACGCAGCAATCGAAAGTGCTGCCGCACTTGCAAACCACATCTTCAAGCTCAGTTCCTCGAACCCCTCCTTAGACGAGATTCGAAAAGTGCTCCATGACTTCTACCTCAAACGACACCTACGCGCCAACACAACTTGCGATACAGCCAACGATCTAACACGTATCGAGGCCTTGGACAATTGGCCATACAAGATTTTGGCATTGCACGTAATTCCCGCTCTTGGGGATTTTCTAACTGATCTTACATGCGATGCGCTTGTTGGAGCAGAAATTCTGGAGTCGCTCCCTGCACCTCTAAAATCTCTTACTGCGACAATGCCATGGGATCCTGAGTCTGGAATTGGGAAGAAAGAAAATAAGTGGGTGAGAGCGCTGTATGCTTTACCACTCCTAGCAGTTGTCTATGGCTGCCATCGCACCATGGGCGAGACGATCAAGCATCTTGTCCCTCTGGCAGCCGATACTGGGTTTGTGAATCTAGGAAATGGGGTTGTCGTGTCTTTGGCTACAAGGTTTTTTGGTATTTCCGCTGTGGATAACATCCTCTCCAAATATGTGGCGTTGTTCACACCATCCATTGGAGGCTTCGATGTTGCCGGAAAGATGCAAGGTATCGCGTTCCTTGGAGACTTGGTTCCGCTCCAGACGATATGGATGATTGAAAGCATGCGACGAGGAAACTTTACCACAGCAGCTCATCTTTTGTGAGTCCTCAGAAGCACTCCCTATGGCTCGATTGGTGACTAACATTTCTCAAGACCAACAGTTCTAGGAATCCTCTACCAGATCAAAGGCCTAGGCTACATTGCTCCCCTTTACTACTTCCTCCATTACGTGCAATCGCCACTCGAGAATTACGCCGCAGCCGATAACCGCATGACCGTGATCTCCTCCGCAAAGACCATAATACCCACTATTGCCGTCTCCTACCTACTTCCTACCATTGCCATGTTTGTTGCCCCTCAGCTTTCAACACGGCAGTGGATCAACGGTCTAATCTGGCAACCATTCCCCATTTACGCTGCTCTGGTACAGCGTTTACTGAGCAAGACTGTCAAGGATACGACACACGAGGACCGCATCACCAATCCAGAAGCAGATATGCCATATCTTAGACGAGCATACGGATTTGCAACGGCGACAGCAGCTTGTACTTATCTATATGTGCGCTTCGCATCACCCGTCTCGCTCTTAGATGTCTTCTTCCAGTGCCTCAAAAGCCCCTCCAAGTCGCTGCCACTCATTGAAGGGGCATCAAAGACCCTGAGATATGATCAGATCGCTGCATTTGGTGCAGGAGCCTTGTGGGTGATGTTGAGTTTCGCAGATTTGAAGAAAGCGAAGAAAGTGAAGACAGGATGGGCAGGAATTGTAGGAATATTCGCGGGTACTACCCTGCTTGGTGGACCAGGCGCTGCAATGACCGTTATGTGGGCTTGGAGAGAAGAAATGCTAGCAAAGAGAAGGCCGCTTTGATGGAAGAAGATAAATAGCGGGGACTCTGCTCTGTGGTCTTCCAGCAGCAGGAAATTTTGTGTGCCTTTAGAAGGTGAGACTTAATAAGGAGAAGTATTTATGGAACGAGTAGAACGATTAAAACGATCAACGTAAAGTGGGATGACTACTACCAGTACACTACTATCATCAGTTGGTGTATTGTGTTGGACAAGCACCAGCGTCAAACTGGTCAAACACCCTAGAATACTGTGAAGGTTCAAAGTGCCTCAATCTCGATCAATTTTTCAACAGCTCCTTCGACGTTCCATATCTGTTTAACTCTCAACCCACCCACAGCATCCACTAAGCTCTTCCATTCCGCCTCTCTTCGTTCCTGTGCGGAATGAACTTCCATCATCAACAGATCCACACTGGTTTCAAACCAGCCTGCGTTCGTCTCGGGGACAACGATCTCGTTCAACAAGATCCTGCTGTACCCGTGCTTCAGGGCAGGCTTCAGTTGTGAGAGGATCTGAATGCATTGTTGGGTCGGCCAGTCATGGAGCACCATCTTGAGGTAGTACGCTTTCGCACCGTGGATGGGTTGAGGTGTGAAGAAGTCGTGGCCCATAGGCTCGATACTTTGCTGAGCCAGGGCCGCGGAGTCCAGTGATTGGATGGTTGTGGGGAGATCTTGGAGGATTAAGCGGCCTGGCATGGAAGGATGGGCTTCGTGGAAGCCGATCAAGTCGTGCCCACCACTTCCCCCCACATCAATAAGCAGAACATCATTCTTTCCAACCCCGTCCGCGTCCCCAAACACTGCTTTCATGATCTCTGGTACCTCATACCATTTTAGCCCAACTGTTTTGAAGGACATGTGCTTGCGGAACGCCTCTAGGTTCTGCTCACGTCCGGGACTATTAACATACTCGAAGTAATGCTGGTCTGTCTTGTAGGCAAATTTCCACGCAGTTGCGTCCTTATTCACCGGATTTGCATAGTTCGTTCCCCTCAGGAAATCTGGAATTGAGTCGACAACACGGACAATCTGGAACATATCCTCGATTGTCCCCTGGCCTCCAGAAGACGCAATACACCGCGTGAGATCGTTCGCGGTGTATGTGTCTGGTCCACTTTCGTGCACGAAGAACTCGGTAGCAATGTGCTTGAGGAGACGCTCCACAAGAATTTTGTCTGAGCCGGTGTCTTGAGCTAGCTTGGCTGCGGTTAATTGCTCTGTAGCCGCAGCGAGGATTTTGAAGATGCCCAGATTGATGAGCACCTTGGTTGCCATGAAGATTGCGGGTTCATGATAGCACATACGCATGATACGCTCATGGGGCTGTTCAAGCTCGTGGACTAGGGCACGAGCAGATTGAAGAAGACTCAGTCGCTGCTTTTCATTGCCAGGTCGCAATTCGGAACTTTTCTGTTGGATTTCGCCCGTGATGATAGAAAGGTCAGGAGCCATGACGATCGTCTTTGATCTTCTCTAGTTTTAGTTTCAATCCAGTCTGAGGATAGTGTGGTATGCTAACGTGAGGGAGGCGAGTGTTCAGGGTTGCAAAGTCAAGCTACGAAGAGGAGTGTCGCTCTGAAGAGTGTGCAAACGATATTTAAAGGAGATCTAATGTCAGATGACGTTTAGCCCAGGCTTGGTCGGACTCACGGCGAATAAGCAATAGTTTCAATTCATTAGGATTCAATTAGCGAAGTGGTGTTCGAACAAGCCTCTCTTCCTTCGTATTCCTTGCTGTTGATAGGTTGGGTGGTACGAAGTATGCTCAAGAGTGTTTCGCTAGCCAGCCCGAAAAGGGATGAGACGGGACGGTCGCATGGAGATTCTTGGAGTTGCTATTTGGGGATTATAATTTCTAGAGAGTCATCATCACATCTATACACGTTACTGGCCGCTCTTAGCATGTCACAAGAGCGTGGCGAGTATGATATTAGCCATGGAGAACTAGCATCAAAAGCAATTTGTCGGTTCTTAAATTACTAAAACTTTAATAAACGTTTTAACCTTTAAA